CCGCTCGCTGCAGCTCCACCGCACACTCGCCGTCGCGGCTGCGCTGTGCCAGCTCGGCCGGGACGCATCCCATCGGCCCCGTGCCCGTCACCAGGACACGTCTAGCTCCCAAATCGTATAGTTTCTGCATATTTATAAAATTTTAATTATCCTATTACCATAAAACAGTTATTAGACCACAAAAACGGTGGCTTGAATTTCGCTGGAAATATGGGCATATCCCAATTAGTCGATTTCAGACAAAAACATGTACAATTAGGGCAAAACAAAATAACCGAAAAACTTAAGGGGCAAATGTTGAAAAACTTTAAAGTTTTGTGGAAAACCAAAGAGAGCACGGAAAATACCGAACCTTAAAAAAAAAAAAAAAAAACAGATTCCATAATCAATCCTTGGCATGGTCGGAAAATCTGTGTTTTCAAGAATAACCGAACTCATACAAGAGTATATCTGACTTTTCGATTTTAATATCCGTTTTCGATCTTTGGTCTCTATTAACAAGATTCGGATATTTTTGTCAATACAGATATGACAGATATCCGTAGATACCCGATTTTTGGATATTTTTGTCAAGAATCGGATATGAGTCAGAGTCGTGATATAGTTTTGGCATATTTACCCGTAAAACTTTGCGGTATTCGGAGACGAGATAAACCACGTAGTCAGGGAGAGCGAATTGGCGAGATCTGAGGGAGAAAGGGACCAAGTAGTAGTTATTGACGAAGTCGTTGCCGCCGAGTGTTATTAGGACCAGAGCTCCGTTCACGAGCTGCCGCGTCTGAGCCTCTCCGATCATAGCGCTCACTCGCCTTTGGTACTGCTCGAAGTACTCTAGTTGCTTCGTGATCCGAATGATGTTTATCTGCATAATTACGCAAATGCCCCGCATAAGTGAAGGGTGGTTTTGTCATTTCAAGGTAGGACGAGGCAATTATAAATGACGAAAGTACCCTTGACTCTATATTATATGCCATTATGCTGGGAAAGATTTTTTTTTTTTTAATAAGACCGGGAAAGAAAAACCAGTGAATACTTGAACCTAAAATATTGTTTGTATTCGGCAATGAAATTTAGTGAATACTTTTTTGACGTTCGATTCAGTTGTAAAAGTTTTTATTGTATTAAATATGTTTTTTTCTCTAAATCGTGATAATTGAAGTTTTAAATTCTAGAAAGATACATAGATATATTGTAGAAAACCATCAGAAAGCTTACGAATTGGATTCCGGTGTCATTGAGGATCCCGATACCGGCGGAGGCGAAGTTGGCGCCGATGAGGAGCTTATGCTTCTTGAGAAAGGGGCTTAGGTACGGCAATGGCGCCGGTTGACCTATATACTCACCTGCATATGTAAAAATATTATATATATATATATATATGTATACATATAACATCAAAAAAAAAATTATCCGTATGCTTTATATGTTTTGTTATGATTTAAATTTAAATGATTCCCCTGTCAAAATTCAAACGAATTATTTGCACAATACAAGGGTAACCCTGTACGTATATTCATCAAAACTAAGGTTTTAGTGAAAGGGTTTTCTTGGAGAAGAAGCAAACGAGGAGAGGACTTACTGATTATATCGGCGATGTTAAGGCCATTGGAGAATCGGCCGGGGGCCCTATGAGTCGGGAAGTCAATGCCGTATGGATAATTGTCGGCACGAGCCGTGGTAGCCAAGAAATCGTTGTTGCCATTGTCCACGAGAGAATCTCCGAACACGAAGAAAGCCCTAGCTTCGGCTTGCGATGCAAGTAAGCTCAACACCAGGCTGCAAAACCCTAGTGCCATCTTCATCATTTCCCTAAACTGCTAAACTACTTGTTTTGAAACTTTTTTTTTTTGAAATGCCCTCAACTTGAAAATAATTTGAAAGTTGTTTTTTGTTTTTGTGTGTACTTGGAGAATGTGGATGGATGAGAAACTGTGTTGTATGTGTGTATATATATATATAGATAGACGTGTAATGAAGGTTCTTGGAGAGGCCATTAATGGCGGTTTCCACCAACCTTTGGTGTTAGATGCGATTATATAGAGGCGCTCGTCAATGTGGTTTGCTCGTGTTCCTTAATGTTTTGGTGGGGAATATATTGTGGATTATGGTAAAACTTTAGATTTACATTTACTATATACACATATATATGCTGAATGGATTCCTAATATGTAAACTGATATACGGAGTGTGATTAACTGATATACCATTAATTAAATAAAATGAAAATGACACGGAATTTCATGAAATTTTATAAGAACAAACGATTGTTTTTTTCTCCTGAATTCCAAGTTATTTTCCCAAAATCCATCTTGATGTAGACTCAGATTTGTCTCACATTAATTACATGCTAAAAGTGTTGCGCATATTTTCCAAAAAAAACATATTTTTTCTTGAAAGATAATAATAAATCATTTTATTGGACAAATTTAATTGAAAAAAGGAGACAAAATGATGTCCAAATCAATCGAGTTATCATCCTAAAACATGATGTTTTTTTCCTCTTTGTCATTTGGGGGCCAATGTATTTGATAAAGATCTATTGAGTTTGGGAATCTCCGGACATTCTAATATCGAAGAAAATGAAATCAACCAATTTATTACAAGAATAAGCGCATGTCATGTACCTATATTATTTGCATATTATAATGATTTTGTTTGGTCTTATTCGGTGAGTTTTATTACGGCTAATTTGCCATTTTGAAAAATGGAAAGGAACCTCGTTTATGTCTTTTAATTTTTGTTTGGCATATACTTTCATTAGGTCTTACTTATATATGTTCATTTTATGATATATATATATATATATATATATATATTCATCATTGTCTCATTTTTGTACCTAAAAAGTAATTATATTTTCCATGCATATTAGTCTAAGTATGCTGACTATTAGAAAAACAATATTTCTAAGCACAAATATTGTTGCTGTTTGTTGTTGGAAAAAAATTTTGTTTTCTATAGACAAACTCTCATAAAAACTTCAACAAACGAATAATTCATTGTATTCATTTTCTTGCACATTTCTATATGATCTCAGTCAGTGGTGGATCTAGAGAATTCTATAATTGGGGACAATTTAGTTTTATTTATGATCAAACTTAATTTTATATGGGGGCATTTCATAGTTTTATTCAAAATTTTACAGATTTTGTATAGAAAATAAAAAATTTAATTGATTGAATGGAGACATGTGATCCATACACTTACATGTAGATACGCCACTGATCTCAGTTAATTGTCATATATCCTTTTGTTCTACGATAAATATCATTATATATATATATATATATATTAGGTATATTTTACTCTAGAAAAATAGAATATATGATAGTCTAAATAACTTTTTATTACATAAGTCAAATAAAAAAAATAACTTGAACTACTTATGGGGGCTAGGTGAAATTAATTAATGTGGGAGGCCAATAATGAGGTGAAAGAAGATTAAATCCAAGCCAATCTTTTCATGCTCTTCAATATCCTTTGTTCAGTTCAATCGGGAAACCGATGCAAAGTAAAATAAAAAAAATAAAAAAACAATAAGAATAACAATAACAATAAAAGGAAATTATATCGAATGGGCCTTTGCTTCATCTGACACCATTCGATTTCGTAAAGTACGCTGTCCAGATTTACTGATTCAGCCGCAGAGTTAGATCCTGAAATTGACCTTCGCCTCTCTACTCTCAACACAAATGTAGACAACATTTTTTTTTTTTTACAAATGGCAGATGAATGTTGGAATGGGTTTCAGGTGTTCGTGCTGATTTCTGTTGTCTTTACCTAGAGTAATATATTTATTTCTCTCTCTCCCTTTCACATGAAGTGGACGTGCCGGAGTGGTTATCGGGCATGACTAGAAATCATGTGGGCTCTGCCCGCGCAGGTTCGAATCCTGCCGTTCACGTCGTCCGCTTTTTTTTTTGCATGTGCGTGTGGAGATGTTAGTTAAATGAATGGCATCGATTCATCTCGAGTATAAAAAAACGTGAAAACAACTTGTTTTAGCCAGTAGCCCATGTGCGAATGAGATATCGTCACTGTAATAGAATCCCTGCTTGCCTTCACGTTCTTGCCTTTCCACAGATCGAGGAACATGTATTTTGGTCAAATATGTTACAAACCCAACCTTTGTTCATTTGGTAGAGTTGAGACTAAGACAGTAGTTGAAGCAGACAAGCCCTTGGATATGCCTGTTCTTATTATCCAGTTCAGACACACATATATATATATGTATATATATATATAGTTCTTGAGATCTGATATTCACATTTTTTTTGGGTTATAGTTTTAAACATTGTACTGGTGGTTGATTATGGATGTGATATTCACATTCATGATAGACAACCATACTCCAAGACAACACGAGGGCATGAAAGATCAAATACTTCTCCTTATAGAAATCCTGTTCTCCAACTGCCCTGCACGTTCTTACTCGCATTTAACTAAGAGAGATACCCAACAAATAGAAAACAATACCGACCTTAGCTCAGTTGGTAGAGCGGAGGACTGTAGTAGATGCAGCAAGATCCTTAGGTCGCTGGTTCGAATCCGGCAGGTCGGATATGTTTTCGTTGGTCAATTTTGTTTTCAATCCTACGTTCCTTCCTATTACTGTATTTTCTGAATATGGTCCAAGGCAACAAGGCAGAATGTTCATTTTCTTTTTTATATATTTGCCTACCTTGCTAACTAACTTTAGATCTATATATAGCTGGTCAAGGCCGACTTGAGAGCTCCATGTATGGATGTTTAGTTCATGCATGAACTTCACACTAATCATCGGGGCACAATTCTAAGAGTCGTTCGATCGATACCATAATCGAAGCCTCAGAGATCCTCAATCTCGTAGCATTTTGATCAACCATACCCCAAGACAGCATGAGGGCATGATGACCAAACACTGCTTCTTATAAAAAAAAAAAAGTTCTCCAACGATATTCAGCAACAAGTACAAAACAATACCGACCTTAGCTCAGTTGGTAGAGCGGAGGACTGTAGTTGTGAGCAGGAAAAATCCTTAGGTCGCTGGTTCGAATCCGGCAGGTCGGATATATATCTTTTCGGCGGTGAAATGTTTTTATTTATAGTCTTAGATAACACCATTGTCTTTCGTTATACAAAGCCCCTTAATTACCGAGTGGTAACGGTTAGTTAACATGATGATCTCACTGTCCTCTCGACCTTTATAGGATTTTATTATCGGGGAGGGTTCTTTGTTCTTGTTTCCCAATGCAATGTTCGAATTCTGCCGTTAACGTCTGTCACCGGTTTTTTTTTTTTTCATGTGTGTGTGGAGATGTCGTTATATATAATGGCATTGATTCACCTTGAGTTCAAAAAAAAATGAGAGAATAACTTATTTTAGCCACTAGCCCCATGTGCGCATGAGATCTGTCATTGAAATAGGATCTCGTCCTGTCTTCACGTTCTCGCCTTTCCACAGATCCACAAATATATATATATATATATATTTGGAAAAAATATGTTGCAAACCCAACCTCTGCTTAGTTTTTTATTAAACCTCTGCTTAGTTGTTTAGAGCTTAGACCTAAAAAATGTAGTTGAAGCAGATAAACCCTAATATATTATGTTCTCCAACTCCTCTCCACGTTCTTTTTTTTGTTTGTTTGTTAAGGGCAATTCTCCTACATATGCACGTTCTTACTCTGTGATTAAGTAGAAAACATGTTCAGAAAACAAGAAGAAAACAATACCGACCTTAGCTCAGTTGGCAGAGCGGAGGACTGTAGTAGATGCAGAACAATCCTTAGGTCGCTGGTTCAAATCCGGCAGGTCGGATATCTTTTCGGCACTCTCTCTATAAGAGTATTTTAGTGATAGGTTCTATATATAGGAACCATATGCCAAGATGTTTTTTTTCCCCTCAAAATTTACATATCTTGCTCGATCTATATATGGCTGCTCAAGGAGGAAATGAGAGTTACTTAAACTATAATAAAGACATTAAGTCAGCAATAAGACAGATATTAAGCGACAAGTAGAAATTAAAACAATACCGACCTTAGTGAAGAATTCTATAGAAATTGTGTTTGAAATGATGTGGAAAATTATAAGGATGAGAGTATAAAATAAAAGGGGAACTAAGTCCCTTGTTGTAATAACCATTAATTTACAAAGGCACATGTGAATATATAGACTAAGTGAACCAACGTCTACTTGAATGAAAAAAGGGAAGAATATAAAAATAAAATATTTACAAAGTGGGATAAGGAAGAAATCATTTAGGAGTATCTTCTAAACGGTCACATGATTGATGAGTGAATGCTGACCGAGATTGATTGATGATTTACTCAACCTTTCCTTATTTGTTTAGTTGATAATGTGCCAAGATTGAGAAGCCACATCATAAGGAAAGTATTCATCTTTTACGTTGAATGTGTGCATGGATTTGCATGACAAATGTTTCTTCTTTTTGACATCTTCTTTTGCATTCTTTGTCTTCAACACTTAGCTCAGTTGGTAGAGCGGAGGACTGTAGTCGACGCAGAAAGATCCTTAGGTCGCTGGTTCGAATCCGGCAGGTCGGAAATCTTTTCGGTGGTGAAACTTGTCTTCAATCCTATGTTCCTTTTATTACTGTACTTTTGAATAACTTCCAATATAACAAGGCAGAATTGTTTTTTTTTTTAATTACCTACCTTGCTAAGGACAACATGGGAGCTCTGTGGATGCTCAGTTCATGAATGAACTTCACATCAATCATTGGGCCACAGTTCTAAGGAAGCCCTCACAGTCAGAGAATCTTGCAGTGGCTGATGAAGTCAATCCTATGTTGCTTTTGTCCACTTTGTTCATTTCTTGTAATATATGATTCTCATTTTCATTTCTGTTCGCTTACTGTCATCTTGCAATGTTTTATTTGGGATCTACTAAAATATGTAGGTATCATTGGACAAAATAACTTTTTGGGGTGAATTGTAATTATTCATAGTTTAGGGTAATTTTAGATAAAAATAATAATATACGGGTATATCGATCAAATTCAGGGATCCTGGCGCAATTTCAATATAGTTAAGAAGCGTACCGACCTAATCGAAAAGGAAACCGAACCGGATATGGGCTAACAGTAACGCATACGTATATTTTCGTTATAATGTTGCAGAAAAAAAAAATATCGAAGTCCCGATTGTCTGTATGAACAAATCAAGATTCAAGACCATCGCTCTCGTCATTCTCACACTTGAAACACGAAGAAGTCCTGTGTGATTCTCATACTAGCTTCTCGAAGGTTCTTCCGCCATGGGAGCTACCAGAAAGCTTCAAGGAGAGATCGATCGCGTCCTCAAGAAGGTCCAGGAAGGCGTCGAGGTCTTCGATAGCATCTGGAACAAGGTCCGATATCTTATTCTTCTTCTTATTCTACTTGTTCTTTTCCTAGAAAAAAATGAAAATTGGAGATAGGAAAATCAAATTGCCATTTGTGTTACTCGATTATGGATTGAAATTGTGAAATTCTACGTCTCTGGGTCGCTATGTAGGATGCGAAGATTTCAAATCGGTCATCATTTGTTTGTTATGTGATCAAATCTGGAAGTAGTTCAGCTCTGATACTATGTCTCGTCTGTGTTCTTGTTTTTCACCTTGGAAAATGAAGGGAAAGTTGTTTGAAATGTAGGATATGATGCAGAACTGGCTAGATGTTTGGACCGGCTCTGCTGATTTTCTGATTTATGTCTAGTACAGTTTCGTAAAGGATTGGAGCTTGGTTTTCTTGTTGTTTAGGTTTACGACACAGATAATGCTAACCAAAAGGAGAAGTTTGAGGCGGATTTGAAGAAGGAGATCAAGAAATTGCAGAGATATAGAGATCAGATCAAAACATGGATTCAGTCAAGCGAGATCAAGGATAAAAAGGTGTAACTCATCCTGTTTTGTAACTCTTTTTACTGCTTGCATGGTGTTTGTGATATTACATTTTTGGTTTGCGTTTTCTCAGCAAAAAGGATTCTGCGTACAAATTTTTATTTTATCTGCTATAACAATGAGTTTTTACTTTTTAGCATAGTTATCAGACAACCTGATCAAAACTAAAAAAAAAAATCTTAAGTCATTCTATAAGGTCATCTATATATAGACAAATTTACAAAAACACTTATCAAATATTCAGATCTCTCTGATGAATTTGCAAAAGCTGGTGGTCATTGCAAGTGATCTGATTGATGGCACGGTTGTTCACTTTCAGGATGTTCAATGTGTTAATAGCTGCAATGTAAATGGGTTTATGTAGTAACATGGTCCTGCATTTCATGTCACTTCAATATTCCGTGTTTTATCCTATTACAAACATTATGTATGTGTTTATTCAAACCTGATTTTCATCCTCCATGTTTTACTATGTAGAAGGCATTGGCTGCGTTAAATGCAGCCATTATGTTAGTTATCTCGTTGATACGTCTCTGTCGATGTTGAATGACGCTACCGGGACATGGTGACTTTCTCAGAGGAGGCATAATTGATTTTGTTTGACCTGTTTTCTGCAGGTCAGTGCTTCCTATGAGCAGGCCCTGGTGGATGCCCGCAAACTTATTGAGCGCGAAATGGAAAGGTTTAAAATATGCGAGAAAGAAACTAAGACAAAGGCATTCTCTAAAGAGGGTTTGGGTCAGCAACCAAAAACGGTAAGCAATCTATGGATTTTTGCTTATCAACATATAATTCAAAGGCATGTGACATGAATTATGTTTTATTGTTTTACTTATTTTATTCCTGTTCTTTGACGTTCAAACAAGTGATGAACACTTAGGGAATGCATCTTTTTCTTCTCGTTGTTCCTTGTCTTTTTGTTCAATATCACGTACCTTCATGTGTGCACCCTTTAATTGGTCGTGCTGAAGAAAATACTTAAAGCATGGAGCTTAATTTTCGATGAAAGAATTTTCTTCCATTCGAACTACGTATATGTCTGTTAAGCGTTTCTTGGTCAGGATCCAAAGGAGAAGGCAAAGTCCGAGACAAGAGAATGGTTAAACTCTGTGGTAAGAACATAAGCTCTTTCCTTTTTGTTAGTGGATTCTTAACCACTTGTTTAAGCAATCAAAGAGAACCTTGTTTTAATTTCAAGTTTTGTCAGCTCGGTAGTGTCCATGTCATCTTGAATGACCTTAGTTGGTAGAACTTTGCCTTTTGAGAGTTATATGCTATCCGAGTGCTTTGCTGATTGCAAGGAAATTGTCTGTTAACTGTTCTAGGTATGGTTGATGTTTAGTGCTGGCGTATGGCATGTAAAATTTACTAAAGAAGCCAAATTAACTTTTTCGGTTTTGTCTCATACTGGAATCAATAGTAGTCTGATACACTCTTTATTCCTGCAGGTTGGGGAGTTGGAGCAACAGATTGATAGTTTTGAAGCAGAACTTGAAGGACTGACTGTTAAGAAAGGGAAGACAAGACCTCCTAGATTGGTAGGATGAAGGAGAAAATTTAGATATCTAAAATGGCTTTGATTTTTTTAAATTAATTTATTTTCCTTCATCAGACACATTTGGAGACATCCATAACTAGGCACAAGGCTCATATAATGAAGCTAGAGTTGATCTTGAGGCTTCTCGATAACGACGAGTTGAGTCCCGAACAAGTTAATGATATCAAAGATTTTTTGGACGACTATGTGGAGCGCAATCAGGTTTGTGTTTTTCAGTTTTCTGAGCCAACGTTATTGACTGTTTAAAACATTTGCTTTCACAAAGTTGAGAATCTCCTGGAAGAGGAGTTCTATGCTCTTTTATACCTTATTATCTCACTTGAGCAATTGTTCCCATTTTCATGTTTTAAGGTTGTTAATACATAATAATGCTTTTCTAGGATGATTTTGATGAATTTAGCGATGTTGATGAGCTATACAGCTCATTGCCGTTAGACAAGGTGGAATCTCTTGAAGATTTGGTGACCACTGGCCCTCTTGTCAAGGTAAACTATACTAAAGCTGTGAGTGGTCCATTTGAAAAGTTCTATTTGTTACATTAGCATTCAGCTGGTAAAGGGATTTACAATCCATCTTCCAGTTCAGTACCTTGTTTATCAGTTTTTTTTTTTTGTAAAGTTATCCTGTTTGTCTCAGAATCTCGTACTCGCTCTCTCTCTCTCTTACTTGTTTTTTAAGCCGTGTTTTATCTTGGCAGGGTACACCAATTAGCTCGAAGAATTCTTTGGCAGCATCAGCTTCTATTACACCTGTATGTGTGCCTTTTCGCTACTCTGCTATTGGCAATTGGAATTCAAATGAGAATAGAAAGCTAGGGTAGTGTGAATGTCAATGACTAGCTTAACCTTGCCCTCTTTCTTGCACAGAGAGAAAAAAGAATCTTCCTCAGGCTCTTGCTTTGCTGGGAAAAATATTATCAGGATAGATGATTTCTTACATTAATAGTTTTACCTGAATATGAAAATCATTTTCCATTGATGTCTTAGTTTTTCTTCGTTACTTTTTTTAGCTTATGGTCAGTGTGGTGACGTTGGTGTGCTCTCGTTCTATTCCTGTTATTGCTCAGTAAGATGACTCAATTGTTACGTGGTTGTGTTGTTTCAGAGCACTGTTACCTCTACCCGACTGCAGAGTACGTTCCTGGAGCAGACTGAAGATAAAGCTTCGACTGTTAATTCTGACTCAATTCCAAAAACTCCTCTGTCCAAAATTAGTACAGCAGCAGCTTCACAAGCTAATGAGGCTCAGGCCACTCCTATATCTGTTAATGTTCCTTCTCAAAGTCTGACTGTGACAACAAAATTTACGGAGAACTCTGTAAATTCCCCTTCTCCTGTAAGCCCATCAATAGCTAAGGGAGAAGATGTGGCCAGCTTGCCTGGTAGGAGATTATCCCCATCCCTTGTGAGAAACAGTATCTCCATCCAATCGCCTTCACCAATCCCTCTATCTCCAGGTGGAGGTCCTAGTGGTGGAGCTCATAGTGGAGTTCCATTGGCCTCTGAAACCGCTAAAAGAAATACTTTAGAAATTGACAGCAGACTTGGTAATAATACCTCAGGACACCCACCAATGTCACCACTAAGTAACAGAATGATGTTGCCTCATGCCGCCAAAAGCAATGACGTAACCAGCGTGATTGATGCTAATCAGAGCGAGGCTAGTGTTATAGCCGGAAGAGCCTTTTCACCTTCCACGATATCTGGGATGCAGTGGAGACCTGGGAGTCCCTTCCAAAATCAGAGCGAAACAGTATGTTGTTTCTGTAAGACTCTCATTTTGTGCATTCCTTATTGACAACGTTGTTTTTCAAACAAACTATAATTATGTTTCATGTAGTGTTCTTCGGTTCTGCTTTTTTTGGATATATTTACCTTTTCTTCAGCTGGACAGGGGCGACTTTTCTAGAATAGTCATGGAGAAGTTCTGTTTTCTCGTGTTAATATGTTTCTGTATCTCAGGGCCAGTTCCCTGGAAGGCCTGAAATAGTACCTGATCAGAAGGAGATATTTTTGCATCGGTTACAGCAAGTTCAACAGCAAAGTCACGGTAATCTCCTTGGCATGTCTCATCTTACTGGAGGAAATAGTAAGCCAATGTCTACCCAACAGCAAAACCCGCTCTTGCAGCAAGTACTCTCTTTTCCGTCGGTTCTTCTTTTTATCATATAGCATATATAATTTTTCGTTTGACCTAGTTTTTGAATTTTCATCCAAACTGATTCATTTTCTTTTCTCATATTTCGTTAAATTTTGTCAGGGTTCGTCCATGACACCTCAGGGTGGTCCAGGATCCAGAGTTCAGTTATCTGGTCTGACTAATAATATTGGTCTCCAACAGCAGTCAAGTTTCATGCAAGAACAACTTAGTCAGCAACTGATGTCAGGTACTACCAAATATGTTCTCTCTTTATAATGTCAGTCTATGTGCTGTCATACTTTTCGGATTTGTTTTGTTCTTTCTGTGCAGTCGGGTGAAACAAGAAATTTCTCGTGCTAGTTAAACTGAAAAAGTTTTCTTTCCAACTTACCAATACCATAACTTCTAACTAGTGGTGCAATGGTGTGATGCTGGTTCCATATAGTTTCTTCAAATGTGATATATGATTGTTGACATGAAAAACATGTGATTTTTTAATGCTCAGAAATATTATACAGTATATGAAAATCCTCTCCAAAGGTAGCTTATAAACTTGTCGAAACTCCAGCTTTTGATTGTTAAATAGCATTGCAATGCTCGAAACTATCTATATCAGATCCCATGAATAACATTGAAATATATTACTGATGGTTGACGCAGATATAGGGCAATTGAAACATGAGGAGATGCAGCAGAACTTACATCAAGATCCAATTCCAGAACCTGCCTCTAAGACCATTGAAGCTGATCTAAAACCTCGACCTATCTCTCCTGTATGTGCTTCCGTGATCCTAAGCATCTTTCGCATTATCTTTCTCCTCTTCCTTGCTTTTGGCATTTCTGGTTTCTAATTACTGTGTTTTGTTTTTAGTTTCTGGTCTGGTGATGAAAATTCTATATGATTTTTTTATAAGGTGTCGCCCCCTGAGCCTGCTAGAGCTGTTGAGTTCTCTCCGGGAGAACCCATACAGCCGAATCAAGTATCAGGTAACCTCGGTGCCATTGGTCGCAGAAGCGCAGCTGATCTTGGTGCAATTGGTGATGGCACAAGTGCATCACCTGTCAACTCTGGTGAAATTCATGACCGAAGATTCAGATATCAGATGCTTGAGGCTGCTCTTAAGCGACTTCCCCTTCCAAAAGATTCTGAACGCCCCAGGCAATATAATCCGGTAACGGAATTTCTCTTAATATATCTCTGAGCACAAATATCAACCAGTGAGTGACTGCACTTACCAATGAATTTTTTTAGCCAACAAGGATACGTTTTCATGCCACATAACTGCTGTATCCATATCCTCTATGTTGCCCCTTGTTCTTCAGGTTTTTGAAGTGTTAGAATAATAATAGATTCCAAAACTAGTTACCAAGCTGACTAGTATTTCAGATTTACCGAGTCATCACGAAATCTTTTGTGTTGACCCTCTCGCAGAGACGACCTGCAGCAACCCCTCCGAGCTATCCTCAAGTCCAGGCACCGATCATTAACAACCCGATGTTCTGGGAAAGGCTCAGCAACGACACTCTCTTCTTTGCGTTTTACCATCAACAGGTACACGAATAGGGTGTTTCTGGTAGTCTACCATCGGCCGGTGCTAGATAACCGTAATGGACAATGATGTTGGGCACCTTATAACAGTAGTCACAAATATTCGGAACCTTTAGATATCCCATCAAATTCAAAATTCAGATGTATGTCCAAATCCTATTCTGAGATAAACAATTACATGTTGAGAAGTTTCTAAAGAAAATAAGAGACATATATATGCTAAAAGACATCTTAGATTCTGTTTAAAGTGTTTTTGATCTTGTCTCCATCCAAAGAAACCAGTTTAACATCACACTATATAGATATATAAATCGGCCTGCACATAACTAATCAGTTAGATTATCAAAGAGTTGCAAATCACCTCTTACATAGGGATGAACCCCGATCCAAGAAATCCGGATATCGAGGTTGAACAAATAGTAAAGCAAAGCGGATCATGGATATCAAATTTGGCAAAATTATCGATATTTGATCTGTTCCATGCATTCAGTAAGTAGTGTTTCACTCTAATCATGGTTCGATTTCAGATACCTCTTGTATTGTGTTGAGAGTCTTATTTTTTTTTTTTTACGGTTGTTTCCTGCAGAATACCTACCAGCAATATTTGGCGGCGAAAGAGCTGAAGAAACAAGCTTGGAGATTCCACAAAAAACTCAACACATGGTTTCAACGTCACGACGAACCAAAGATCGCAACCGATGAGTACGAGCAAGGCGCTTACGTATTCTTCGACTACAACGTAGACAAAGATGGGCAACATGGATGGTTAAAGATCTTTCCAACCTCTTATACAAATTTCATCGTATGTGTTTCCCATAGTAACACATCTCTAATTCGCAGGTGCTCGATGATCAAACATGATTTTGCTTTCGAGTATCAGTACCTCGAGGACGAACTCGGTGCGTAAGTTTGAGACCGATGCTCTAGTTAGGTATGTATATATACATGACATGATGAATGATCTGTAACTTTATGTGGAGTTCAGTTTGTATATTTATTGGGAAGATGTGTAATTGGGCTTGACTTCGCTAGTTCATGTAAGTTGAAAACATATGTCGGGTCTATGTGCATATGTATATATGTATGTCTATGTACCAAACATCTGCCAATGAAATGTGTGTTATTTTAGTTTTGTTGGGTATATGTTGTCTGCCAAAGTAATAACTTGGAAATTAATTCGATAAAATATTCGTTTTTCTATATATCATGTTTGAAAACAAAACTCGATATATTAAAGAATTCATAAATAAACAACGTTATTAAAAAAATGATTATAAAATTACTTTTATATTTTATGATTGAAAAATATATAATTTTAAGAAATCTTAATATGTGTATATATATATATTAAAAAATATAAAAAAATATATAGATATATACACGGGTTTCCGTTAACAATGACGGTCTGTGTGTATGTATTCAATTTTGATGATTGTGCCTTTTATATTATAAAGATTCTGTTAGGCGTTAACCGTTATAACTGTGCGTGAATCTCCCAAATCAATAATGGCAAGTAAATAATTGTCCTTGTTGGGAGATTTTTGCCACCAATACGCATGATATTTGTTGATACGATTCTTCTTCGAAATCTTGGACCACAGTAATAATATCCCGACATAATACTTAATGCATCATTATGCATATACATACACTTGTACATCAATACAGGTTATCAAACCGTGTCCACTTATACATATCGTATAAGTACACGTGCACCAACACACGTTATCAAACCGTGTCGATGGACATAACAGAGCTTATGGAAGTTCTGATCCGTTAGTGACTCATTGGCGACATACTCCCCATCTCTTGTTAAAAAAAATTAAAAATAAATAATAATAATAATAATAGTAACCCACAAAATTGTACCGAAAGAAATTTGAAGACGAAATTATTGAAATCATCGACACGGGAGAAAAAACAGTTTCCTTTTGCCTTTTAAGTTTCTTTCCTCATCAATTCTACGCGTTATCTCTCTCTTGTTCATTCTCTTTATGAATCATTCATCTGTCTCCCATATCTGTTTTGTTTTTATTTTTGCTCTTTGCAAAGTTGTTCTTCCGTAAATTGGCGATTTCAGGTTTATTGATTTTCCATTAGGTTTTTGCGTTCTGTTTCTTCACTTCCGCAGTAATACAAACAGAGCCGTCTCCACACATTCTCTTCCTTTTCGTTTCGATTTTCTCTTTCATCAGATTCCGGAAAGTTCTCAGGAAAAGAATCGCTTCCGTTTCGCTGATCTCTCCTGACCCACCCTCAAAAGCCGCTGCCTCCCACTCTTTGCCCATCAACTTTCTCGGAAAATCTCTGTTTTCCGAGAAAGAAAGAAAAAAACAAACCCATGGCCGAAAAATGCAAACTTTCCCCCCTGATTGCGTATCTAACACTCATTCCTCTTCTGGGTCTCCATTTTTATCCAGCCAATGGGCTTGGTGTCAACTGGGGAACTATGGCAACCCACAAACTGCCGCCGAAGACGGTGGTTCAGATGCTTAAAGACAATAACATCAACAAAGTGAAGCTGTTCGACGCCGAGGAATCCACCATGAGAGCTCTCGCTGGTTCAGGCATCGAAGTGATGGTCGCGATTCCAAATGATCAGCTTAGAGTTATGGGAAGTTACGATCGGGCAAAGGAATGGGTTCAGAGGAATGTCTCTCGTTATAACTTCGATGGCGGTGTTAATATCACGTGAGTTCTTCTTCTTCTTCTTCTTCTTCTGTTTTGTATTGGTCTTGTTTTCTGATGATTCGTGGCTTGTAGAAATTGGTTCGAGTAAATTTTTGGTTTTTTAAGGTTTCTTTTGTCTGAAGAACAGAAAAGGGTGTAGAAAGTTTTTGTCTGATTGTTGAAACAGAATCTCTGGAAGCCCCCTTTAGATGTCCTGTTTGAATGTATTCAGATATGGACAAAGTGAGTTTGGATTTGTCTGGTGAATATAGACTAAGATTTTGTCTCTTTGTAATCTGTTCGTGTCTGTAAATTTCTACTTGAACTGGTTTTTGCCTGTATAATACAACACTATCTGTTTCGATGCAAATTATGTCTATCAAAATGCCTCCAATCTGTCTGATGCATAATATAACTCAGATGCTGAAATTCTTATGGATTTGGACATTCTTACACTCAGGTATGTAGCTGTTGGGAACGAGCCTTTTCTGACATCGTACAACGGATCATTCGTAAACCTCACTTTCCCGGCGCTTCAGAATGTCCAAAATGCTCTAAACGAAGCTCGGTTAGGACACGTCAAGGCAACGGTTCCTTTGAATGCCGACGTATATGATTCACCGGCCAATAACCAGGTGCCATCTGCAGGAAGGTTCCGACCCGATATCATCAGTCAGATGACTGAGATTGTCGATTTTCTCGGCAAGAACAACGCTCCCTTCACCATTAACATATACCCTTTTCTGAGCTTGTACGGAAGCAGCGACTTCCCGTTTGATTATGCGTTCTTCGACGGTCCTACTCAGATCGTGGACAACGGGATTCAGTACAATAATGTCTTCGATGCTAACTTCGATACCTTAGTCTCAGCTCTGAAAGCTATTGGTCACGGAGACATGCCTATTATTGTTGGAGAAGTCGGTTGGCCGACTGATGGTGACAAGAATGCAAATACTGGTACGGGTTACATTTCTTGAGAATCGGTATTCCTCAATCATAATATCTGATTTCGCTTTCCGGGTCTGGTTTAATCTTTTGATGCAATGTGTATTTATTTGCAGGCAATGCACTTAGATATTACAATGGACTTTTACCGAGACTTGCAGCCAATAAAGGAACTCCATTGCGACCTGGTTATATCGAGGTATACTTGTTCGGATTACTTGATGAGGATGCCAAGAGTATTGCCCCCGGGAACTTCGAACGTCACTGGGGAATTGTTAGGTTCGATGGGCAACCGAAGTTCCCGCTGGACTTATTGGGTCAAGGTCAGAACAAGTTTCTGATCGGTGCCCAGAACGTGAAATATCTGCAGAACAAGTGGTGTATGTTCAATCCAGAAGCCAAAGATATAAGCAAGCTTGCGGAAAACGTAGATTATGCTTGTACTCATTCCGATTGCACGGCTCTCGGGTTCGGATCCTCGTGCAATAGCCTCGACGCTCACGGGAATGCTTCATACGCGTTTAACATGTACTTCCAGGTGAGGAACCAGGAAGAGGACGCTTGTTTCTTCCAAGGTTTGGCAACCATTACCACTCAGAACATTTCTCAGGGCCAATGCGATTTCCCCATTCAGCTCGCTGCTGCTTCATCATCATCATCATTATCGTCATCACCATTGTCATCTTCTTCTCTGGTTCTCTGGATTGTCAGATTCTTGTTTCTCTGGTTACAGCTAGTTCTTTTCTCTTAGATTCAGCGGTCAGAGGGTAGGGAGATTTTTGGGCGGGGGAACAATTCTTGATTCTTTTTTCAATCGACTGGATAACATATATATATAGTGATGGGGATACAATACACAATGCTTGTATTCGTTCGTTTCCAATGTGAGGTTCATAGTCCGAGACATTTGCAATGCAGTTAAATCTTTGTGCATCAAGATTCATTCTTTTGGAAGACAAGTTCATCTCGCAGCTTAAACATATTCTAGTACTCTGATATACTTATACGTGTAATCATATGATTCGAATGCAAGCTTATCATTCATTCAAAATACACAAATAACACATCATAATCTCATAACAAGCAGCGTCTCATACAAACAAGAGCATAAATCCTCCTGTCCAATATGCAAAAGAAACAAACAAGTGGAGATAACAAGAAACAGTTTCAGAAGTAGTAAAGATACCTGGGAGATTCTTGCCTTCAGTGGAACCAAATGACCGAGCTTAGGAGAGATCCGTTCTTTTCTTCTGGATGATGGGTTATGAAAGATTCTCACACGAAACACCGTTTTCTGTTATGAAGTAATGTTTGATGGTAGGAATGTGATTAACCTTTGAACAGTCTTTGCTTTGCTCTTCGCGTATACTTTCTACCAGCTTATCTGAAACATTTCTCAGACGTAGTTCTTGAAGTTTGGTAAGATTTTCGATGCCGCTAGGTAAACTCTTTATCATTACACAATCTTTGATATGCAGCTTTTGTAGACTAGGCATTGCGCCTTCCTGTATAACGATCTCATTTAAACGTGGCATGTCGCCTATCAACAGAATCTTCAAACTCTGAAACCCTTCTGGAAAGCATAACTTATCTCCCTCGTATGCATTGAAAAACGAAAGCCAAACCAAATAAGGGAGCGCTTGGATACAAGGGATCGCATCTTGTGCTAGTCTTGACCAACGCAAGCATAGTTCGGTAAGATTGTGAAGAGTATTGAACCAGCTAGGTAGCCTCTCTAGTTTCCCTGATAGAAAAAGCTTCTCGATTGTTGTAGCAGGTGACAATGCATCAAGTTGTAGAGGCTCGTTTTCATCAATCGACCAAAGAGACACAAACCTAAGATCCTTCATCTTATTGAGGGCATTGCATAAGTCATGTCCATGATGTTTTCTCACGTTGACCAGACCGATCCTTGTGAGTTGTGTCATGTCACCGAGGTTCCTGATGAGCTCGTTTTCAGCATGGATGCAGTCCATAACCTGCAATCTCTTCAGCTGACAAATATCAGATGAAACCTTTGTGCCTGAAACGATGCTCCAGTCAGAGTTACTATGACTAAAAGTAACAAGATATCGCAAGTTTTCCAACTTTGAAATACCCGTAGGAAGCTCCTTAATCTTGGAGAATTTAGTGTTCAACGTCTCCAGGTTAAGGAGCCTACGGAAGGATTTTGGAAGTTTTCTCACACGAGTTCCTGTCAAATTCAGGTACTTTAAGTTGAACAGAGTCGCCAACGAATCAGGCAGTTTTCTAATGCGAGAGTCTTCAAGGTCTAAAGCTCTCAAAAGCTTCAATGCAGTAGGCAATGCAACCTTCTGTTTGGTAGTTGAATACACCAAAAGGGTTTGGAGATTTCGTTGAGCGATACTTGAACTTATCTCCCTCTGAATACATAAATGGCGAGTTTCGCCATCTTGGACATCTTCCGCCTTATCATTAAACACATCGCAAAACTTCTCATCTCTAGATATCATCAAAGAAATCTCTCTGACCATATCATGCATCTTGAATGCCTTTGGGCGCCCGTTGTGGTTTCTAAACACCACTTGGAACATGTTTCTATAAACAAGCTCCATGATATAGCTATCCGCCACTTCTTCTGGTTTTACTCCTCTGGTTGGTTGCACAAACCCTTGTGCCATCCATAACCTGATCAACTTCTTCCTTTTGATGATGTAGTCTTCTGGAAAAATACAGCAATATAGGAAGCAATGCTTAAGTGGATATGGCAAATCGTTGAAACTAAGAATTAAGATCCTTTGAACATCCTTGAGGTCGGGATTATTGCTCAATTCCCAGTTCAAGCTGTTGTAAACTCTCCTCCATTCTGATTCTAATCTCCTTGTCGACATCATGCTACCCAAAGCCACAAGAGCTAATGGTAGGCCTCCGCATTTCTGAACGAGATTCCTCGCTATAGGTTCTATATTTGGCGCTATGTGTTGTTCAGGACTCCCTGAAAATGCCCTCTTGCGGAATAGCTCCCAAGCCTTATCTTCCTTTAAAGGTTCGATCCGGTGGAATCGGTTCATCGTTCCGTAAGAGAAATGAGCTATTCTCTCTTCACGGGTGGTGATCATCACACGACTTCCGTGAATGCCATCTGGAATGGCTACACTAATCTCCTTCCAAAAACCAGTATTCCAGACATCATCTAGCACGATGAAATACCTCTTAGGTTGGAGATAGTTCACAAGCATCTCCACCAACTCTCTGTACCTCATGGATGATAAGTCAGATGGAACTTGCAATCCTTGTTCTTTGGAGAAATCCTTGATCATTGTCCTAAAGACATCTTCGATATCATAGGATTGAGAGATTGTCACCCATGAATATGAATCAAAGTGCCTCCTTACACGTTGAGATCTGAAGATGTTACCGACAAGAGTTGTCTTTCCCGAACCACCCATACCAACGTCGTACCGGTTGTTGGTATGGGTGGTTCGGGAAAGACAACTCTTGTCGGTAACATCTTCAGATCTCAACGTGTAAGGAGGCACTTTGATTCATATTCATGGGTGACAATCTCTCAATCCTATGATATCGAAGATGTCTTTAGGACAATGATCAAGGATTTCTCCAAAGAACAAGGATTGCAAGTTCCATCTGACTTATCATCCATGAGGTACAGAGAGTTGGTGGAGATGCTTGTGAATTATCTCCAACCTAAGAGGTATTTCATCGTGCTAGATGATGTCTGGAATACTGGTTTTTGGAAGGAGATTAGTGTAGCCATTCCAGATGGCATTCACGGAAGTCGTGTGATGATCACCACCCGTGAAGAGAGAATAGCTCATTTCTCTTACGGAACGATGAACCGATTCCACCGGATCGAACCTTTAAAGGAAGATAAGGCTTGGGAGCTATTCCGCAAGAGGGCATTTTCAGGGAGTCCTGAACAACACATAGCGCCAAATATAGAACCTATAGCGAGGAATCTCGTTCAGAAATGCGGAGGCCTACCATTAGCTCTTGTGGCTTTGGGTAGCATGATGTCGACAAGGAGATTAGAATCAGAATGGAGGAGAGTTTACAATAGCTTGAACTGGGAATTGAGCAATAATCCCGACCTCAAGGATGTTCAAAGGATCTTAATTCTTAGTTTCAACGATTTGCCATATCCACTTAAGCATTGCTTCCTATATTGCTGTATTTTTCCAGAAGACTACATCATCAAAAGGAAGAAGTTGATCAGGTTATGGATGGCACAAGGGTTTGTGCAACCAACCAGAGGAGTAAAACCAGAAGAAGTGGCGGATAGCTATATTATGGAACTTGTTTATAGAAACATGTTCCAAGTAGTGTTTAGAAACCACAACGGGCGCCCAAAGGCATTCAAGATGCATGATATGGTCAGAGAGATTTCTTTGATGATATCTAGAGATGAGAAGTTTTGCGATGTGTTTAATGATAAGGCGGAAGATGTTCAAGATGGCGAAACTCGCCATTTATGTATTCAGAGGGAGATAAATTCAAGTATCGCTCAACGAAATCTCCAAACCCTTTTGGTGTATTCAACTACCAAACAGAATGTTGCATTGCCTACTGCATTGAAGCTTTTGAGAGCTTTAGACCTTGAAGACTCTCGCATTAGAAAACTGCCTGATTCGTTGGCGACTCTGTTCAACTTAAAGTACCTGAATTTGACAGGAACTCGTGTGAGAAAACTTCCAAAATCCTTCCGTAGGCTCCTTAACCTGGAGACGTTGAACACTAAATTCTCCAAGATTAAGGAGCTTCCTACGGGTATTTCAAAGTTGGAAAACTTGCGATATCTTGTTACTTTTAGTCATAGTAACTCTGACTGGAGCATCGTTTCAGGCACAAAGGTTTCATCTGATATTTGTCAGCTGAAGAGATTGCAGGTTATGGACTGCATCCATGCTGAAAACGAGCTCATCAGGAACCTCGGTGACATGACACAACTCACAAGGATCGGTCTGGTCAACGTGAGAAAACATCATGGACATGACTTATGCAATGCCCTCAATAAGATGAAGGATCTTAGGTTTGTGTCTCTTTGGTCGATTGATGAAAACGAGCCTCTACAACTTGATGCATTGTCACCTGCTACAACAATCAGATGTTAGAGATTCTGTTGTACAACATCCATGATTTCCACTCAAATCTAATCGACAAGCAACGAGAAACAAGCCGATCATGACAAATAATCGATCAAAATCCATGAACCCTGGAAATAATGGCAATGGGTAGATGGATACAACACATAATTACCCATTTCGGATTCCGATCACAGTACACACAGCGAGCGACAGAGAAAGAAAATACTTCGTTTTCCAGAACGCTTAAGATCCTTCCGATCCCGAAATCTATGGCGGCTGATGCCATCTTCCCTCCGTGGGAGGATGTATCAGCTTTGTTTAACCAAAGAGACACACTAGTGCTTTCTCGTATTTTACAATATACCAAAAAATAAAATGATCCAAGTTTTTGAATCATTATTTTCGGTCTTTTGAGTAAAAGGTATATTTCCCATGTTGAATTCTTTTTATTCTTCACTGGAAAAAAATAAGATGAAAAATTAGGATCCACGCTGGGAATCCATTAAGCAAATACTCAGTATTAAATCTCTGAAACTGTTTGTCTTTATGGAAAATAACGAAGCATGCAGGAAATATGGATTTATTACTTTTCTCGATGACGAATATTCGACGTATCTCTAAGAATCCGACAAAATTTGGCAATCCTCGTCGGCCACATGACCATAGGCATTTATTCTTGGTCGTCGCCTTTGTGATAAGTTATAAAGGAAATTTGGTCGAATGCGAAAAACAAATATCTCCATGAAATATACTCCTTAAAAAAATTTGTAAATTATATATATACTATATTTTTACATATATATTATCCAAAATAACTATAATATTCATTTAATTTATTTTTCTTCTTTATTGTTTTTTCGTTTCTTTTGTAGCTACCAATTAATTTAAACCTATTCTTTTTCCCCTTTTTTTTAAATCTTTCTCCTTTTTCTTTATATATATTCTGTGTAACAACTAAAAATCACCAATATTTTATAGATTTCGGACAAGCGCACAAATTACACCTCCTTTTTATTATATTTTGCAGAAAGCCACGCGTATTATACAAGATTGGATATAGCCTAAAATACAATGGAATTGTATTATTGGCTTTATTATTTATACTAAGCCTTTATTTCATTATTAGTGGAACCAACTTGATGCATCGATGACCTAACTCGTCTTCAATATCCTTAGTTGGTTGTATTTTATTTTATTATTGAATAAGTCAATAATTTTGATTTTTTTTGTAGGTCAATAATTTTGAATAAGTCAATAATTTTGAATAAGTCAATAATTTTCAATATCCTTATTGAATAAGTCAATAATTTTGTATTTTATTATTGAATAAGTCAATAATTTATTGAATAAGTCAATAATTTTAGTTCATTTATAGAAAGTCCATCGATACTTCATTTATTTACAAATTTTTCTAAAATCATTCAGAAATAATCTTCTTATAACAATTTCATTCTCGTTTTCTAATGAGACGGAAGACAAATCTATCATATGGAAATTGATATTGGAATTATAGATAGATAGAAAAAAATACATAAAACACAAACTTATTCGTATATACCTAAATAGTCTTAAACATTTTGATTAGGCTGCACATTTATGTCCATATATATCAATGGTTTATAAACACTAATAAAAATCATCGGAAATCTTTTGCATTACGGTTTTAGGCAAATCTAGAATGCATTAAACATTTCTTCATTATCTTCCAAAATTTTTTTTCATCAATTACTTTATACCATTATTCCCCCAAAAATGTACCATTTCAAACATAAACACGAAGGTATTTTTTAATCAGAGTATAATTCAGAATTATGTAAACAAAGTCCAAAAGTAATATTATTGATCAACAAATATGCATGATAGGTTATAATTCTTTTTATTATGTAAGACTACCATTCTATTTTCTTTACAAAAGATGATTTTCTTTTTAAAATTTCCATACAGTTCCTTCATGAAACAAAAAAGAGTATAAAAAATCTATAAATTATGTTAATCTGATTAAAAAATATGTATAACTATCTAACAACGAATTCATTGATTTATAATTAAAATATCTAACATTTGCATAATAATATCGTACATTGAACAGGTCAATCCTTGTGAGTTGTGTCATATTACCGAAGTTTATTATGAGCTCGGTTTCAACATGGATGCAGTTCATGACCTGTAATCTCTTCACCTGACAAATATCGGGTGAGACCTTTGTACCTAAAATGCTCCAGTTAGAATTACTATGGCTAAAAGTAACAAGATATTGCAAGTTTTCTAACTTTGAAATCCTCGTAGAAAGCTCTATAATCGTGGAGAACTTAGTGTTCAACGTCTCCAAGTTAAGAAGTCTACAGAAGGATTTTAGAATTTTTTTCACACGAGTTCCTGTCAAATTCAGGTACTTTAAGTTGAACAGATCGTCAACGAATCAAGCAGTTTTCTAATGCGAGAGTCTTCAAGATCTAAAACTCTCAAAAGCTTCAATGTAGTGGGCAATGCAACATTCTATTTGGTAGTTGAATACACCAAAAGGGTTTGGAGATTTCGTTGAGCGATACTCGAACTTATCTCCCTCTGAATGAATAAATGGTGAGTTTCTCCATCTTTGACATCTTCCGCCTTATCATTAAATACATCACAAAACTTCTCATCTCTATATACTATCAAAGAAATCTCTCTGACCATATCATGCATCTTGAATGCCTTTGGACGGTCGTTGTGGTTCCTAAACACCACTTGGAACATGTTTCTATAAACAAGTTCCATGAGATAGCTATCCGCCATTTCTTCTGGTTTTACTCCTCTGGTTGGTTGCACGAACCCTTGTGTCATCCATAACCTGATCAATTTCTTTCTTTTAATGATGTATGCTTCTGGAAAGATATAATAATACAGGAAACAATGTCCCAAAAATGTACGATAAGTTATTTTCTCTTCCAAACATAAATACAAGGGCTTTTAAAATTGAAGTACAAATTGGAATTATGTTTTGCGAAAAAAAAATGGAATTATGTAACAAAGATCATAAGTAATATTGTTGATCCACGAATGCATGATAGATTATAATTCTTTCATATGGAAGAATGGTATTCTATTTTTTTACAAGAGATGATTTTCTTTTAAAGTTTCCGTATAATTGGTTCGTGAAACAGTTAAAAACTTATTCATAAAGTTTTCTGTTATGAAATAATATTTGATGGTAAGAATGTGATTAACCTTTGAACGATTTTTCTTGTGCTCTTTGCATATACTCTCAACCACCTCATCTAAAATATTCTTCCCACGTAATTTTTGAAGTTTAATAAGATTTTCAATCCCGCTAGGTAATCTATTTATCATTATGCAATTTTGATGTGCATCTTTTGTAGGCTCGATATCGCGTTTTCGTGTATGACGATCACATTCAAATGTGTCATGTCACCTATCAAATTTAATCTATTTCTCTATTCGAAAATAACATATATGCATGCGTATATCAATGATTAAAAAAACGAGGAAAATAATCAGACAACTTCTGCATCATGATTTTAGACAACATACAATAGTACCCACTATGTTCTAAAAAGTTTCTTCATCAATTTTTTATAACATTATTCCCAAAAAATACAACTTCTAAACATAAATACAAAAGGTTTTTTAATCGGAATGCAATTTAGAACTATATAAAACAAAGTTCGAAAGTAATATTATTGACAACAAATACATGGTAGATTATATATTATTTTATTATGGAAGAACTATTTAAACAATGCTCCATGTGGTTTCTAAACACCACTTATAACATGTTTCTATATATAAACAACTTTCATGAGATAGCTATTCGCCACTTCTTCTAGTTTTACTCCTCTAGTTGTTTGCACAAACCCTTACGCCATCCACAGCCTGATCAACTTCTTCCTTTGGATGATGTAGTCTTCTGGAAAAATGCAACAATATAAGAAACAATGCTTAAGTGGATATGACAAATTGTTGAAACTAAGAATTAAGATCCTCTGAACATCCTTGATATCGGGATTATTGCTGAATTCCCAGTTCAAGATATTATAAACTCTCCTCCATTATGATTCTAATCTTCTTGTGACATCATGCTACCCAAAGACACAAGACTAATGGCAAGCCTCCGCATTTGTAAACGAGATTCCTCGCTATATGTTCTACATTTGGTATTATGCTTTGATCAAGACTCTCTGAAAATGCTCTCTTATAGAATAGCTCCCAAGCCTAATCTTCTTTTAAGGGTTCAATAGGGTGGAATCGGCTTATCGTTCTATAAGAGAAATAAGTTATTCTCTTTTCATGGGGTGGTGATCATCACACGACTTCCGTGAATACCATCATCTTCAAAAAAAAATCTTCACCAATTCAATGTATCTCTTACTAATATGCAGATTATATAGTATATTCTTTATAACAGTATTCCCAAAAAAATGTACAACAAATGTTTATTTTATCTTGCAAATATAAACACTGTTTTTTTTTTATCGGAGTACAATTTAAAATTATGTAAACAAAGCCTATAAGTAATATCGTTAATCAACCAATATATACATGATAGATTATAATTCTTTCATATGGAAGAATGTCATTCTATTTCCTTACTATAGATTATTTTCTTTTTTAAATTTTTTGTATAGTTGGTTCGTAAAACAGTTAAAAACAAAAAGAAAATATATAGAAAACTCTATAAATTATAAACATGTGTAAACATTCTAACAACCGAATTCACTTATTTATAATTAAAATATCTAAAATTTGCGTAGCATTGTACATTATTATAAAAAAAAACCATAATATTTTGAAGTCCAAAATCAAATCATAATTGCAATACAAAAGTATTAACCAAAGTGTCAAGTTTATCCTATATCAACATGTTTATGTTTCTTTGTTCCTAATCGAACGAATGTATGTTTTGAAAATAACAGATTGGACGGGTTTATCGTGTAAATAAACATAATATCTATATCAAAACAAACAAATCTAAATACTAGGAGGACCTTATGAAAAACAAGATAAAAAAAATAACCATCATGGACCATATCACAATATATAAATGCAAGTTAACAATAATAGAGGTGAAAGGAAGAAAGATGAATCCAAAGGTAGGAGATGATACTATGGACCATGTCATAATATGTTAAATGCGAATTGATAATGATAGAGGTGAATGGATGATAGAGGTTTATTGACAAACTAAAGACGACTTATAAGGATAAATTGTGGAAATTATTAAACAACTAAAAAAATTTGATTATGCTTGTATTATTCACGAACTAAACTTGGAGACTCATGATTTTTTATTGTAATAAAATTAAATAGTTTTATTTAAAAAATATAAGGATGGTTATACGTGAATATTATAAAATAAAATGCCAAAAACTGAAAATAATATATGTAATATATGTAGCTATTATAAATTAATAATTTTTCATCACCGTTGGATAGAAAATAGGGGTTAAATCTTTCACTCTATAATTTTTATCTATCAAACTATTTTCTTTATATATTGAAATGTATGGATGAATTGTGTGATTCTTGTTGGTTGTTATGATATATTCACAATCTAAGTTTCACTTCCGACAGTTTACGAATTAAAAATATTATCAAAATAATATCATAAAAATATCTTGATCCTATGAGATGAACTCGCTAATCTCGCAATCAGAAATCTTATTGCAAATTAATCGGTTAGCATCGGATCCAGCAAAACACAGAATCTTGAATAAGCCCGTAGGGTTAAAAAGCTTCTTTCGGCAAACCCAAAAGAAATTCAATTCAGCTATTTTATTGACCCAAAACATATATATATATATATATATGTTATATTTTATATTGGTTCAAGCGTGTGATCACACAAGACGCAACTATTAATCTTTGCGTTTAGGTAATTACAAGCAAAACCCATTATCCTGATGTTGATCACGATTGTTCCAAAATCTCAAAGTATCAATTTTTCCCAAATTTTTTTTTGCAGGTTTTATATCTGGGAACCTGAAGGGTCAGATCAGTCACAGATCTTATACATGGGTTCTGGGAATTCAAAGAGAAGCCAGAGGCAAGACTCGTTGTCGTCCCGGTCGGATTCATCAGTATCTTCGGAGAAAGGATCGTTCTTTTTGTATGGTCAAGAAAGCTATAGTTATCCGCCTCAACAAATCTGCAGTTCTGACTTCGCTTATCCTCAACCGCGGTGCTATTCGCAGACGCCTCCAGATACGCCTATCCACGGAGGTTCTAGGAAGAAACCCACCTTAGCGGATGAGTTTACTTGTATAGAACAGGTGAAATAAGTGGAAAGATTCCTCTTCTAAGAGTCTGTTACTGCAGAGCTTGGAGATTTCTTGCTTAATGAGCTCTTGCCTTACAGGTGGTAGAGGCTCTTGCACTGGCGGGTCTAGAATCGTGTGAGCTAATCATCGGTATCGACTTCACCAGGAGCAATGAATGGGCAGGTTGGTTAGGCTCCTTTTTCTGAGAAAGTTCCAAATTTTGACGGAAACATCTGTCTCCTCAGGAAAGCTTACACCTTTCCAATACCAGTAGCGCTGCCATGGCGGGGGTGGTTGGTGAGACTTACTGTTCACGTTTAATTGCATTTTATACGACTTTCTAACTATGAAATCGAACGTAGGAGCTGAATCCTTTGGGGGAAGAAGCCTACATTCCATTGGTTATCAGCCAAACCCGTATGAGCAAGTGATAACCACCATAGGAAAAACCTTGGGAGTTTTCAGCAATGATAACTTAATCCCATGTTATGGTTTTGGAGATGGTACACATCTTATCTCCCATCCTATTCGTTTGTTTGTTTGTTGGATATCCCGAGCCACCACATATATGGAGCAAATCCTTTTTTTCCTTTTGCTCTCTCTTTGCAGCATCAACTCGTGATCGAGATGTTTTCAGTTTCTATCCGGACGGGAGATCCTGTAATGGGTTTGAGGAAGTACTGTCTCGTTATAGGGAAATCGTTCCCCATATTAAATTCTCGGGTACTTAATTGTTTCTGTCCTTTTTATTAGCCTTCTTTTCAGTTCTCAAGTTCCTCTTGCATTGATATCTAAGTAGCCATATTTCCATGACTGCGAACGTTATATTGCAGGACCAACCTCGTTTGCTCCAATCATTGGAATGGCTATGGCCGTCGTTGATCAGAACATCGGGAAGTTTCATGTATTAGTCATAATAGCTGACGGGCAGGTACTTTAGAGTGGCATTTGCACAAGTCAGTTTCTTTATCCTTCTTTTCTCTCCCTGGGGAACTGATGTAAATAACCGTTATAGGTTACAGAAGGAGTCGACATCGGGGTAGTAAGTACCCAAGAGACGATGACCCATCATGCTATCAACCAAGCGCGGTTGGTGTTTTCTTCATTCGTTTCTCCAAGTCTTTGGTTTGTTTTCTTGGAGTTATCTCTCTTGATTCATTTCTCTAAGTCTTTCCTCGAGCTACTGCAGGTTTTTTCCTCTATCGATCATCTTAGTTGGGGTTGGTGATGGACCGTGGGAATTAGAAGAATTTTGCAATACCCCCTATCCATACGGTGCTCCCTTCAATGTAAGTTTTTGTTAATGGCTCATAACATTCAAGTTTCATCCTTTCTTCCTCGGGTTCTGTTATCAATGTGTTTGTAACATTCCTCTGCTTTTTGCTATCGAAGTTCGTGGACTTCACGGAGATCATGTCGAAGAATGTAGAGCAGAATCAAAAGGAAGCGGAGTTCGTCCATTCTGCTCTGATGAAGCTACCTTTACGTTACAAAGCATTTTTAGAGCGTGACATGTTACGGACCTTGTGGTATATAATGCAATTCTATGCGCATTTGATTGCTATAGGCTTAATATCCAAATACCCTTCCACACGAAACTTTGCGTGAAAGTTTTCACGTATTGTAACTGCCAAATGTATCTTCCTTCCATGAAATGTTTTCCTTAGCTCGAACCCTCTCAATTGAATGTTAATGAACACTTGAAATCACATGTCGTCATTCAGGACCTGGGTCAGAGCAATCAAAAGATGTGTTCCGTTTGAAAGATTCACGGCCAAAGGTTTTAAATTTGCAAACCGATAACCTATTTTCTGGTTGTTGTTGTTGCAGGCTAAGACGTCGTGGTATCGCCAATCGAACTGCCCTTCCTCCTCCGGTACTTGTAAGCAACCGCCCCCAATCTGCCACAAGTTCTACACTCGATGAACAGGTGGATCTATAATTGCCGTTGTTTAGAATCACAGGGTGAAACGATACTTCAACCATGTCAAAATCTTGCGGAAAACACTCTTTGTCGACAGTTCTTATTGGAACAACTGTTAGTAGCCACTGGAATATATATGAAACGATCTGCAGTTGGACTGTTGTAGCGGAAATACTGCAATAGACTACAGTGTGCCGGTTGGATGAGATTCAATGAGCCTTTTTCATTCAATTTTTTCTCGATTCTGGTTTCATCCGCGGAACAGCATTGCCCCAATATGTGAAGAACCAGAGAGACATGGCATTTGATTGCAGCCATCAGGTAATAGTCAAAACATATCTCAACTTCTGCAAATATTGGCTAAGATGTTATGTTCGGTTCAGGGTTGAATCGTTTTGAAAGGCGTGTTCCGAGTGTGGAACCGATCTCCTTGAATGCCCGGTTTGGCACACCCGGGGCTGAGATGAGAACTAACCCCCAAACATTAGAGCAAACGTCTTCTTCTTTGTGAAAGTTCTCCATAACACGGTATGTTAGATGCAAGTTGGCAATAGCGTAGGTGAAGGAAGGACGAGATTTGATGATTTGCATCAAGTCATTAACACAGTCTGTTAGATGCAAGTTGGTTTGCTTGGAAATTTTCATTTAATAAAATGATCAAACGAACAGAGTTCTAACACTATCATATGTGTAGATGTCTTAGTGAGATACTCTGACTCGGCCAGAGAGTTTCACTGTATGCCTGGTTTACTAAAACCAGAAGCCAGATTGAATCAGAGGAGCTATATTAGAGAATAGAGACATGTGTATGTTCTTGGGTTGATTTCGGTTTATATTTTTGGTTTAGTTGTTTTGTATTTTGGTTCTTTGGTTTAGACCGGTTTATGTCTCTGGTTTAGCTGCTTCAAGTACTGTAGGCGACAATCCTTTATATTTTCTGGTCTAATTGTTTTATGGACTCTCTCTCTCTCATTTTTCTCTCTGCAAATCCAATTTCGCAATAAGCTAAGACAAGAGTTCGCATAATCTATGGTGACAGAAAATGGCGGAGCAGTTACAGATTTAGAGGAATATATTTAGGTATATTTATTTTGGGAAAATGACATTTTCTTACACCGATTTTGCAAAATGTGACATTTTCCTACACGAATTTTTAATTTGATAAACAACTACACCAAATTATCAAATGTGCCAAATTAATACACGAACTACCCAATTTAACTGCAATTTACTACACAATCCGAAAACGGGGTTAAGTGTACGTTAACCGCTGACGTGGCACGCCACGTAGCGGCTGAGTGGCACGCCACATACACGTAGCGACTGACGTGTCACGCCACGAAGCGGCTGACGTGTCACGCCACATAGATTTTTTGCCACATCAGCATGCCATGTCAGATTTAAAAAATTCTGAAAAAAATATTAAAAAATCGTTTTAAAAAAAATTAAAAATAAAATAAATAAATAGCAATATATATATATACATATATATTCATATCTATATAGTATATACAAATAAAAACATAAATATATATACTCCTATATAAAAATATATAATTATATATATACAAAATAAAAAACATACACATATATATACAAACATCTATACTAATATATATACATATACATACAAACAAATATAAACATAAATACTTCTATTTACATATATTTATATATATATATAATAAAAATATACACATATATACATGCATTTATACAAATATATATGCATATACATACATACAAGTATATTTATATGAATACATATTTATATATATACACATACATATATATAAATACATGCATACATACAAAATAAAAAAATATACAAGTATATATATATAGGAGTATATATGTTTATATTTATATTTGTACATAGATATGAATACATATATATACGTGTATATGTATTTATATATATATGTATATATATATACTTGTATGTATGTATATGTATATATATTTGTATAAATGCATGTATATATGTGTATATTTTTATTTGATATATATAGAAATATATATACATAGAAGTATTTATGTTTATATTTGTATTTGTATGTGGATATGAATATATATATATATATATGACTTTTTTTATTTTGTATGTATGTATGTATATGCATATATATATACATATATATGTATATATATATGTATATATAAATATATTTGTTTATATGTATATGTATATATATTTGTATATATATGTGTATGTTTTTTATTTTGTATATATATTTTTATTTTTATTTGTATATAGATATTTTTTTGCTGTTTATTTATTTTATTTTTAATTTAAAAAAAATCGATTTTTTCATATTTTTTCGGATTTTTTTAAAAATATCTGACGTGGCATGCTGACATGACAAAAAAATCCATATGGCGTGCCACGTCAGCCGCCACGTGGCGTGCAACGTCAGCGGTTAACGGACACTTAACACTGTTTTCGAATTGTGTAGGAAATTACAGTTAAATTGGGTAGTTCGTGTATCAATTTGACACATTTGATAATTTGGTGTAGTTGTTTGTTAAATTAAAAATTCGTTTAGAAAAAGGTCACATTTTGCAAAATTGGTGTAGTAAAATGTCATTTTAACATTTATTTTTAAAGAACTTGGTAATGCTTTTCTTAGTCACAAACTAAACACAGGGAACCGTGATTTACATTTTGCTGAAATTAAAAGAGCTTTACATCAAAATATAAATTGAATTATATGAAATATTTAGGTAATATATAAGTGAATGTTATGAAACAGAAATATCAATACGTTTTCTTTGGTTTTTCCATGCTCCCACATTTCCATTAACACTCTATTGAAATTAAATATGTTTAATTAAGGGTAGTTTAAAATTTCAATCCTCGGGAGATGGAAAGTTCGAATCTTTGCTTTTAGGGAATTATTACAGACTAAACCCATTAATCTGTACTCATAAAAGTATCGATTTTCCCCAAAAATTTTGCTGGTTTTACATCTGACCCTGAAGGGTTAGATCGGTAATACATAGATCTTTGATGGGTTCTGGGAATTCAAAGAGAACCCAGAGGCAAGACTCGTTTTCCTCCCGGTCGGATTCGTCGGCGTCTTCAGATCAAGAATCTTACATTCTATACGGTCAAGAAAGCTATAGCTATCCACCCCAACAGATCTGCAGTTCTGACTACGCCTATCCTCAGCCGAGGTGCTATTCGCAGGCGCCGCCTGAGCCGCCTTCCAACATCCATGGAAGTTCTTGGAAGAAACCCGGAAGGAGTTACGCCGACTTGGCGGATGAGTATACCTCTACAGAACAGGTGAGACATGTTCCTATTAAGTGGAAAGATTCCTCTTGGAGATTTCTTGCTTAAAGAGCTCTTGCGTTACAGGTGGTAGAGGCTCTTGCACGGGCTGGTCTAGAATCTTGTGATCTAATCGTCGGTATCGACTTCACCAAGAGCAATGAATGGACAGGTTGGTTAGACTCCTTTCTTCTTTAACGAGAAAGTTACATCTCCTCAGGAAGGCTTACACCAATAGATAGAGCTGCCATGGCGGATGTGTTTCATTGCATTGCACAACTTTCTGACGATGAAATCTAATGTAGGAGCTAAATCCTATGGGAGAAAATGCTTGCATTATATTGGTGATCAACCAAACCCATATGAGCAAGTGATAGCCACCATAGGGAAAACCTTAGGAGTCTTCAGCGAAGATAACTTAATCCCGTGTTATGGTTTTGGAGACGGTACTCAACTTATCTCCCATCCCATTTGTTTGTTTGTTTGTTAGATATCCCAGAGGCACGACATATACCGATCATATCTCTCTCTTTGCAGCATCAACTCATGGTCAAGATGTTTTCAGTTTCTACCCTGACGAGAGATCCTGTTATGGGTTTGAGGATCTACTGTGTCGTTATAGAGAAATCGTTCCTCATCTTAGATTTGCAGGTACTTAAATATATCTTTTCTTTTTTACTGACCTTATTAGTTCTCAAATTCCTTTTGAAATGCTACTAAGTAACCATATTGCAGGACCGACCTCGTTTGCCCCGATCATTGAAATGGCTATGGCCATTGTTGAGCAGAGCGGCGGGCAATATCATGCATTAGTCATAGTAGCCGATGGACAGGTATCTGCGCATTTCATCTTCAGAAGTTAGCTTTCTTATCATTCTTTTCATTCCCGGGGTACTTGGTGTGAATGCAAATAACCTTTCCAGGTTACAGGAGCAGTCGACAGCAAGGAAATTAGTATTCAAGAAAAGAAGACTCAGGACACCATTGTCCAAGCAAGGTTGGTGTTTTATGTTCTTTGCCTTTGGTTTGTGTTTTTAAGTTATCTCTCTTCATTCACTTCTCCTTGAGCTACTGCAGTTATCTTCCTCTTTCGATAATCGTAGTTGGGGTTGGTGATGGCCCGTGGGATAAAATGAGGGAATTTTGCAGTATCCCCAACCGGGTCTTTAGTAACTTCGATGTAAGCTTTTTGTTAATGGCTCATAACACTCAAAGTTTCATCCTTTCTTCATTGGGCTTGTCTTTGTCAGAGGGTTTTGCATTTTTTTCATCTGATTTCTGTTTTCATAGTTTGTGAATTTCACGGAGATCATGTCGAAGGACGTGGAACAGAATCGGAAGGAGGCAGAGTTTGTACTTTCTGCTCTGATGGATATTCCTTTGCAGTACAAGGCAACTTTAGAGCTCGGCATATTAGGGTATATAAATACAATTCTATACGCATTTGATTGCTGATACCCTGTCGATTGAATGTAAAAGACTCTTTCAGACCATAAACTTGGAAAAAACTATGTCATCAATCATCATACAGGCCATTGTCACGCTTTTTTTTTTTTTTTGCGTCACCATCTGTCTTGTTGTTGTTTGCAGGAGAAGATATGGCGATATCCCAAAGAGAACGGCCCTTCCTCCTCCAGTGCCTTTAAGCAGCCCCCAACCTGAAACAAGTTCTACATTCGATGACCAGGCAAATCTGTAATTTCCGGCCATTATAATCACTTTCAACTATGCCTAAATCTTGCGGAGAAAACACACTTTCACTTCTTTGCTTATTGGAACAACTGTTATGAAATTATCATGAAGTTCCCCCCTGTTGAATGATATTCAACGAGTCTTTTCATGCAGTGTTTCCTTCTGGTTTCATCGCGAAAGATTTCAGATTTAACCCATGTGAAGGTAGCGTAATTTACAAGTTGTATTGCTCTTAACATAGGATTATCATTGTAATCATTTTATAAATTGTTTGAAAATCTATCGAATTATATGCCCAGAACACATTTTATCAAACATAGGAGAGGGAAAGATCCCACAAAACGTCGCCTCATAACCGCTTTCGTATCATCCCATGTATCAATAGGATTATCGCCATTTCTTCTTCTTGTGGTCACAAGTTGATGTTGAAAAATAATATATTTGGATCAAATGGAGCAAGATTTGAGGAGCTTAATTTGATTTCTACCCGTTACCTTTTAAATCTGGAAGATCTCGTGAGATTGCCATTGTTTAAGCAATCACATGATTTACTTTATATTCTTGCCTTCGAGACGTACAATAGAGATCCATTTACAGATAGAAACCCTAAACAAGAGAAAGGGACTGTAAAAAAGAGACAATGGTAATATAACTCGCACTTGAGAAAGCACCATGGGAGTACGCAAGACCTTCGAGCCTGACGTCACAGGATCCCACAATGTTCTGAATCTTAAAGTCCTGAAAAAAAAAGCAGTTTAAAAAAATTCAGGATAACCAACATCATCCACGCACAATGTCCACAAACTTCAGCATACATATGCACATATACATGAAGACATGCATACACTGGTCTACACATGCAAACCAGGTGGGTTTATGTTTGGTGTCAGACTGTTGGCAGGTTATCAAGTAGCAAAATGGACCAGGCATTGCTCAAGTTCCCTCTGATTCCACCAATCAGGACTGAGCTCACCACAGGTCTAGGACCACTGCCCCATTCAGCCGAGGCTTGTAAATCATGATGATAAACCTTCCCATGTCTTACAAGCACACACAAGTCTTTGATGTACAAGCATGATAAAGAAATGTGAAGGAATACCTTAAATTTAGCTGGAAACCCAAGCTTCTGAATGATCCGAGCATACTGCAAACACAAACCACTCACATGATATAAATCCCGACCGGTAAAAACTTCTGGCAACAGGTAAAAAGGACAATCATGGGAAAGTAATTAAAACCCAGACTTTCGCATACCTTCCTAGCGGCAAGTTTTGACTGCTGCTCGCTCTTTGCACCTGTGCAAACCTATAGCCACGGGAAAAAGAACAAATTGAGCACAAAGCAAAGTAATACTTCATATATAAATGACCATGCACATAAGGGTCGGTGAGACAACTCACCATCTTTCCTGAGGCAAAAATCAAAGCCGTTGTTTTTGGTTCCCTGATCCTCATAATGACAGCAGCAAAACGCTGTGGGGTATTTCATCACATGTGGCATGTCGCCAGAATCTTCAAACTCTGAAACCCTTCTAGAAAGCATAATTATCCCCCTCGTATGCATTGAAAAACGAAAGCCAAACCAAATAAGGGAGTGCTTGGATGCAAGGGATCGCATCTTGTGCTAGCCTTGACCAACGCAGGCATAGTTCGGTAAGATTGTGAAGAGTATTGAACCAGCTAGGTAGCCTCTCTAGTTTCCCCGATAGAAAAAGCTTCTCGATTGTTGCAGCAGGTGACAATGCATCAAGTTGTAGAGTCTCGTTTTCATCAATCGACCAAAGAGATACAAACCTAAGATCCTTCATCATAGTGAGGGCATTGCATAAGTCATATACATGTTGTCTTTTCACGTTGACCAGACCGATCCTTGTGAGTTGTGTCATGTCACCGAGGTTCCTAATGACTTCGGTTTCAGCATGGATGCAGTCCATGACTTGCAATCTCTTCAATTGACAAATATATCGCGAGACCTTTGTGCCTGAAACGATGCTCCAATCAGAGTTACTATGGCTAAAAGTAACAAGATATCGCAAGTTTTCCAACTTTGAGATCCCCGTAGGAAGCTCTTTAATCTTAGAGAACTTAATGTTCAACGTCTCCAGGTTAAGGAGTCTACAAAAAGATTTTGGAAGTTTTCTGATACGAGTTCCCGTCAAATTCAAGTACTTTAAGTTGAACAAAGTCGTCAACGAATCAGGCAGTTTTCTGATGCGAGAATCTTCAAGATCTAAAGCTCTCAGAAACTTCAATGTAGAGGCAATGCAACCTTCTGTTTGGTAGTTGAATACACCAAAAGGGTTTGGAGATTTCGTTGAGCGATACTCGAACTTATCTCCATCTGAATGCATAAATGGTGAGTTTCGCCATCTTGGACATCTTCTGCCTTATCATTTAACACATCGGAAAATTTCTCATCTCTAGATATCATCAAAGAAATCTCCCTGACCATATCATGCATCTTGAATGCTTTTGGACACCCATTGTGGTTCCTAAACACCACTTGGAACATGTTTCTATAAACAAGTTCCATGAGATAGCTATCTGCCACTTCTTCTGGTTTTACTCCTCTAGTTGATTGCACAAAACCTTGTGACATCCATAGCCTGATCAACTTCTTCCTTTTAATGATGTAATCTTCTGGAAAAATACAACAATATAGGAAACAATGCTTAAATAGATATGACAAATTGTTGAAACTAAGAATTAAGATCCTGTGAACATCCTTGAGGTCGGGATTATTGCTCAGTTCCCAGTTCAAGCTATTGTAAACTCTTCTCCATTCTGATTCTAATCTCCTTGTCGACATCATGCTACCCAAAGCCACAAGAGCTAATGGTAGGCCGCCACATTTCTGAACGAGATTCCTCGCCATAGGTTCTATATTTGGCATATGCTTTGTTTGAGATTCCCTGAAAATGCCCTCTTGCAGAATAGCTCCCGCGCCTTATCTTCTTTTAAGGGTTCGATCCGGTGGAATCGATTTATCATCCCATAAGAGAAATGAGTTATTCTTTTTTCACGGGTGGTGATCATCACACGACTTCCGTGAATGCCATCTTGAATAGCTACATAAAACACAAACTTATTCATATATACTTAAATAGTCTTAAACATTTTGATTAGGCTGTACATTTATGTCCGTATATATCAATGGTTTATAAACACTAATAAAAATCATCGGAAATCTTTTGCATTACGGTTTTAGACAAATCTAGTATGCATTAAACATTTCTTCATTATCTTCCAAAAATTTTTTTCATCAATTACTTTATACCATTATTCCCCAAAAAATGTACCATTTCAAACATAAACAAAAAGGTATTTTTTTAATCAGAGTATAATTCAGAATTATATAAACAAAGTCCAAAACTAATATTATTGATCAACAAATATACATGATAGGTTATAATTATTTTTATTATGTAAGACTGCCATTCTATTTTCCTTACAAGAGATGATTTTTTTTTTTAAATTTTCATACAGTTCCTTCATGAAACAAAGAAGAGTATAAAAAATCTATAAATTATGTTAATCTAATTAGAAAACATGTATAACTATCTAACAACAACGAATTCATTGTTTTATAATTAAAATATCTAACATTTGCATAATAATATTGTACATTGAACAGGTCAATCCTTGTGAGTTGTGTTATATTACCGATGTTTATTATGAGTTCGGTTTTAACATGGATGCAGTTCATAACCTGTAATCTCTTCACCTGACAAATATCGGGTGAGACCTTTGTACCTAAAATGCTCCAATTACAATTACAATGGCCAAAAGTAACAAGATATTGCAAGTTTTCCAACTTTGAAATCCTCGTAAAAAGCTCTATAATCGTGGAGAACTTAGTGTTCAACATCTCCAAGTTAAGGAGTCTACAGAAGGATTTTAGATTTTTTTTACATGAGTTCCTGTCAAATTCAGGTATTTTAAGTTGGACAGATCGTCAACGAATCAAGCAGTTTTCTAATGTGAGAGTCTTCGAGATCTAAAGCTCTCAAAAGCTTCAATGTAGTGGGCAATGCAACATTCTATTTGGTAGTTGAATACACCAAAAGGGTTTGGAGATTTCGTTGAGCGATACTCGAACTTATCTCCCTCTGAATGAATAAATGGCGAGTTTCTCCATCTTTGACATCTTCCGCCTTATCATTAAATACATCACAAAACTTCTCATCTCTAGATACCATCAAAAAAATCTCTTTGACCATATCATGCATCTTGAATACCTTTGGACGGTCGTTGTGGTTCCTAAACACCACTTGGAACATGTTTCTATAAATAAGTTCCATGAGATAGCTATCTGCCATTTCTTCTGGTTTTACTCCTCTGGTTGGTTGCATAAACCCTTGTGTCATCCATAACCTGATCAACTTCTTTTTTTTAATGATGTATGTTTCTGCACAAATATAATAATACAGGAAACAATGTCCCAAAAATGCACGATAAGTTATTTTCTCTTCCAAACATAAATAAAAGGGCTTTTTAAATTGAAATACAAATTGGAATTATGTAAACAAAGATAATATTGTTGATCCACGAATGCATGATAGATTATAATTCTTTCATATGGAAGAATGGTATTCTATTTTTTTTTTACAAGAAATGATTTCTTTTAAAGTTTCCGTATAATTGGTTCGTGAAACAGTTAAAAACTTATTCATAAAGTTTTCTGTTATGAAATAATGCTTGATGGTAAGAATGCGATTAACCTTTGAACGGTTTTTCTTGTGCTTTTTGCGTATACTCTCAACCACCTCATCTAAAACATTATTCACACGTAGTTTTTGAAGTTTAATAAGATTTTCAATCCCACTAGGTAAACTCTTTATCATTACGCAATCTTTCATGTGCATCTTTTGTAGGCTTGATATCGCGTTTTCCTGTATAACGATCACATTCAAATGTGTCATGTCACCTATCAAATTTAATCTATTTTCCTATTCGAAAATAACATATATGCATGCATATATCAATGGTTATAAAAAACGAGGAAAATAATCGGGCAACTTCTGCATCATGATTTTAGACAATATATAATAGTATCTACTATGCATTATATATTTCTCCACTATGTTCTAAAAAGTTTCTTCATCAATTTTTTATAACATTATTCCTAAAAAATACAACTTCTAAACATAAATACAAAAGGTTTTTTAATCGAAATGCAATTTAGAACTATATAAAACAAAGTTCGAAAGTAATATTATTGACAATAAATACATGATAGATTATATATTATTTTATTATGGAAGAACTATATAAACAATGCTCGATGTGGTTCCTAAACACCACTTATAACATGTTTCTATATATAAACAACTTTCGTGAGATAGCTATTCGCCATTTCTTCTAGTTTTACTCCTCTAGTTGTTTGCACAAACCCGGTGTAGTCTTGTGGAAAAATGCAACAATATAAGAAGCAATGCTTAAGTGGATATGACAAATTGTTGAAACTAAGAATTAAGATCCTCTGAACATCCTTGATGTCGGGATTATTGATGAATTCCCAGTTCAAGCAATTGTAAACTCTCCTCCATTTTGATTCTAATCTTCTTGTGACATCATGCTATCCAAAGACACAAGACTAATGGCAAGCCTCCGCATTTGTAAACGAGATTCCTCGCTATATGTTCTACATTTGGTATTATGATTTGATTAAGACTCTCTGAAAATGCTCTCTTATAGAATAGCTCTCAAGCTTAATCTTCTTTTAAGGGTTCAATAGGGTGGAATAAATAGGATGGAATCGGCTTATCGTTATGTAAGAGAAATGAGTTATTCTCTTTTCATGGGTGGTGATCATCGCACGACTTCCGTGAATACCATCATCTTCAAAAAATAATTTCTTCACCAATTCAATGTATCTCTTACTAATATGCAGATTATATACTTTATTCTTTATAACGGTATTCCCAAAAAAAAATGTACAACAAGTGTTTATTTTATCTTGCAAATATAAACAGTGTTTTTTTATCGGAGTACAATTTAAAATTATGTAAACAAAATCTATAAGTAATATCGTTAATCAACCAATATATACATGATAGATTATAATTCTTTCATATGGAAGAATGTCATTCTATTTCTTTACTATAGATTATTTTCTTTTTAAAGTTTTTGTATAGTTGGTTCGTAAAGCAGTTAAAAACAAAAAGAAAATATATAGAAAACTCTATAAATTATAAACATGTGTAAACATTCTAACAACCGAATTCACTTATTTATAATTAAAATATCTAAAATTTGCGTAGCATTGTACATTATTATAAAAAAACCATAATATTTTGAAGTCAAAAGTCAAATCATAATTGCAATACAAAAGTATTAACCAAAGTGTCAAGTTTATCCAATATCAACATGTTTATGTTTCTTTGTTCCTAATGGAACGAATGTATGTTTTGAAAATAACAAATTGGACGGGTTTATCGTGTAAATAAACATAATATCTATATCAAAACAAACAAATCTAAATACTAGGAGGACCTTATGAAAAACAAGTTAAAAAAAATAACCATCATGGACCATATCACAATTCACAATATGTAAATGCAAGTTAACAATAATAGAGGTGAAAGGAGGAAAGATGAATCCAAAGGTAGAAGATGATACTATGGACCATGTCATAATATGTTAAATGCGAATTGATAATGATAGAGGTGAATGGATGATAGAGGTTTATTGACAAACTAAAGACGACTTATAAGGATAAATTGTGGAAATTATTAAACAACTAAAAAAATTTGATTATGCTTGTATTATTCACGAACTAAACTTGGAGACTCATGATTTTTTATTGTAATAAAATTAAATAGTTTTATTTAAAAAATATAAGGATGGTTATACGTGAATATTATAAAATAAAATGCCAAAAACTGAAAATAATATATGTAATATATGTAGCTATTATAAATTAATAATTTTTCATCACCGTTGGATAGAAAATAGGGGTTAAATCTTTCACTCTATAATTTTTATCTATCAAACTATTTTCTTTATATATTGAAATGTATGGATGAATTGTGTGATTCTTGTTGGTTGTTATGATATATTCACAATCTAAGTTTCACTTCCGACAGTTTACGAATTAAAAATTAATATATTTATTTGTTTTAAAATAATTTAAACTAAAAAAGAAAAAGGACAATTTAGACTTGAGAACAACTTTTCAAACTACATAAAATATTCTTTAAAAAAGAAAGAGAGTTGGAAATTTTCTTTTAAAAATTCATTTTATACAATGAGATTAAAAATTTATGAACAGAGAAGGTATGACGAGGAATTCTGTCATCGAGGAGACGCAACTATTATTCGATTAACGATTCTCTAACTCTAGAGAAATTCAATTCAGCTATTTTATTGACCCAAAACATATATATATATATATATGTTATATTTTATATTGGTTCAAGCGTGTGATCACACAAGACGCAACTATTAATCTTTGCGTTTAGGTAATTACAAGCAAAACCCATTATCCTGATGTTGATCACGATTGTTCCAAAATCTCAAAGTATCAATTTTTCCCAAATTTTTTTTTGCAGGTTTTATATCTGGGAACCTGAAGGGTCAGATCAGTCACAGATCTTATACATGGGTTCTGGGAATTCAAAGAGAAGCCAGAGGCAAGACTCGTTGTCGTCCCGGTCGGATTCATCAGTATCTTCGGAGAAAGGATCGTTCTTTTTGTATGGTCAAGAAAGCTATAGTTACCCGCCTCAACAAATCTGCAGTTCTGACTTCGCTTATCCTCAACCGCGGTGCTATTCGCAGACGCCGCCAGATACGCCCATCCACGGAGGTTCTCGGAAGGAACCCACCTTAGCGGATGAGTTTACTTGTATAGAACAGGTGAAATAAGTGGAAAGATTCCTCTTGTAAGAGTCTGTTACTCCAAAGCTTGGAGATTTCTTGCTTAATGAGCTCTTGCCTTACAGGTGGTAGAGGCTCTTGCACTGGCGGGTCTAGAATCGTGTGAGCTAATCATCGGTATCGACTTCACCAGGAGCAATGAATGGGCAGGTTGGTTAGGCTCCTTTTTCTGAGAAAGTTCCAAATTTTGACGGAAACATCTGTCTCCTCAGGAAAGCTTACACCTTTCCGATACCAGTAGCGCTGCCATGGCGGGGGTAGTTGGTGAGACTTACTGTTCACGTTTCATTGCATTTTATACAACTTTCTAACCATGAAATCGAACGTAGGAGCTGAATCCTTTGGGGGAAGAAGCCTACATGCCATTGGTTATCAGCCAAACCCGTATGAGCAAGTGATAACCACCATAGGAAAAACCTTGGGAGTTTTCAGCAATGATAACTTAATCCCATGTTATGGTTTTGGAGATGGTACACGTCTTATCTCCCATCCTATTCGTTTGTTTGTTTGTTGGATATCCCGAGCCACCACATATACCGATCAAATTCTTTTTTTTTTCCCTTTTGCTCTCTCTTTACAGCATCAACTCGAGATCGAGATGTTTTCAGTTTCTATCCGGACGGGAGATCCTGTAATGGGTTTGAGGAAGTACTGTCTCGTTATAGGGAAATCGTTCCCCATGTTAAATTCTCTGGTACTTAATTGTTTCTTTCCTTTTTATTAGCCTTATTTTCAGTTCTCAAATTCCTCTTGCAATGCTATCTAAGTAGCCATATTTCCATGACTGTGAAAGTTATATTGCAGGACCAACCTCGTTCGCTCCAATCATTGAAATGGCTATGGCCGTCGTTGATCAGGACATCGGGAAGTTTCATGTATTAGTCATAATAGCTGACGGGCAGGTACTTTAGAATGGCATTTGCACAAGTCAGCTTCTTTATCCTTCTTTTCTCTCCCAGGGGGTCTGATGCAAATAACCGTTATAGGTTACGGAAGGAGTCGACATCGGGGTAGTAAGTCCCCAAGAGACGATGACCCATCGCGCTCTCGTCAATGCGTGGTTGGTGTTTTCTTCATTCGTTTCTCCAACTCTTTGGTTTGTTTTCTTGAGTTATCTCTCTTGATTCATTTCTCTCTGTCTTTCCTCGAGCTACTGCAGGAATCTTCCTCTATCGATCATCTTAGTTGGGGTTGGTGATGGACCGTGGGAATTAGAAGAATTCTGCAATACCCCCTATCGAGTCTGTGATAACTTCAATGTAAGTTTTTATTAATGGCTCATAACAGTCAAGTTTCATCCTTTCTTCCTCGGGTTCTGTTATCAATGTGTTTGTAACATTCCTCTGCTCTTTGCTCTCGAAGTTCGTGGACTTCACGGAGATCATGTCGAAGAATGTAGAGCAGAATCAAAAGGAAGCGGAGTTCGTCCATTCTGCTCTGATGGAGCTACCTTTACGTTACAAAGCATTTTTAGAGCGTGACATGTTACGGACCTCGCGGTATATAAATGCAATTCTATACGCATTTGATTGCTATAGGCTTAATATCCAAATACCCTTCCACACGAAACTTTGCGTTTTCACGTATTGTAACATAGTAAAGCCATTACTAATCTGTTAGTCAAGGTGTTTTGATGCAACTGCCAAATGTATCTTCCTTCCATGAAATATTTTCCTTAGCTCGAACCCTCTCAATTGAATGTTAATGAAAACTTGAAATCACATGTCGTCATTCAGGACCTGGGTCAGAGCAATCAAAAGATGTGTTCCGTTTGAAAGATTCAGGGCCAAAGGTTTTAAATATGCAAACCGATAATCCTATTTTCTGATTGTTGTTGTTGCAGGCTAAGAGATGGTGATATCGCCAATCGAACTGCCCTTCCTCCTCCAGTACATGTAAGCAGCCGCCCCCAATCTGCTACAAGTTCTACACTCGATGAACAGGTGGATCTATAATTGCCGTTGGTTAGAACCACGGGGTGAAACGATACTTCAACCATGTCAAAATCTTGCGGAAAACACTCTTCCGCTTCTTTGCTTAGTGGAGCAACTGTTAGTAGCCACTGGAATATATATGGAACAATCTGTCGTAGCGGAAATGCTGCAATAGACTACAGTGTGCCGGTTGGATGAGATTCAATGAGCCTTTTTCATTCAATTTTTTCTCGATTCTGGCTTCATTCGCGGAACAGCATTGCCCCAATATGTGAAGAACCAGAGAGACATGGCATTTGATTGCAGCCATCAGGTAATAGTCAAAACATATCTCAACTTCTGCAAATATTGGCTAAGATGTTATGTTCGGTTCGGGGTTGAATCGTTTCGAAAGGCGTGTTGCGAGTGTGGAATCGATCTCCTTGAATGCCCGGTTTGGCACAGCCGGGGGCTGAGATCAGAGCCAACCCCCAAACATTAGAGCAAACGTCTTCTTCTTTGTGAAAGTTCTCCATAACACGGTATGTTAGATGCAAGTTGGTTTGCTTGGAAATTTTCATTTAATAAAATGATCAAACGAACAGAGTTCTAACACTATCATATGTGTAGATGTCTTAGTGAGATACTCTGACTCGGCCAGAGAGTTTCACTGTATGCCTGGTTTACTAAAACCAGAAGCCAGATTGAATCAGAGGAGCTATATTAGAGAATAGAGACATGTGTATGTTCTTGGGTTGATTTCGGTTTATATTTTTGGTTTAGTTGTTTTGTATTTTGGTTCTTCGGTTTAGACCGGTTTATGTCTCTGGTTTATCTACTTCAAGTACTGTAGGCGACAATCCTTTATATTTTCTGGTCTAATTGTTTTATGGACTCTCTCTCTCTCTCATTTTTCTCTCTGCAAATCCAATTTCGCAATAAGCTAAGACAAGAGTTCGCATAATCTATGGTGATAGAAAATGGCGGAGCAGTTACAAACTAAACACAGGGAACTATGATTTACATTTTTCTGAAATTAAAAGAGCTTTACATCAAAATATAAATTGAATTATATGAAATATTTAGGTAATATATAAGTGAATCTTATGAAACAGAAATATCAATACATTTTCTTTGTTTTTTCCATGATCCCACATTTCCATGAACACTCTATTGAAATTAAATATTTTTAATTAAGGGTAGTTTAAAATTTCAATCCTCGGGAGATGGAAAGTTCGAATCTTTGCTTTTAGGGAATTATTACAGACTAAACCCATTAATCTGTACTCATAAAAGTATCGATTTTCCCCAAAAATTTTGCTGGTTTTACATCTGACCCTGAAGGGTTAGATCGGTAATCCATAGATCTTTGATGGGTTCTGGGAATTCAAAGAGAACCCAGAGACAAGACTCGTTTTCCTCTCGGTCGGATTCGTCGGCGTCTTCAGATAAAGAATCTTACATTCTATACGGTCAAGAAAGCTATAGCTATCCACCCCAACAGATCTGCAGTTCTGACTACGCCTATCCTCAGCCGAGGTGCTATTCGCAGGCGCCTCCTGAGCCGCCTTCCAACATCCATGGAAGTTCTTGGAAGAAACCCGGGCGGAGTTACGCCGACTTAGCGTATGAGTATACTTGTACAGAACAGGTGAGACATGTTCCTTTTAAGTGGAAAGATTCATCTTGCAAGAGTCTGATACTCCAAAGCTTGGAGATTTCTTGCTTAATGAGCTCTTGCGTTACAGGTGGTAGAGGCTCTTGCACAGGCGGGTCTAGAAGCTTCTGATCTAATCGTCGGTATCGACTTCACCAAGAGCAATGAATGGACAGGTTGGTTAGGCTCCTTTCTTCTTCAACGAGAAAGTTACATCTCCTCAGGAAGGCTTACACCGATAGCTAGGGCTGCCATGGCGTGAGTGTTTCATTGCATTACACAACTTTCTGACTATGAAATCGAATGTAGGAGCTAAATCCTATGGGAGAAAATGCTTGCATTATATTGGTGATCAACCAAACCCATATGAGCAAGTGATAGCCACCATAGGGAAAACCTTAGGAGTCTTCAGCGAAGATAACTTAATCCCATGTTATGGTTTTGGAGACGGTACTCAGCTTATCTCCCATCCTATCTGTTTGTTTGTTTGTTAGATATCCCGAGACACGACATATACCGATCATATCTCTCTCTTTGCAGCATCAACTTATGATCGAGATGTTTTCAGTTTCTATTCGGACGGGAGATCTTGTAATGGGTTTGAGGAGCTACTATCTCGTTATAGAGAAATCGTTCCTCGTCTTAGATTCGCAGGTAGTTAAATATGTCTTTTCTTTTTTAGTGACCTTCTTATTAGTTCTCAAATTCCTTTTGAAATGCTACTGAGTAACCGTATTGCAGGGCCGACCTCGTTTGCCCCCGTCATTGAAATGGCTATGACCATTGTTGAGCAGAGTGGTGGACAGTATCATGTATTAGTCATAGTAGCCGATGGACAGGTATTTAAGCAATTCATCTTCAGAAGTTAGCTTTCTTATCCTTCTTTTCGGTTTTGGGGACTTGGTGTGAATGCAAAGAACCGTTCCAGGTCACACAACATCTCGACGACAGCAAGGAAATGAGTCCCTATGTAAAGAAGACCAAGCAAGCCATTATCCAAGCAAGGTTGGTGTTACTTTTTCAAAAACCAAAAATATTAACTTTTACTTCAATCAGCTTTTGTTTCTCCTCTCTGCATATTTCTTGTTCTGCATTTTCTTTCTTCTCCATCTCTTCTTCATTTTCCTTTAAAGGCTTTGAATCAGAAGTGCCAACAGTTGGTGTTTTATATTCTTTGGTTTGTGTTTTTTAAGTTATCTCTCTTCATTCATTTCTGCGAGTGTTTCCTTGAGCTACTGCAGTTATCTTCCTCTTTCGATAATCGTAGTTGGGGTTGGTGATGGCCCGTGGGATAAAATGAAGGAATTTTGCAGTATCCCCAACCGGGTCTTTAGTAACTTCGATGTAAGTTTTTTGTTAATGGCTCATAACACTTAAAGTTTCATCCTTTCTTCATTGGGCTTGTCTTTGTCAGAGGGTTTTGCATTTTTTTCATCTGATTTCTGTTTTCATAGTTTGTGAATTTCACGGAGATCATGTCGAAGGACGTGGAACAGAATCGGAAGGAGGCGGGGTTTGGGCGTTCTGCTCTGATGGATATTCCTTCACAGTACAAGGCAATTTTAGAGCTCGGCATATTAGGGTATTTTAATATAGCAAAGCCATAACTTCAGACCATCATACAGGACACTGCCACGCTTTTTTTGACTTCATCGATGATCCTTTTTTCTGGTTGTTGTTGTTTGCAGGAGAAGATATGGCGATGTCCCAAAGAGAAGGGCCCTTCCTCCTCCAATGCCTGTAAGCATCCCCCAGCCTGAAGCAAGTCCTGCATTCGATGAACAGGTAAATCTGTAATTTCCGCCCGTTTGAATCGCTTTCAACGGTCTCAATCTTGGGGGAAAAACAAACACTTTCACTTCTTTGCTTAGCTTATATTGGAACAACTGTTGTGACGTTTTCATGGAGTGTCCCCCTGTTGAATGAGATTCAACGAGTCTTTTCATGCAATTTTTCCTTGTGGTTTCATATTTATACCATGTGAAGGTGGCATAATTTACAAGTTGTATTGCTCTTAAATAGGATTATCATTGTAATTATTTTATAAATTGTCTGAAAATCCATCCAATAAAATACCCAGAAAAATTTCTTAGACCATCCCTCGGGCTTCTATCATTTTCCAGAGAGACGTTCATAGATTGTCTTAGATTTTGATAAAAGGTCTCTTAGGTTCTTACAGAACAAGAAAACAAAAGACCCTTCTGTCTCGAGCTTTTCCGAGACCAGACAGGCAAAAAGGGTCTTCGCCAGTTTGGTACGTTACAAAACCTTTTAGGGAGCAGAAACTAAACCAATTCAAAACGGTATATTCCGCCCGAAAAAGATTCAGTTTCGGCTTCTTTTCCTTACTCCCATGACCCGTAATTACACACAAAGCGGCGATACAACACTCAGTTCTTTCGGATGCAACAGACATTACAGAAGCATTCATACAACAGACGCCAATACCCCGATGCCAGAGCAGCCACCCTTTTATCTGCAAGCAGAACGACGTTTTGAAAGGCTTTAGCAACTTATTTCATAGGATAAAGCAGATTGAATAGGGTGAAAAGTGTTCGAAGAGGCCTCATATATTCTTCAAGCATGAATTGGTTGTAAATTCGACAAACTTTTAAGGCTGGACAAGAACTGGCCCAAAGTCTGCATCTTTTGGTGATTTTCCAATACCGTCCTAAAATATCTGGGTTTGGTTGAGATTAAAATCGCTTAACGTTTCCTGGGATCTTTTTCCGGGAAGAAAAGATACTTATAGATACCGAGAAAGTGAACATGCAACTCATCAAGTCACAACTGAGTAAAGGAATAGTCTAGAAGAGTGGCTTACCATTGCTGAACCTTTCTGAATTCTGTAAGCACAGGATATATGTTCTCGAAGGCTGTGTATGTCTCATCCCTCACCTTGACAAACAAAAAGGTTGAATTTTCAAATTCCAACCAGCATTTCCAATTTCAACAGAAAGGCCAGGCTAAGCGAGAGATGAGAAAAAATCGACTTACCTTGGCTCCAGTTATCACAATCTTCCCTGAGACAAATATCAGAAGCACAATCTTTGGTTGTTTCATGCGATAAATGAGGCCCGGAAAGAGTTCTGGTTCATACTGAAATTTTTTTGGATGGGAACATAAGTTTCCGATCTTGGAAATGAGCCTCAGCAAACAATATTTTGAGGAAAAACTGAAAAAACAAGGACCTAATCTTCCATTTAAGAGCAGAACAGAGACATTATAAGCTCACAAATATATTTAAGCAATAAAAAGAAGAATCGTTTGTTTATATTAACAAACCCTTTTGTGACAACTAAAACCCCTACATAGAACTCTATTCTACAACAATACTAAATCAATATATTCTCGATCTTTTGCCGAAAATGATGGGATTTATGTGCTCCAAACTAAGAAAAATCGGTATGAGAACCTTTTTCCTAAAATAGAGAGGATTGTTTCAAAACACATCCAACATGTACTTCAGTAGAGATCCATTTACAGATAGAAACCCTAAACAAGAGAAAGGGACTGTAAAAAAGAGACAATGGTAATAACTCACACTTGAGAAAGCACCATGGGAGTACGCAAGACCTTCGAGCCTGATAGGGAACTTCACGTCACAGGATCCCACAATGTTCTGAATCTTAAAGTCCTGAAAAAAAAAAGCAGTTTAAAAAAATTCAGGATAGCCAACATCATCCATGCATAATGTCCACAAACTTCAGCATACATATGCACATATACATGAAGATGTGCATACACGTGTCCACACATGCAAACCAGGTGGGTTTATGTTTGGTGCCAGACTGTTGGCTGGTTATCAAGTGGCATAATGGAACAGGCATTGCTCAAGTTCCCTCTGATTCCACCAATCAGGACTGAGCTCACCACAGGTCTACGACCACTGCCCCATTCAGCCGAGGCTTGTAAATCATGATGATAAACCTTCCCATGTCTTACAAGCACACACAAGTCTTTGATGTACAAGCATGATAAAGAAATGTGAAGAAGAAATACCTTAAATTTAGCTGGAAACCCAAGCTTCTGAATGATCCGAGCATACTGCAAACACAAACCACTCACATGATATAAACCCCGACCGGTAAAAACTTCTGGCAACAGGTAAAAAGGACAATCATGGGTAAGTAATTAAAACCCAGAATTTCACATACCTTCCTAGCGGCAAGTTTTGACTGCTGCTCGCTCTTTGCACCTGTGCAAACCTATAGCCACAGGAAAAAGAACAAATTGAGTACAAAGCAAAGTAATACTTCAGATATAAATGACCATGCACATAAGGGTCGGTGAGACAACTCACCATCTTTCCTGAGGCAAAAATCAAAGCCGTTGTTTTTGGTTCCCTGATCCTCATAATGACAGCAGCAAAACGCTGTGTGGTATTTCATCATGAAAGTTAGATAGAAGCTCTCTATGCATAGAAATTTATAAAAGCAATGAATATATTGGCAACATTTGTATATTATTATTTAAAAAACCTGAACTCAAAAAATCAGTCTCAAGCTTCCTTGCAAGAAAAATAATATGGCTCAAGAATCAATTTATAGTTGAAAAGCGTCAAAACTGAGGACATCATATACCTTGGGATTGTATTCTGCATTACGAGCCTGCAAAGCAATTTGCTTTAAATCCAATTTGCAATCTAAGTTGACAGTTGACACGATATTCCTAAGAAAGAAAGAATTGCATGTCAGGAAACGGTCCCATACGATATTGCATGACGTGAAATTTTATAAAAAGATCAAACAAGGAAGGAAATTCGACGTGCACACTAAAAATGGTAAATCCCGCAAGCATTATTCAAGGCATCTCAGTTACGCATCTGCATGAAAAGACTCTATTGTATGTAAAGCATACATTTGCCCTTGGTAGATAACAGACAATCGATGAAGAGATAACAGATAGCATCCAATAAAAAGGAGATAACAGTCAGTGACATCCAACTTTTAAATGAGTAACGACATCGCACTAACTTAAAACCAGGAAAAAAAAAGAAAGATCTATTTTGTTTGACAACTTCAGAGAGCTTCCACCTACTGATCTATACTAGTTAGATTGGAAATATGAGAGCTTCTCAAAGGAAGCTGGAGGAAACCACAACATTCCAATTTCCATAACATTTGTTTCCGCTTATTCCTGTAACCTGTTACAGCACTTTCCAAACCTAAATTCTTCTCTTTTAGCCATGTCAAACACATCCATATTTGGATCTTACAGTCATAAAGGTTTCTATCCACAATGGAATTGATGTGAACTTAGCAATGTTCGACTCCATATCCATAAAGCAAAACAATCTACCATTATCAAATCAATCAAAGGCAGATTATCGCTTACTCACAACACAAACAAAAAACACACAAAGTTAACCAGATGGCAATCACTTGAGGACCCTTATACAAGACCGACTCCGAACCATTCCAGGACAATAAAAGACAACCCATCTGCAGATTATCCTCAAACCAAAATTCCAAACAGATCATGCTCAACCCCAAATCTCAAACTTTTCTTAACATCTTTCTCACAAGAGGCCGATGTTACACATAGCAGCTAAGAAAGGGCCAAACTTTTCGAAATCAAGAGAAACTTACTGAAGAGTAGGAACAATGCCCGATGGATGCTTAGAAAGATCAACAGGTTGGCTACCTTCCAAGCCACCTTGTTCAGCCATTAATGGACTGTTTACTCAACTCTCAGAATTATCCCCAAATTCTACAAATATTGACGGGAATCGGATAAAGGGTTTTCTTCTACGAACCAAGTTAAATCCCGGGTTTCTCCTTCCGCAGCTAAATTAAAACAACTTCCGATCCTTTCCTCCCTCAGATCAAGCTCTCGCCCCAAATAGAGAAAATGATAACCCAAGTCTTCCAAAAATCAAATCCACAGAACCCTTTTACCTCACTGGGAAACTCAAACAAATCGACGCTGATTCTACACCGAGTTTAAGCTAAGAAGCGATTACGCGCAACAAATTAAGATCCTTTGTAGAATCTAGGGTTCCCAGATGAAGAAATGGACGAGGAGAAGAAAAGAAAGAAGGAAAAAACAGGGAGCGAGCAAATCGGAGAAGGAAGAGGGAAATTTTTCGAAGTTGTAGGTCTTTTATAGGGTTTGATTCTCAAATGATCGAGAGGCAGACAGCGAGAAAGGGGGGAGACCTCGGAGGGATTTGCGTGCGGCTTTTGGTCGCAATAAGAAGTGTCCGAGGGAGGAAAAGTTGGAGGTTGTTTGGATACGGGGATTTACGTATCCTTGGTCGGGAGAATATATAGTTGACCGGCTGGTGAAGATTTTAACCGGTGTGAGGTGTTGATATTACCGGTTTTTCCCAGTTGGCTTCGGCGCTGATCTTTTGTTTTGTTTTGTTTTTCTATTTACAAGGTTCTAGAAAACTGCGTGCGTATTATCGTAGATAATACATTCACAGCTTTGTACATTTTGTCTGCATTAATTATTTCCTAAAATATCTCATCAAAAAAATGCCCACATCACTTGTCATAGATATTTAAGTATTCAGATAATCTCTCGTAAATACTGAAATAAGTTTCACTAAAAAAAATAGTCATTTTATTTTTCTAATTATTTTTGTTCTCAATTCGATAATTGGAACTCCGAATATTATGTATATAATATCATATCAAACTTAAAAAAACAATTTACAAACACTAATAATAGATCACTAGAAAATCTACTATTTTCAATGCATTCTTATAATTACAAATGTGGAACAATCTTATTATTTAGTAAAATAAATAATATATATATGTGTATATATAATATCATAAATGTGTAATAAAACTTTTAAAAAAAACGTGGAATCTACATACGATTTTTCATAAAATTTTAAAAAAAATACATTTTCGATGTACAATGAAAATCATAATTATTTCATTTTGGATCTATAATAATAGTAGCAAGGAAAATTGATACGACGAAAATAAATTAATACATTCAATCCTCAAGTATTTTAAAAAGGTCCAATGAAAAACTATGTTTGATGATATGTGCAACATATTCAAGTAAAGAATTAGGGTAAGTATTAAAGACATGAATCTGCAGATGAAGCGAAGTTCCTTTTGCTTCCACGGCAAGTAATTTCATAAACGGACCGTTTTGATCCCTAATATAATATTTGATTATACTAAACCAAATTTCGAAAGGCCAACACGAGAGTTTCTCGTCTTCTAAGGACTCTTTCTAACTTCTTTGTTGCCATTTCAAGACACTCCATTCACTTGCAAGGGCTTGAAGGCTGAGCATCTTGTACACTACATATATCAAATTTAGGAAACAAACGTATAAATTATCTGTCAACATTTTTCCAAGAGCCTCGGGCAGCCTCCAGGATATCGCCTAACATCCAACTACAGAGTCCTTTTTGTAAAAATAAGAACTTGAGAGGAGAGCATGCAATTCGTGAAGAGTGAGGCTTACCATAGTTGGACCTTTTTGAATTGCGCAAGCACCGGGTATATGTTCTCGAAGGCTCTGTATACATCATCTCTCACCTTTAGGAACCAAAAGAAGAAAAAGCTCCAGTTACAAACAAAGCTTGTGTCCAGTAAAAGATGGAACGGCACAATGACTCACCTTAGCTCCAGTTATTACAATCTTTCCGGAAACGAATAGGAGGAGCACGACCTTTGGGTGCTTCATGCGGTAAATAGCGCCCGGAAATATCTCTGGCTCATACTGCATTTTTTTTTTTTTTTTTTTTTGCATAGGAAATAAGTTAAAACCCACCAAATCCAACAAGCGAGAATGGATGTAAACAAGAGAGGACGGCGGCGACTCACGCTTGTGAACGCGTAATGGTAGCATGAGAGACCTTCAAGTCTGATAGGGAACTTCACGTCACACGATCCCACGATGTTCTGGATCTTAAAGTCCTACCACGACAAAGGGTTTTTTTTTTCAAAAAAAAAATTTAACGGAAGCCACTGACAAAGTATGTCACACTTGGACACCATCATAAATTTATCATAGTATCCCGTGAGTATATTACAAGAACGTGAACCAACATATGCAAGAAGGAAAACAGAGCCTTAACATCATCTGTATATGTGTATGTATAGATATGCTAGCCTAGACGTATGTAAACTTGTATAGACATATAAACAGGGTTGGTTTAGCATACTCTGCGCATTCATAACTCAAAGATGTTTGATGTGTATAAGCATACATGCATTTACTGATATCTGCATTAAGAGATGCATTGCCCAAACGGTCCATATACGCGCATACCTTGTATAGCAGAGAGGAAGTAGTAAAGAAGTGCTAGTCATACCTTAAATCTAGCTGGAAATCCAAGCTTCTGAACGATTCGAGCATACTGAAACACAACACAATATCATTCACTGGTTATTAAGCCCTAATGGTAAATCTTTGGGAAGATGCACCTAAAACGAAATCAAGACCCTTATGTACCTTCCTAGCAGCAGATTTTGACTGTTCCTCGTCCTTTGCTCCTGTGCAAACCTAAAGCAACAGACACAAAAAACAAAAAAGAACTCAATTGATTATTCAGACAACAGAGTATCAGATAAAGCCGCTATACACATAAGAGAGAGTTCCACATCTCACCATCTTCCCTGAGATAAAAATCAAAGCTGTCGTTTTCGGCTCCTTGATTCTCATAATAACAGCATCAAAACGCTGCATGCATGAGAGTTTACCTGGTAAGATAAAAGTTCTCTTCTCTATACAAATCTAATGATTAAAGGGTTTACATATATATAGCTGGAATGGATAAAAAGTGAGGAGATGATATACATTGGGATTGTACTCTGCATTACGAGCCTTGAGAGCAATTGTCTTTAAGTCCAATCTAACTTCAGCATACATATGCACATATACATGAAGATGTGCATACACGTGTCCACACATGCAAACCAGGTGGGTTTATGTTTGGTGCCAGACTGTTGGCTGGTTATCAAGTGGCATAATGGAACAGGCATTGCTCAAGTTCCCTCTGATTCCACCAATCAGGACTGAGCTCACCACAGGTCTACGACCACTGCCCCATTCAGCCGAGGCTTGTAAATCATGATGATAAACCTTCCCATGTCTTACAAGCACACACAAGTCTTTGATGTACAAGCATGATAAAGAAATGTGAAGAAGGAATACCTTAAATTTAGCTGGAAACCCAAGCTTCTGAATGATCCGAGCATACTGCAAACACAAACCACTCACATGATATAAACCCCGACCGGTAAAAACTTCTGGCAACAGGTAAAAAGGACAATCATGGGTAAGTAATTAAAACCCAGAATTTCACATACCTTCCTAGCGGCAAGTTTTGACTGCTGCTCGCTCTTTGCACCTGTGCAAACCTATAGCCACAGGAAAAAGAACAAATTGAGTACAAAGCAAAGTAATACTTCAGATATAAATGACCATGCACATAAGGGTCGGTGAGACAACTCACCATCTTTCCTGAGGCAAAAATCAAAGCCGTTGTTTTTGGTTCCCTGATCCTCATAATGACAGCAGCAAAACGCTGTGTGGTATTTCATCATGAAAGTTAGATAGAAGCTCTCTATGCATAGAAATTTATAAAAGCAATGAATATATTGGCAACATTTGTATATTATTATTTAAAAAACCTGAACTCAAAAAATCAGTCTCAAGCTTCCTTGCAAGAAAAATAATATGGCTCAAGAATCAATTTATAGTTGAAAAGCGTCAAAACTGAGGACATCATATACCTTGGGATTGTATTCTGCATTACGAGCCTGCAAAGCAATTTGCTTTAAATCCAATTTGCAATCTAAGTTGACAGTTGACACGATATTCCTAAGAAAGAAAGAATTGCATGTCAGGAAACGGTCCCATACGATATTGCATGACGTGAAATTTTATAAAAACATCAAACAAGGAAGGAAATTCGACGTGCACACTAAAAATGGTAAATCCCGCAAGCATTATTCAAGGCATCTCAGTTACGCATCTGCATGAAAAGACTCTATTGTATGTAAAGCATACATTTGCCCTTGGTAGATAACAGACAATCGATGAAGAGATAACAGATAGCATCCAATAAAAAGGAGATAACAGTCAGTGACATCCAACTTTTAAATGAGTAACGACATCGCACTAACTTAAAACCAGGAAAAAAAAAGAAAGATCTATTTTGTTTGACAACTTCAGAGAGCTTCCACCTACTGATCTATACTAGTTAGATTGGAAATATGAGAGCTTCTCAAAGGAAGCTGGAGGAAACCACAACATTCCAATTTCCATAACATTTGTTTCCGCTTATTCCTGTAACCTGTTACAGCACTTTCCAAACCTAAATTCTTCTCTTTTAGCCATGTCAAACACATCCATATTTGGATCTTACAGTCATAAAGGTTTCTATCCACAATGGAATTGATGTGAACTTAGCAATGTTCGACTCCATATCCATAAAGCAAAACAATCTACCATTATCAAATCAATCAAAGGCAGATTATCGCTTACTCACAACACAAACAAAAAACACACAAAGTTAACCAGATGGCAATCACTTGAGGACCCTTATACAAGACCGACTCCGAACCATTCCAGGACAATAAAAGACAACCCATCTGCAGATTATCCTCAAACCAAAATTCCAAACAGATCATGCTCAACCCCAAATCTCAAACTTTTCTTAACATCTTTCTCACAAGAGGCCGATGTTACACATAGCAGCTAAGAAAGGGCCAAACTTTTCGAAATCAAGAGAAACTTACTGAAGAGTAGGAACAATGCCCGATGGATGCTTAGAAAGATCAACAGGTTGGCTACCTTCCAAGCCACCTTGTTCAGCCATTAATGGACTGTTTACTCAACTCTCAGAATTATCCCCAAATTCTACAAATATTGACGGGAATCGGATAAAGGGTTTTCTTCTACGAACCAAGTTAAATCCCGGGTTTCTCCTTCCGCAGCTAAATTAAAACAACTTCCGATCCTTTCCTCCCTCAGATCAAGCTCTCGCCCCAAATAGAGAAAATGATAACCCAAGTCTTCCAAAAATCAAATCCACAGAACCCTTTTACCTCACTGGGAAACTCAAACAAATCGACGCTGATTCTACACCGAGTTTAAGCTAAGAAGCGATTACGCGCAACAAATTAAGATCCTTTGTAGAATCTAGGGTTCCCAGATGAAGAAATGGACGAGGAGAAGAAAAGAAAGAAGGAAAAAACAGGGAGCGAGCAAATCGGAGAAGGAAGAGGGAAATTTTTCGAAGTTGTAGGTCTTTTATAGGGTTTGATTCTCAAATGATCGAGAGGCAGACAGCGAGAAAGGGGGGAGACCTCGGAGGGATTTGCGTGCGGCTTTTGGTCGCAATAAGAAGTGTCCGAGGGAGGAAAAGTTGGAGGTTGTTTGGATACGGGGATTTACGTATCCTTGGTCGGGAGAATATATAGTTGACCGGCTGGTGAAGATTTTAACCGGTGTGAGGTGTTGATATTACCGGTTTTTCCCAGTTGGCTTCGGCGCTGATCTTTTGTTTTGTTTTGTTTTTCTATTTACAAGGTTCTAGAAAACTGCGTGCGTATTATCGTAGATAATACATTCACAGCTTTGTACATTTTGTCTGCATTAATTATTTCCTAAAATATCTCATCAAAAAAATGCCCACATCACTTGTCATAGATATTTAAGTATTCAGATAATCTCTCGTAAATACTGAAATAAGTTTCACTAAAAAAAATAGTCATTTTATTTTTCTAATTATTTTTGTTCTCAATTCGATAATTGGAACTCCGAATATTATGTATATAATATAATATCATATCAAACTTAAAAAAACAATTTACAAACACTAATAATAGATCACTAGAAAATCTACTATTTTCAATGCATTCTTATAATTACAAATGTGGAACAATCTTATTATTTAGTAAAATAAATAATATATATATGTGTATATATAATATCATAAATGTGTAATAAAACTTTTAAAAAAAACGTGGAATCTACATACGATTTTTCATAAAATTTTAAAAAAAATACATTTTCGATGTACAATGAAAATCATAATTATTTCATTTTGGATCTATAATAATAGTAGCAAGGAAAATTGATACGACGAAAATAAATTAATACATTCAATCCTCAAGTATTTTAAAAAGGTCCAATGAAAAACTATGTTTGATGATATGTGCAACATATTCAAGTAAAGAATTAGGGTAAGTATTAAAGACATGAATCTGCAGATGAAGCGAAGTTCCTTTTGCTTCCACGGCAAGTAATTTCATAAACGGACCGTTTTGATCCCTAATATAATATTTGATTATACTAAACCAAATTTCGAAAGGCCAACACGAGAGTTTCTCGTCTTCTAAGGACTCTTTCTAACTTCTTTGTTGCCATTTCAAGACACTCCATTCACTTGCAAGGGCTTGAAGGCTGAGCATCTTGTACACTACATATATCAAATTTAGGAAACAAACGTATAAATTATCTGTCAACATTTTTCCAAGAGCCTCGGGCAGCCTCCAGGATATCGCCTAACATCCAACTACAGAGTCCTTTTTGTAAAACTAAGAACTTGAGAGGAGAGCATGCAATTCGTGAAGAGTGAGGCTTACCATAGTTGGACCTTTTTGAATTGCGCAAGCACCGGGTATATGTTCTCGAAGGCTCTGTATACATCATCTCTCACCTTTAGGAACCAAAAGAAGAAAAAGCTCCAGTTACAAACAAAGCTTGTGTCCAGTAAAAGATGGAACGGCACAATGACTCACCTTAGCTCCAGTTATTACAATCTTTCCGGAAACGAATAGGAGGAGCACGACCTTTGGGTGCTTCATGCGGTAAATAGCGCCCGGAAATATCTCTGGCTCATACTGCATTTTTTTTTTTTTTTTTGCATAGGAAATAAGTTTGTTCTTTTTAAATACGCACCAAATCCAACAAGCGAGAATGGATGTAAACAAGAGAGGACGGCGGCGACTCACGCTTGTGAACGCGTAATGGTAGCATGAGAGACCTTCAAGTCTGATAGGGAACTTCACGTCACACGATCCCACGATGTTCTGGATCTTAAAGTCCTACCACGACAAAGGGTTTTTTTTTTCAAAAAAAAAATTTAACGGAAGCCACTGACAAAGTATGTCACACTTGGACACCATCATAAATTTATCATAGTATCCCGTGAGTATATTACAAGAACGTGAACCAACATATGCAAGAAGGAAAACAGAGCCTTAACATCATCTGTATATGTGTATGTATAGATATGCTAGCCTAGACGTATGTAAACTTGTATAGACATATAAACAGGGTTGGTTTAGCATACTCTGCGCATTCATAACTCAAAGATGTTTGATGTGTATAAGCATACATGCATTTACTGATATCTGCATTAAGAGATGCATTGCCCAAACGGTCCATATACGCGCATACCTTGTATAGCAGAGAGGAAGTAGTAAAGAAGTGCTAGTCATACCTTAAATCTAGCTGGAAATCCAAGCTTCTGAACGATTCGAGCATACTGAAACACAACACAATATCATTCACTGGTTATTAAGCCCTAATGGTAAATCTTTGGGAAGATGCACCTAAAACGAAATCAAGACCCTTATGTACCTTCCTAGCAGCAGATTTTGACTGTTCCTCGTCCTTTGCTCCTGTGCAAACCTAAAGCAACAGACACAAAAAACAAAAAAGAACTCAATTGATTATTCAGACAACAGAGTATCAGATAAAGCCGCTATACACATAAGAGAGAGTTCCACATCTCACCATCTTCCCTGAGATAAAAATCAAAGCTGTCGTTTTCGGCTCCTTGATTCTCATAATAACAGCATCAAAACGCTGCATGCATGAGAGTTTACCTGGTAAGATAAAAGTTCTCTTCTCTATACAAATCTAATGATTAAAGGGTTTACATATATATAGCTGGAATGGATAAAAAGTGAGGAGATGATATACATTGGGATTGTACTCTGCATTACGAGCCTTGAGAGCAATTGTCTTTAAGTCCAATCTGCAATCCAAGTTGACGGTTGACACGATGTTTCTACGGAAGAAAATATCAAACGTCAGGAAGAAGGTCCATACAATTCCATTGATATCAGATACTAATTAACCAGAGAATTTCCCATCTTCGTAACAGGATTTAAGAGAACTGCAAACTTGAAAATTTCAGTCTCTTTGTCCAAAATGTCTAGAAGAGTCGGTTTTTAGATCATCCACAAGGCAACACATGATTTGCCAATTTCCGTAGTCAACATCACTTGAGCAAGTTTGGTTCCACAAAAGAACTTCAACAAGAACAACAAACGCAAAAACAAAACCCACAAAAACCCTAGTCGTGACCATACCCAAATCTCCGGCCTTTCTAACTAGGGATCGATCATTGTCCCACGTTCGAGCAAAAAGATCGAATCTCTTGAAGGTAATCAAACGAAACCTACTGAATTATTGGGACAATGCCTGAAGGATGCTTCGAAAGATCAACTTCCCCCATTCCTCCTGAACTCTTGTAAGTATCCCAAAATCCAACAAAGATCTTGGAAAGAACACAACAGAGGACTTTTGTTCTGCGAAACCGAAGTTAGTCCTCCGCGGCTAAATCAGCCCGAGACGATCAAACCAAAACCCTACGATCTAAACCCTCTCGCGAGATTGAACAGACAAAACCCTAGCTTTTCGTCCGAATGAATCAAAGAAGATAGGGGCGGGGCTTTTATAAAGCATCCGCTCAAAAACCCTTATATAGTCTGCGAGTCTGTGGGTCCCATGAACACGTGTCGGTCACGTAAATCTTTTGTGTTGTGAACAAACTAGTATTCCATAAATCTCTCTGTTTTTTCCTTTTTTTTTTTTATCGCAAAATAATCTTATTGGTTTGTTTTTTAAATTTACTTGCTAATGCGGTTTAGCCAATCATATAAAGATTATAAGTATCAGAAGAAAATCATCTTGGAAATTACATATTTTCTCAAATTTGGAAAATTTCCGGACAACTCGACATTGCGAGATTGATAACTGACTTGGCTGGCAAGAGTTCATCAATGAATTGAAAAAAAAAATATCACAATTGGTAGAAAAGCCCAAATTACAGAGAGACGACGAAATCATGTTAATTTCATAGATCTGCAATTTGAGACAGAAAGAGAGCAACAAAATCAACTTGCCCATGAATGTTATCTTCAGGGTCAGATTTTTATTCTCAGAAAACGAGAAAATTCCAGAGTTCGAATCAGATTTTTTTTTCTCAGAAAACGAGAAAATTCCAGAGTTCGAGGAACTGAAATCAAGAAAAGAGAGACAATTGGGTCAGATTTTTATTCTCAGAAAACGAGAAAATTCCAGAGTTCGAGGAACTGAAATCAAGAAAAGAGAGACAATTTCAGACAACAAACCCACCATTCGCTCTTATAACCTGACCATTGATCCATTCACCAGAATCACCAGCCAAGAACCCGACAATCTCCGCAACATCCTTCGGTTCACCGATCCTTCCCAACGGACAAGCCTCCGCCATTCTCTTCACCGTCTCATCGCTTTTTCCGGCGAAGAACATATCTGTTGCCACCGGACCAGGCGCCACGCAATTCGCCGTTATCCCTTTCCCCTTCAGCTCCTTAGCCAAAACCTTCACCATCGCCTCCACGGCCGCCTTCGAGGCGGCGTAGACGCCGTATCCCGGCGAAAGGGCACTCACCTGAGACGTCGACATCATTATGATCCTCCCTCCTCCCCCTCTCACGACTCTGTTCGCGGCTTCCTTGCAGCACAAGAAAGCTCCCCTGGTGTTGATCGTGAACGTTTTCTCGAAATCTTCCAGCGGGGTGTTGAACAAAGCCGGGTATTTTGGGTCAAGCACGCCAGCGCAGTTCACAAAGATGTGGACTTTAGACCCGAATTCTCGCTCCGATTGATCAAAGAGGTGGGCGATCTGATCAGGGTCTGAAACGTCTGCTCTGACGGCGATGGCCGTTGGCTCGGACGGTGGGGATGAGGCGTTTAGCTCTGAGGCCAAGAGGTCGGCTTCTGGTGAGCTCGAGACGTAATTGATGGCGACTCTTGCCCCGAGTGAATGGAGATGGACGGCGATTGCACGTCCGATCCCACGGGAGGAACCTGTGACAACGGCTACTCGCCCGGCGAGAGGGAGAGACGATGAGTTTGTTGGGTTCTTCTCCATTTCAGCTTCTTCTCTTGCCACCGATCTGAAGTCACGGTACTATTTACAGGTATAAGGACAGTGATTCGTTGACCATCTTCTCCGTTTCTGGGATTCCGAAAATACCCTTCCCTGCCTCAGCACAGAGGAAGATCAAGAGGGTGAATATCGTCTTTTCGCATCAGATACAGTTCCCATATCTGATCTTAGCTTCTTGGTAACTTCCATCGTCTGAGATAAACTTAGTGGTCTTTATCTTCCTTTTCCTCTGTACCAAACAGATACGAAGAACAATAGTCAGATTTCTCCAAAAAAAAAAATTCCAAGTACAGCTATAAGATTTAACCCAACCGAAATAATAGAAAACCAAAGATTTTAACCGAAAAAACGAACAAAATTTCAGTAAACCAATCTGAAATTGTAATTTGGTTTCGGTTTACAGTCAAACTCGACTGCAGAGTCATAAACAGCTATAATATTCAGATCTGAACATGATCACAAGAATAGACGTAATCACTGACGTAAGATGTTGTCATTAAATGCATTCGCAGCATTCCTTTTCCCTTTTAACGACTTGTCTACGTAAGCAAAGACGTTATCAAGACTCAAGACTACAGTGACCAACTTCTCTTACCCAAATCTATGAGCTTCGAATCCAATTCAGATGTATTATAATTTAATTGAGTAAAAATTAAGAAATATTTTACGCATACAGTTTAACTTTCTTTCTATAGATTTCCAGTGATTCAATGTAAGAAATTATTTTGACAAAGTTTTTCTTTTTAAACAAAAGAAGGTGTTGAGAGATTCTCAGTTTTTGCAATGCATCAGGTCTTTCATTATCATATTTGTGCAATGTTGAAGAATAGCTTGTTGCTCCCTCATGCAAACCAGAGGCTAAACTCTATGATCTGACAAAAAGAAGGGAGATTTTTCGGGTTTTAGTAAATCTCGTCATGTAAATTGCACGGTGAACTCGGCATAGAAGCTTGCAAAAATTTCCGAAGCCTTTCTCACAGCGTAAAAGTTCATAATCTCGAGCCATTGAAGGACAGAGAGACTTACTTAGCAGTGGAAGCAGCAAGGAAAGAGTTGCTTTGCAGAGCCATTGCCAACTGCTTCCGAGCTTTCTCTCTCCAGCCATCTATGGATTCCTTTGCTTTGGTATCTCTCCTGCAAAATTTACTGAGAAAATCGACGAATGTAGTCAATGAAAAGGCTTTCCTGAAGAATCGGGATGCTTTTGCAGCGACCGAAGCAAAACATATAGTTCTGAGGACTGTCACACTTGCTTGAAACTGTTGGTTCTCCTTTCAGTATCTGCAAGGATGTAGTTTACCAGTAATCTCTACATGAACAAGAGCCCCCTTCAAAATGATGAAACCTGTAGGCATCCCTCACTATGATGGCTCGATTTGTTATCTTGGAGATGCACTTGATCCAAATATGGCAATCGTTACAGACACGTAGATTCTTCATCACACGTATAGGCATTGTTGTAGGCAAGCTCAAGAGTCCAAAAGAAACCGCTAGTTTCTCACTGTGAACGAAAAGTGTCGGGTCTTTCTTTTCTTGATCCACTTCATTCAGAAGGCTGAGACGATCTTGCACGTAACCCATTCCAGATGCACGCTTGTTAAGATCTCCAAGATATTTGTATATCTTGTTTGCCAAGGGGTGATGTCGGTCACCGACAAAAAATGAGTGAATTGAGTTTTTAACCTCAATCCAACTTCGACCCGGTTCTTTCTTCACACCATTTTCTTTCATCATTTGTCTAGTCCGATCCCTAGCATCCCACTTCCTGCAAACTGCATATACGTTTGAAAGAAGTACATAAGTTGCTGAATCTTCAGGTTCTAGTTCTAGCAGATGGCGAGCAGCCAATTCTCCTATTTCCACGTTCTTGTGCACCACCGAAGCACTTAGAAGTGTCCTCCAGATTAACCCATCTGGCTCAATCGGCATTTCCTGAATAAACTCTTTCGCACGGTTCAAAAGACCTGCTCGGCTTAGAATATCCACTACACAGACATAGTGTTCTGGTTTAGGAACTAATCCATATTCTTTTGTCATGGATTCAAAGTACTCAAGGCCATTGTCCACCGAACCTATGTGGCTACATGCCGATAGAACTCCCACAAAGGTAACATGAGTTGGCCTTATATCAGAGTTCCTCATTCTTTGGAAAAGATCTAGTGCTTCAGTACCAAACCCGTGTTGAGAATAACCGCTGATCATGGCGTTCCAAGAAACTTCATTCTTATCAAAAACTTCAAAGAACTGCCTTTTTGCATCATAAATGCTTCCACACTGAGCGTACATAGAGATCAAAGCGTTACACACTTCAGTTTCTGAGTCATATCCTGTTTTTAAGATTGCAGCATGGATCTGCTTCCCTTGTTTCATGTTTGCGGTGTCAGCAGCAGCACTGACAGCAGACCCGAATGTGAACATATTACAAACAATTCCTTCCCTGTTCATCCGGGTAAAGACACGAAGTGCTTCTTCACAGTGTCCGCTCTGTGCAAATCCAGACACCAGAGCATTCCATGATATGTTATCTCCAGATTCACTTCTATCAAAAGCTAAGTATGCCTCCTGTAGTTTTCCGCACCGAGAATAAAGCGTAACCAGTGCATTTTGAATTGAATCATCAGCTGAGTAACCAGACACATAAGATTGAGCATGGATTTGCTGCCCGATTCTTCGTGATAGAAGACCAGCACATGCACTTACTGCACTTGCTAATCCAATGTTATCAGAGTGAATTCCATGGTCTAGCATTTCCCTGAAAACCGCTAAAGCTTTATCAAAAAAATTATATTGTTTGTAACCCGCGATCATTGCTGTCCACGATACAACATCTTCCCCAGCAAAGCTCACAAGGATATCCCTGGCAATATCAAACTCTCCTAACTTCGAGTACATATCAATGAGCACGCTACAGACATAAGCATTAAGCTGAAAACCAGTTTTTACTACTAGACTGTGGATCTGTTCCCCGAGATCAAGCGCCCCCAGTCTGGTGCAAGTTTTTAACACGCTCGGGTACGTAAATTGATTTGGAATGATTCCCTCCATTTGCATCTTTCTAAAAATCCTAAAAGAATTTGTTAAATCATCTAGTTGGCCATAAGCAACTAGCATAACATTCCACAGAACTACATTTTCGGTCTCAGTCTCAAGAAAGAAGTTGAGGGAAGTTTCAATTTCAGAGCATTTGACGTATAGATCAAGAAGTGCACCTTCAATGATGATGTCAGAAGAGAATCCCAACTTGGTTATGTACGCATGAAGCTGTTGTCCCTTAACAAGAGCTCCCAAAGAGGAGCAAGCACTCACCAAGCTGGCAACAGTGATACAATCTGGTCTCTGTCCATCAAACTGCATTTTCTCGAACAATCCCATAGCTTTATCACCATAACCACATTTAGCTAGCCCGGATATCAGAGAGTTATAAGTAACCGCATCCCTCTGCGTCATGTTGCTGAAAATATTTTCAGCCAATATCAGCTTCCCTAGACGAGAATATAAGGTCACAAGAGCATTGCACACATATGTTTCGGATGAAAACCCTAACTTCAACACGAGACCTTGAATCTGCTCCCCAACCTCAAGCAGTGCTAGCTTTGCGCAAGCACTCAAAACACTCGAAAATGCATAAGGAGTCGGGATAACACCCAATATATGCATTTCACGGAACAAACCAATGGCTTCAGCTTCACACTCATTCTGAGATAGACCAGATATCATCGCAACCCAGGAACTGTAATCCTTGAAGTGTAATTTATCAAAAATCCTTCTAGCCAAACCTACAAATCCATTTTTTGAGTAAAGATCGATCAGAGGGTTACATACAGTAGTACTATTACCGAAACCCTGACATATAATCCTAGCATGAATCTGCTTAATTACATCAAAAGCATCACTGCCACTGCCGCAGGCTTTCAAAATACTCGAAAAGGTGCCTCCGTTCATGTTGACATTTTCGCTTACCATTCTCCAAACCAAATCTATGACTTTCCTATTCAACTTTCTCGAAGCAAACTCCAAGATCATCCTATTCCACGTGAAAACTGTTCTACTGGTCATTTCATCAAACACCTTCAACGCACCATTCATGTCTCCCGTGAATAAATAAAAATCAAGAAGCTTGTCACACATGAGCGGATGAGTGTCAAAACCCAACTTCAGAATCTTCCCCTGGAGTTTCTTCCCCTCATTCAAAGACCCGTCGTTCTTCAAGCGCCCCTCAAGAAGCCACAGAAATGTTTCATGATTCGGGCGAATGCCGCGGTTCTCCGACAAACATACGGAATCAATCCCCATTTTAACAGCTTCTTGATCGCGGAAGGATTCGTTTTCAAAGAAACAAGTAGATACAGCAGCAGAACTAGTGCCGAAACCAGAAATTCTTACCCTTCTTCTAATCTCACAAAATCTCTGCAAAATAACACCAAACAGAACGACCCCATGGATTTAGAGTACAAACAATACTGGGTTTCAACGGAAACCTATGAAGAAAACCGACATGATCGAGGACGGAAAAATTACATGTACGGCATTATGAGCGTTGAGCTTTCGAGGAATGCCTCTTAGGAAAAGAAATGAGGAGGACCCATGTAGAGAAACAAGCCAAAGAAACATGGACTCCGCCAGCACTAGCTTGCAAAGACAAGCACCGGGTGTAGTTTAGGCGACTGAGATGATTGGGTTGTCAGACTCGGAACTCTGTCATTCGATCTTTGGCGCCGTTGATTGGCGGAGACGATACGATAGACGACTGACGAAGAGAAAAACGCTGCGTTTTGGTGTTATTTACAAAAGCAAGAGCAAATCTTGTACGTGAAAAATTCTCACCCGTATACTCCACGTCCTAGAGAACGTTAACATGTTCGATTCTGGATCTAGAATCTAGATGACTTGTTCCTGATCAGAATTTCACATATTTAACTAAGAAACAGTGTCATGAACGGAAGAAGCTCCTCGAGAAAGAGCGCAGAACCGGATGATGATGGTGATGGTGATGACGATGATGATGATAGGTAAGAATCATTGTATCATTTCTTTCTCGTTTCTGCCATCGTGCCCTTCATGTTTTCCAGAAAGCAAGAACGCATCCGTTGCTACACCGTTCCGACATGATTCACACACTTGAGTTGTAATCACGGGTCAGTTATAGTCTTGATTCTTGAATCAGTTTTTTTTTTTTGTAGCAGAAAGAATATTATGTAGTTAGTGAGTTCAAACCGCGTGTTGGGTGTGTTCTTGTTCTCCAAAAATCTAGAAGAGTAAATTCCCATTTTTTTTAATACTTTTACCTTTAAATCAAATAATATTATGCAGTTGATTTGCTTAAATCAAATAATACATCAGTTTTAACTCGGCCAAAGAAAATGTACTTCGACCAAAGTTTCGATTATTTTTGGGTAATATTTTCTTGAAGCCATTTAAAAAAAAAATTGGATGTTTACTGAAATATCCTTATGGAAAATTAAAAACTATTTTGTTTAACTGAACAAAACTTTACATTTCAAACATGAATAAATATGGTTCTAAAAAACCATATGACTCATTACGTTTAATAATCTTGAAATTATAGACAATATTTCCAATTTAAATAACAAGAATTATTGTTTCTATTTATTTTATTTTATGTTAAAGTTTGAATCTGAACTAAACGTCGCATAGATGGTCTAACCTGTTGGATTTAAGTGGGTCCCATATGCTTAATTAGACCCATTCAAAGTCAAGACTAGGGATCCCACTCTCTGTCTACCACATATTGTTATTATTATTACTAGTCTTAGCATCTAAGTTAGTGGCCACAAAATGTAAATTTCTTTGTATATGTGTTAAATTACGATGATCAAACAGTTGGCGTTATAGAATTTGGTAATATATATATGTCATTATATAATCTATTTCTTTTTATATGAAAATGATAGATTTTAAACATATATAAGTAACAAGACATATCTCGATCAAATATATATATAATTTCCAAAATCTAGAAACGTATTATTTTTCCCATACTGATGGAATCAATCTTTTTTGGCAAAAAAATAATACAATTTTAGGAAAACTAAATGCGTGATAAATAAAAAACAGTGTTGAAAAAAAGATGGAAGTTAAAGGTGACCAAACTTAGAAAAAATGGTTATTCAAACTTGAAATACTTTGTAAATTTTAAGAAATAAAAACTTCAAACTATATATCAGCAAAAGAAGAAAATAAATGAAATAAATATTAGTTTATGGGAATAAACCAAAACGTGAAAGTAGTGGATCAATTAGTAAAAAAAAAAGCGTTAAGAATTAAAATTTAGATATTTTCTATAAAATTTGAATATTATATAATTTTAATTTACCTGGATTGGATTTTCCGCCTCTCTTTGTTTTTGGATGCTGTGCATGGCGGCTGCTTTCTTTTTCTTTTTCTTTTTCCTTTTTCTCGGGGCTATTATCGTTTATCGTTTCGTGTTTTTTCTCTTTTTGCGTTGTTTCAGTTTGGAAGGGAAAAAAAAAAGCACGGCTTCCAAAAACTTAAATACGCGTTTACTCAAAACCTGCTAGGGTTTGTGGCGGTCTCGCTTTCTTACTTTTTCTCTCTTTCCTCTTACAAGTTTCCGCCGCTGGTGTAGCCATGGCCGCTGTCGTTTCTTCTGAGAGTATCCTTTCTTGTTTCTCCCTTCTGGGTGTCGTGTTTTTTATTTTATTTTTTTCTGATTGTGCATAACCCTGAGTAATTGCTCTCTCGAATCGTTGTTCATGTGGGCTCGCATATGTTGTTTTCGATTTCTTATTCATTGAAGGATGTTTTATCGAGTTGTTCTGTGATTTGGGTTTCGGATTTTTGTAAATTCATGTTTCTTTGGAGATTCTTTTTCTTGTTCTGTGAAGGAGGGTTTTGGTAGGACGAAGAGGGTTGTTCAAGGTTTTAGGAAAGAGGGTTTCTTTCGTCTATTATCATTGAAATCTTGTCTTTGACGCTGTCTTTAGTCGGATCTGTGGTTTATTTGTAGTTTTTGTTCTGGCTCAATGATTACGTTGGAGGTGTTTTGCTATGGTTTTACTGTAAGAAAATGGGTATTTGGTTCTGTTTGTCTCTGTCAAAGCTCGGACTAGGGTTTATCGCAAAGTATATGTTTGAGTTTCTTGTAGATCTAAGGGTTTGCCCGATCGAGTTATATTTTGATTTGTGGAATTATTGCTGTTCCTTCACTTCCGAAAACACAGAAACTGCAGATTTGCTGCACAACTTGTCGCTTGACCCCGAAACCAAGTCTGAAACTCCAGATGCCGCCGTCACCGGAAGTAAGGTATTGATGCCAATCCCCAAGTAATCATGTTCAATTGCTCTCATTCCTATGGTTCCTGTAGTCTTTTGTAAATGGTTATGATACCCTTTGGAATTTGTGTAACTTGAAAAAGGACTGACGCAGAGAACTCATAACTCATGCTGTTTCTTGTGTTCGGTTTATCTGGTGTTGGTGTTCGATTTGTATGGCGGTTAAGAGGCATCCATCGTGACAAATATTGTACCGGTCTGGTGGTTCGGTTTTGTCTAGAGAGTAATCTTCCAGCATTGTTTGTTTTCTTGGCAGGGGTTTTATGGTGGAAACGGTAATGGATTTTTGCTTCCTTCCGAACAAGTTTCTATGTCAGCTGACACCACCAAAGGTGGGAAACCTAGTCTTTTGCCAAATAGTGGAGGTGTCACCGCAAATAAGGGATCTAACCTGAAAAAACTAGGTTACCAGAACTCATCTTTTAACCCAAAGGGTTCGTTTGCAAAGGGTGCCTACCCGGCAGGTTTCTATTCTCCAATGTATCAGTACCCTAGATACAATTATGATGGGAGCTTCTCTTCTGGGAAGACCAACATCCTTCAACAATACCCATACCTAGTATGTGTCCTTTTCCTGCTTCAGCTGGGTTCATCATGTCCTTGTATGTGATTTCGATTTATTAATGTATTATGTTCTCAACTTTTGCAGAACACTCATCGCCAATCCCCAAGTAATCATGTTCAATTGCTCTCATTCCTATGGTTCCTGTAGTCTTTTGTAAATGGTTATGATACCCTTTGGAATTTGTGTAACTTGAAAAAGGACTGACGCAGAGAACTCATAACTCATGCTGTTTCTTGTGTTCGGTTTATCTGGTGTTGGCGTTCGATTTGTATGGCGGTTAAGAGGCATCCATCGTGACAAATATTGTACCGGTCTGGTGGTTTGGTTTTGTCTAGAGAGTAATCTTCCAGCATTGTTTGTTTTCTTGGCAGGGTTTTTATGGTGGAAACGGTAATGGATTTTTGCTTCCTTCCGAACAAGTTTCTATGTCAGCGGACACCACCAAAGGTGGGAAACCTAGTCTTTTGCCAAATGGTGGAGGTGTCACCGCAAATAAGGGATCTAACCTGAAAAAACTAGGTTACCAGAACTCATCTTTTAACCCGAAGGGTTCGTTTGCAAAGGGTGCATACCCGGCAGGTTTCTATTCTCCAATGTATCAGTACCCTAGATACAATTATGATGGGAGCTTCTCTTCTGGGAAGACCAACATCCTTCAACAATACCCATACCTAGTATGTGTCCTTTTCCTGCTTCAGCTGGGTTCATCATGTCCTTGTATGTGATTTCGATTTATTAATGTATTATGTTCTCAACTTTTGCAGAACACTCATCAGGCTAGATCAACGGGTATGGGTCAATCATATTCATACATGGACAACATGTACTCAAATCCCGGGATGTATGGAGCTTACCTGAATGGGCTAGGGGCTGGCTACGGTTATAGCACTTATGGCTATGACACCTGGAAACAGCCGAATTGGTACGCAGTTAACAACGGCTACAAGACACGGGGTTATGGATTCCAAGGGTATAGCAAAGAGAACATTGATGGATTAAACGAGTTGAACAGGGGGCCACGAGCCAGGGGTTTCAAGAACCAGGAAGGTTCTCAGTTGACAGCTATTGTTCCTAAGGAGCAGAGTGCAGCAGCAGGAACTGAGAAGCCTAAAGAAGATGTGTCTGTACCCGATATGAAGGATTACAATAAGGAAGATTTTCCTGAAACCTACTTGCATGCAAAGTTTTACGTGATCAAATCTTACAGCGAAGACGATGTTCATAAAAGCATCAAATATAGTGTATGGTCCAGCACACCTAATGGCAATAAGAAGCTGGATGCGGCATATAACGAGGCAAAAGAGAAGTCAGATGCATGCCCTGTATTTCTACTTTTCTCTGTGAGTACAAATGAAATTGGTAATGATTCATCAACTTTATCATCGGTATTCAATTTCTAACGAAATGGTTTCTTCTGTGATTGAATCTTACAGGTAAACACGAGCGGACAATTTGTTGGCTTAGCTGAGATGGTAGGCCCAGTTGATTTTAACAAGACTGTGGAATACTGGCAACAGGACAAGTGGATAGGTTGCTTTCCTGTTAAGTGGCATATCGTTAAAGATATACCCAACAGCTCGTTGAGGCATATAACTCTGGAGAACAACGAGAACAAGCCGGTTACTAATAGCAGGGACACACAGGAGGTCTGTTTGACTTCTTGGGCTATCAAATATCATTTTGCTTGCTTTTTCTGCTGCTCAACAAATGGTTCGGGTTTTTATTTGCAGGTGAATCTTGAGCATGGTGCCAAAATCATCAAGATTTTCAAGGATCATTCAAGCAAGACATGCATCCTCGACGATTTCGCCTTCTATGAGGCTCGCCAGAAGATTATTCAAGAGAGAAAAGCCAAGCACCAGCAGTTCAAGAAACAGGCAAGCAAATCTTTCCTCTCTCGTTCTCACTCTCCTTTGCTCCATCTATAAGTATGTAGAGAATGCACATAGTCTGGATTCAGGTGGCTTCTACATATGCTGGGTGTTTTTACTTGCCTTGCACACTTGTTTAACATATGATATTTGTCTGAAGCAGGCTTTGTCTACGAGTGACAAGGTCGGCCAAGACAAGGATGAACAAGAGAAAACTAAAGAAACAATACCCTCACTGAATCCAGAGTCAGAAGTAACCAGCGAATCCAAAGGAGAAGACATTGAGCAAGCCAAAGCAACGGTCCCCGGAAATGGTGTTGCATCAAGCGATGTTGCCAGTGCCTGCTGATTTTGATCCGTTGGTGGTATGAAACTAGAGCTGTTACTCAAGTTTGTGGTTTCATACCCAAAATTTGCCCTCTTTTTTGGAATCAAGTCTCGAGTTAGTATAGGTCTTCTTCTTCTTCTCCTCCTCCTTGGTTTTCAGGTTTTAAGGTTTAGATGGGATGGGATACAAGAGAGCCCTGTCATGGTGGTTTTTGAGGCAGCGAAATGTTGTGAGGGGCACTTGCCCTTGCAGAGGAGAGAGGGTAGTTCTAAGTGTTGTGTCAAGTGTAGTCCTAAGTGTTGCTTCCCTTCCCTTGAGATTTGTGTTTTTCTTTTTTGTGGTTTAATAGAAATTGCATTTGCTCTATTCTGGGGTTTAAAATTATGTTTTTTTCCTGTCATTGTGATTTGCATTGTTTCCACCGGAAAAAAAATCTACGAGGCCATGGCACTCTACAACTTGATGAACCGGTTCCTGAGATATGGTAAACCGGTCTGTGAACCGAGATGATCCTGTTCTTTGAAGTTTGAACTGAAGACGAATAGGTTCGTGAACAGAGATTATGAAGAACCGGCGATAAATCGGTTTGTGAACAGATGATATGGAACAGAAGGCATACAAAAAGTCATTGCCCTTTGCCAATTTCAATATTTTATTCAGTTTTTTTTATTTGTTTTTATTTTACTGAAGCTTATTTGATTATCTAAATTCTAAATGCATATAGAAGCCCCAAAAAAGGGTCATTGCCCTTTATGCCAATTTCAATATTTTATTCAGTTTTTTTTTTATCTGTTTTTATTTTACTGAAGCTTATTTGATTATCTAAATTCTAAATGCATATAGAAGCCCCAAAAAAGTGCAAGAACACATCCAAAGAAACGGAACAGAAAAAGACAAAACACCCTGAAGGGATTAGCCTTACTAAAACTTTTCACTGGTCTCTGTTTCTTCTCCTTCCTCTTCTTTCATGGCTTCTCTTCTATCCTTCTCCTCTCTCCCAAAACCAAAGGCGACAACACCCAAAGCTTCTCCTTCACCTCCTCAGATTCTGACCGAAGATCTTGAAGAGAAATTCGGGCGAAAGGGCATCAAATTCTCGGATTCAAGCGTCGAGCTTAAGGTCAGAAATGGGAGTTCATTGCAACTGAGCTTGTCGGATGCTCACGTCGTCTCGTATAAGCCTAAAGTGTATTGGAGAGACGATGGTTTCGAGGAAGTGCTTTACACTGTTCCTGGAAGTGGTGACTCTGGTAATAATAAGAAGAGCAGAGGAGGGATTGGTCTGGTTTTTAACGATGGTGGTTCTGAATCTGCCGGGGGATCGAAAGGAGGGTCTTCCTCTGTTTCGGGTTTGGAGTGGAAGGTTAAGGACACTGATTCCGACGCCATTGACGCTCTTCAGGTGATTTGCAGGTCTTTTTAGTTCCTAATACGTAATTGCAGGATTAAACATGACCATTAAATCGAGTTCGATTGTGCGAATACATCTTCTGTTCCTCAGAACGCTGCGAGATCTGAGATGGGTTTGATTCCTTAATCTCATTTTCAACAAAAACGTTCAAATAACCAGCGGTTTGACAGGCGTTAAACCGGTGGTTCAATGAAGAAATCCTCTCATGTTCTTAGTTCACAGTTCATAGCGAAAATCTACGAGAAAACTGCAGTGGATTAGGTTTGATAATCTAGTTTACAATGTTTTCCTCATCCAGGTCGAACTTGGCTGCACGAGCGGGTCTCTGGACATAACCTATGTCGTTTCGCTCTACCCTTTAAGCATGGCCACGGCGGTTGTAGTAAAGAACAATGGCCGGAAACCGGTGACCCTTAAACCGGGTATTCTGAGTTACTTGCAATTCAAGAAACGAAGCGGGTCAGGCATTCAGGGTCTGAAAGGGTGCCCTTACTGTCCGAATCCTCCATTGTCGTCGCCTTTCGAGCTCTTGTCACCTTCCGAGGCAATGAAAAGTGAATCTTCCGGCTGGTTTGGGTCAGAAGAAGGCGAGAAACCCGGGATTTGGAAGGTACAAGATGACGTGATTACGGTTTTGGAGAAGAAGATGAGCAGAGTGTACGGCGCTCCTCCTGAGGAGAGATTAAAGGCTGTATATAATACTCCTCCGTCTAAGTACGAAACCCTTGACCAGGTAAATGTCCGTTTTTTCTGGTATATTCTTGGAATATTAGGAGATTAGTTCGGAGAACTGAGGGAATTCTAACAAAGTTCTAATGATTTTCATCTCGTTAATATCGGCCTACTCATGGTCCGATACGCTCATCTCGGGTCGGATTTCTACTATTCGGTGTTCGTTTTCGGTTAGGGATACCAAACTTGATTACAAGTGTGACACATTGTTATATCTGGCATTCTTGATCAAACTACTATCTGGTAAACATGATCAGAATGGTTCTGAATCTTGACAGATTTTGAGCTTTTTCTTTTTCGGTTATCGGAGTATCAGACTTTTCGATTAGAATACGGATGGATTCACGTTGTGGATCGGTTCGGATATAACGTATAAATAAGGATACTGCTACTGAAAAAATGTGGGTATTATCGCAGGGGAGAGGACTGTTCTTCAGGATGATAAGGATAGGGTTTGAAGATATGTATGTAGGGAGCCCCGGGTCGATGTGTGAGAAGTTCGGGAAGCGAGATTACTTTGTCTGCACAGGACCGGCCTCTATGCTCGTCCCCGTTGAAATCGACTCAGGCGATTCCTGGAGAGGAGCCATGGTCATTGAGCATGACAACCTCTAAATTCACATCATCATCATCATCTTGTTCCTGTTCTTGTCCTTTGTACGTATTTACATCTCTGAGAAGTGTTATATATTCATATAGAGGAAGAAATCGTTGCTCCTTACGCTTTACACACGTTTTATATTCTCGAATTCGAAGAGGGATTAACGTTGTCTCGATTATAATTCGTATAATGGATGCTTAAGGCTTCACAACTCGGACATCTGAAGCTCTTAAACAGTTGATTTATGATAAGACAGATGGTTAGTGAAGTGATTTATGTATCAGACATGTATGTATGATAAAATCTCTAACCCCCAAAGAAATATCTTGGGTCAATTTGTTTGCAACAAGAGAAGAAAATATCTTAGAATTCATATTCACTACCAAACAAAAGCAGGCAGTTTGTTTTCTTAAAAGAGAAAAGAAAAAGATCTAAACACCCGCGAGGATAGAAGATAAGGCGATGTCTTTTTGTCTTTTTCAAAGGCTCTGAAGCTTAGCGCAGAGCAACAATGGCTTATGCCACCATTGCTTCACACAGTAATATCTTCTTCACGGATTCGCCATGGATATCTTCGAAGCTTTTGAGCTCTCATTCGTCTTCTTTAATAAAATTCAACAAGAAGAAGAAGAAGAAGAAGTGCAAGGGGGTTTCTGTTCCATTTGTTTCAGCTTCCTCGGCCTCGATCCCTTACCCTCCGATCAATTTGGAGTATCTACGGAGAGAATTCTCCGGCCATGGAGCCACTTTCGAAGATATCGGTACTACCGTTAATCGTAACATTTATGTTTGCTAATCTGAGGGATTGTGATTTGGATGGTTATACGAGGGGATGAGTTCATGACAGGTGAGACGTGCATTGCCAAGTTGAAGCTGGAGAACAGGAGCTCAGCCACTGTGGTGCTGTCACGTGGCATGGTAACCTCGTACAAGGTCCCAGTGTGGCATGGAGGAAAGATGGAGCTTCTTCACACCTGGGTCTCGGAGGAGGAAGACGATGAAGTGGTCATACAAGGAGGAGTTTCATCGGCCATATTTCCCGATGATCAAGATCTCGACGAAATCAGTTCTTGGTCGATGCCCAGTGGCTGGATTCTTCAGGGCATAGCAGGAGATTCCCAGGACTATGTTCAGGTTACAAGTCATTGGTATCTGATTTCGTATAATCTGATGATATCGAATGCATACCGTAAAGTCATGTCTGATGAATAGAAACCCGAAAAAAATGCAGGTAGAGTTGGCAAGAAGGGACGTAGACAACATGCTGGAGATGAAGCAAGTTATTACTCTTGGACAAGAAACACTAAGCTGTGAACTCACAGTCACGAACAAAAACTTGTCGCCGGTCCAAATAAAGTGTTCACTTCTAAGCCATTTGACAGTTAGTACACCAGAAGCCACATATGCAGTTGGTCTACATGGATCAAATTACGTCGAGAAAACACCGTTTCTCCCGTGCCCCGAGACGATTATAGAAGAAGATGAAGGAGAAAAACCCGGGTTCGGAGGGAACAAGGAAGAGATTGAGTACGAAGAGCAGAGCAATTACAAGCAGTTGAATGAAGAGATGAGCAGGATATACACATGTGCACCTCAAAGCTTCACTGTCATTGACAGAGTAAGTGATTGTTCAACCCCCACACAAAACTTATATACATCAGCCAATAATCGGATATCTGGTTCTGATACCCGAGTACGTGTGTCATATTTCGATACCCGAGATCCAAATATCATCATTTTTTTCCCGAATATCCAACAACCCTTTTGGTGTTTGGATCTTGATGAATGTGACAGGGAAGAAGGAACTCAGTGGTAGTAGGAAGAGAAGGGTTAGAAGAAGTGTACATGTTCAGTCCTGGCTCAAGGGGGCTCGAGAGTTACAGCAAATCTGCTTATGTCTGTATTGGACATTCTGCTCTGCTCAAACCCATCTCTTTGGAACCCTGTTCTGTTTGGAGAGCTGTCCAGCACGTCCATAACCCTAACTCTTAACCATTTCCCTGTTTTTAAACATGTAATGTAATTTCATAAGTAAAAGGTTTTTTTTTTGGACATATGAATATTTCAGAGTTTTTATTGGATTTGTTCGGTTATTTTTTATTCGGTTTTTTTCATATAGAAAGACGATCATGGCCAACAAGGACATTTATTTTCGAGAGAGATATAACGATTGAGACCGGAAACATCAAAACGATTCCTTCTTTTCTTTTACTACATCTTAGTGCAGTCAGCTGGCTTGAACGACATCTTCTTTGAAACGGTATCGTATCCGATGAGGAAATTCATCTGAGACAAGTTTCCGTAGATGGCAAAGTCGTCGGTTTCGCCAAAGGCAAAGCAGACTACGTCGTCCGCGACTTGGATGAAGTAATTCGAGGGGTCGAGCTTCACATCCGCTCCTTTGAAGTTGATTGTGATTGTCGGAACTTTGAGATCGGAACTCATTTGGTAACACAGAGTCAAAAAGTTTCCTGGATCGGACACTCGCTTTCCCTTGACCACGGCCGCGACAGCTGTCTCGAGTTTCGAATGGAAATCGGGTGGCAACAACGTTAGTGTCGTGCCCGAGTCGATGATCATGTTTCCTTCTTCTTTGCTTCCCGGGAAATCGAGTCTCTTGCCTCCCACGGTAATGGCTTCGAGTGTCATATAGTAGAATGTGTCAGGATCTTTCTTGACGAGCGGGGTAGAGACAGTTCCAGTGCCCGACACTATGGCTTTGGAACCAAAGTTCATCTTGCTGGTCAGGTCGGATTTCGAAGACAAAGGAACCAAACAGTACGAGAATTTTCCTCCGATCGAGTTGCCGAGCTGGGTTATCAGCGAAACGGATCCTCCTCCGAGTCCGATGAGACCTGAACCCTTATCGTCGAACGTTCCCGCATTGTCGTGGCCGCAGCCGATGACGGTGTTAGGCAGAGCCACCGGGCGTCCGTCCGTGGATCCGAGCGTGAGGGTGTCGACTGCGACATCTCCGTTGGAGTGAGACTGGTCACCGTACACGATAGAGTACTGGCAAGTGCCGTTGTTCAAACCGCCACGACCGCTGCTGCAACTGGTCTGGTCTACGGCTTGGCATTGCCTTGCGGTACAAGAAACCTTTTTGTATGTGGATGAACTTTTTGGATCAAAGATAGGAGCTTTTTGCGAGTAGCAGTCTTCACAGGGCTTGCACTGCATCCAGATCAGGTCGCTCCCCGTGTCGGCGATCGCCATTATCGGAAAAGGCGGGGACCCGATCGAGACGTTCATAAGATACTCGCCTTTGCTAGACGTTATATCAGCCTGGGGGGTGTTTGGTGACGGACCAAATGAATTGGTGAAACGGACCGCACGGTTCATTGACCTGCGTAACGCGTTTCTCAGACGCTGCGACGGCACCTCCGCCGGATTGTAAAACGGCGATCTGGGGGAATCGCGGTGGATGAGGTCGACGGTGAAACCGCGTTCGGGTTCAGCGTTTGCGTTTGAGAGGAACAGCGATGAGAGCAAGAAGAGTGAGAAGAGGGTTGAAGAGAATAGAGACGCCATTTTTTTTTGTGAGTGCTGCGTTTCCAAAGGATGAGCACTTGTTGTTATTATACGTTTTACAGATATGCATATGTATATATATAAGGTTTATGTTTGGTGAGTAATTAAATTTGTAATATAGCTATTAAAAGGTAAGTAATTAAATGAATTATGGAATCATTTACTAAGTTAATCATTATAGGATAATGAATAGCTTATTTACATAATAGGAAAAATATTAATTAGGTACGTTTTCTTTGGACGCAAATAGATTCTTCGTGGGGTTTGTGAGTATGCGGACGTGGTCATATGGAAGTCTTATGAATGCATATATTTTCTTTCTTACTCTTTTTTTTTTTCCTTTGAATGCATATGGAGTTGAGGATATTGGATAAAAATGAAAATTTATTTTTTCACATATATAAAATTCATTTATAGAAATAATGTTTTCTTCCATTGTCTGGTGACATCAAATTACGGATCTAAAACAACATTTTATAATTCGAAACAAATTATAATTTTAAAATAAAATGAAGAAAAAAAAACATCAATGTAATCAACCAACTGTGACAATGTGCAGACATTTTGAAGAATGACAGATAAATTTGATGATTTGTAACTTCTCTAAAGATTCATTTCTCTTTATCACATCACATATTAGCAGTTAGTTACTTCATATTTCGTATGACACCTAATTCCCAATTTAAATTAGAATTTGAAATCCTTCATTTAGCTTTTTTCTCTCTACCAATGATAACCCTGATAACTAAAACGATCTCATTTTGGATGAAGGGTAAAACGGTCATTACATAAAAAAGCCGCCCATAAAGCCCTAGATCGCCATCATGTCTTCTGCTCTATAAAATGCCGTCGCGCCGCTCAGGTTTCGCCGTTGACGCATCTCTCTCCTTTGTTTAAAATCTTCGGTCTCACAGTGTTCTTCTGTTGTCGTTTCTTCGTTTCGTTTTTCGATCTAGGCTGGTTCTTTGGCTCTGTATTTTCTCCGTAGACTTGCCTCTTTGAGTAGCCGTATGAACCCTAATCTTGGAAAATTTCATACCTGGTTTAGTTAGGAGGCAGATATCAATCTGATCATTGATACGTTCCTGTATTTTGGTCGATTCGACTTGGGCCTTTTGAGGGGAAACTTTGGTTATTTCGCTGCCAGGTTTCCCCCAAGCAGCCTTAGACAATTCTCTCCATCATAACAAGTTCTAAGTGCTGGGTTTTGGAACCATTTTCTTTTTCTTTCAAAACGATCCGATTTTGACGAATTGTGGGTTCTGGGTTTCCGAAAGAATCTTCTTCCTCCGAAATTGAAGAGTTCAGAGTTATGGGTTATCGATTGAATTTATTTTTCTTCCAGAAATTCCCATTGTCGATGGATTGCGTACGAAGTATAGCCTCCCGAATACCCAGAAGGTGAGATTAAACCGAACACCATTTGGTTCAGACAGAGGCTTACATCAACTCGAATCAATTCGAGGGTGAAGGGACACTTTTTCTTCCATTGTTCCCTTCCTTGATGGATTCGAATATTCTATGAATTCGGCAGTTTTCAGAATATGCGCGAACAATTGCGATGTGGCTTGTGTGAAGCTTGGTTCTGATTGAACAAGTTAATGAGAATTGTATCCAATTTCGGAATTTGCATCGGGGATTGAGTGAAATTGTTGATTCGTAAGAGTGAGCATGAAGCAATGGAATGGTTGGTTACATTTATGGATCAGAAATTTTAGTTAGATTAGCATACATCACAAATTTTTTTTTGCGTAAAGTATGAATCTTTACAATGTTTCTTGTAGGACACTCCAATTTGTGAATTTGAATCCGATCTTAGAAGAGATCGATGAACAGAGTAACCATCTATCTGGTCCTGATTGATGGTAAGATCAAGTTTTCACGCTTACCTTGAGGGGTAAGGTATCATTTTGTTCCACTTTTTGGCATGTTGTTGATGATTTCTACTATGCAAATGAAGTGTTCTTGACTAAACCGAAAGCTGAATGCAAAATCTATTTGAAAGGAACATTTTTTTTAAGAACCAGATCTGTAGACCAATCAGACCAGCAGGTGAGGTGGTGATCGTGCTTTATTTGTCCGCGAGATGACACGATTGGATCCACATGACCCATACTTTGCTCTGGAGAGAGAGAAAGAGAGATAGAGATGCCAGAAATGCATGGACATTTCCACCAAAGATTCTTGAATTCTTTAATTAGCAAATGCTCCTGCGGACTTTTCTACGTTGGCCCCTCGTATTTCTCTAAAGCGTCCCTTTTCTCCTCTTTCTTTTGTCATTAAAAAACGAGAGAGACAGTAAACAGAGGAAAAGGAGAAAGGAAATCAGAGAAAGCCCTCTTCTTTCTTTCGGAGACAAAGAAAGAGGACGGTCTGAAACTTTCTCTCTTTTCCAGAGCCCAAAAGAACAAAGAAGAGAGAGAGAGATATGAGAGAGATCATCAGTATTCACATTGGGCAAGCTGGGATTCAGGTGGGGAACTCTTGCTGGGAGCTTTATTGTCTCGAACATGGAATCCAGCCCGATGGCACCATGCCCAGGTAAATAAATCTATACACACACAAACACATGTATACATTACATTGTTTAATGCATATGGGATCAGATTTGAGTTCTATCCATGATTTGGGATCTGATTTGAGTTTTCAGAAGCAGTCTCTCTTGTCGTAGGTAATATAGATTGACACCCGTCTCTCTTTTCGTCCCAAAATTCATGATTTTGCCAACAATTTTGATTCAGATTGAATTTTTTGAAATGGGTTCCCTTTTCCTAGGCTTGATGTCGAAGATCGGGGAAGATCTTATTGTTTTCTGAATAATGTCTCAATCCCATCGTCGTATTATGAATCGCCACTAGGGTCATGAACCAGATTTAGATCTTGTCCCAATTCCGACCAAGTAACAGATCAAAGGTTGACATTGCTCTGCACAGAACTGCTCTGCTCCTCACGTTTCCTTGCAGATAAATAACAAAAACTCAAAAAGAACAGATCAAATGAAGAAAAAAAGCATATTTGATCTGATAAGTTACTGTAAAATGTTTAATGGATTATATGTTATATGGAACAGTATAGCCTCCTCTTGGATGTGAATTTTCATGCATTGCAGCCGGTGATTTATGTTATTTATCTTGTATCATTCTTTTGCAGTGACACTACTGTGGGTGTAGCTACTGATTCATTCAACACGTTCTTCAGCGAGACAAGTTCAGGCAAACATGTCCCAAGAGCCGTGTTTGTTGATCTTGAACCTACAGTCATCGATGAAGTTAGAACTGGCAGTTACCGGCAACTCTTCCATCCGGAGCAGCTTATCTCCGGCAAAGAGGATGCTGCAAATAACTTTGCTCGAGGACATTATACAGGTATATGTCCTCTTGATCAACATGATTCAATCTAGGACTTCTTTGAAGAAACTATCGATTAATTGTTCGTACCACAATGCAGTTGGAAGGGGCATTGTCGATATTTGCCTCGACAGAATCAGGAAATTGGCGGACAACTGCACTGGTTTGCAAGGGTTTCTGGTGTTCAATGCTGTCGGAGGTGGCACGGGATCTGGCTTGGGTTCGTTGTTGTTGGAACGCTTGTCCGTTGATTATGGGAAGAAATCTAAACTCGGTTTCACCATCTTTCCTTCTCCTCAGGTACCTGCAAAATTTTCTCTCCTTTTATCCCTTCCGGATAACCTGCAGGTTTAATATAAGCATGCCCCTACCCTTGAAATCTTTTCTTTTTCCTCGTCATGTGTAGGTTTCTACGGCGGTTGTGGAACCGTACAACAGTGTCCTCTCGACTCATTCTCTCCTCGAACACACTGATGTCGCAGTCCTTTTGGACAACGAAGCCATTTACGACATCTGCAAGAGGTCTTTGGACATCGAGAGACCAACTTACACAAACTTAAACCGCTTGATCTCTCAAATCATCTCTTCCCTGACAACCTCCCTTCGATTCGACGGTGCCATAAACGTGGATATAACAGAGTTTCAGACAAACCTTGTCCCTTACCCTCGGATCCATTTCATGCTTTCATCCTATGCACCCGTGATTTCAGCAGCAAAAGCCTTCCACGAGCAGTTGTCAGTGCCCGAGATCACGACTTCCGTATTTGAGCCTTCGAATATGATGGCAAAGTGTGACCCGAGGCATGGGAAGTACATGGCTTGTTGCTTGATGTATCGTGGAGATGTCGTGCCAAAGGATGTGAACGCGGCTGTTGCATCCATCAAGACCAAACGGACAGTTCAGTTCGTTGACTGGTAATGCTGTCTTCTTGTCTAAAAAAAACGTTTCCTCTTTGGTTTTCCCCGATCTAGCTAATGAATGGTGGTCGGTCGGGACCGGCATTTTTATCAGGTGCCCGACTGGTTTCAAGTGCGGAATAAACTACCAGCCGCCGACTGTCGTCCCGGGAGGGGATTTAGCGAAGGTTCAACGAGCGGTTTGCATGATAAGCAACAACACGGCGGTGGCCGAAGTGTTCTCTCGGATAGACCATAAGTTTGACCTCATGTACGCGAAACGTGCGTTCGTCCACTGGTATGTAGGGGAAGGCATGGAGGAAGGTGAATTCTCCGAGGCTCGGGAAGATCTCGCTGCCCTCGAGAAAGATTACGAGGAAGTCGGAGCTGACGGTGCCGAGGACGACGATGAAGAAGGCGACGAGTATTAGGAAAAGCTGATGATTTTCCGGGTGTTTCTCTATTCTCTGTGGCCTTTCGTTTTTTGTTCTGAAGATGTACATGTTCGTTCGTGTATCTTCATTGGGTTCTCCATCTCTCGTTTGTTTTTTGTGGTTTTATCTGTGTGTGTACATTGTTTTTGTGATGTCTTGAATTGACAACCTGTTTGAAAGTTTTTGTTTTTATTATTCTATTGGTTTTATGTAGATGTCGATATTTAGATTACCTTTTCAATAACTTAGTATGGTTCTCATTAGGAGTTATTAACCAAATAACTAAACCGAACTGAAACAAATAAGATATAATCGTAATCAAATCGAATCTGACATAAAATCAAACGGTTATAATTTCTCTAAATCCGAAAAAATTAAAACCGAACGGATTATAAAAAATAACCGAAAAAATCGATAATTTTTTTGAAAAAATAATTTTTTTACAACAAAAAAAAACGAACCCGAACCGAATCAAAGTTTATATAAAAATCTAATGGTTATAATTTTTCTATAACCAAAATAACCGAACTCGAATATAATCAAATCAAACCCGAATCGAAACCCGAAATGACCACCTGTGGTTTTCATATTGGATAACAAGACTTACCATGAACAATATAAAATGGATCAACGAAACAGCAATCTGAGAGTGACACTACGTAAAATGAAAATAAACCAATGTCTGGATCTCACTGACAAAGCATTCCTAGTGTAAAAATTTCAGCAAATGTCAAGATCTCACTTCTTTCTCATTTCGAAACGACAAAGGGGAGAGAGAGGCAACAAGAGAGAGGAGACCTCAGTTCTTATTCTCAGTGTTACTCTCAAGTTCCCTCCTCAGCTGAAGAGAGAAGTCGTCGTTCACATCGTCGTCGTCCCAGTCGTCTTCCCATTGCTGAGTCACTTCCTTCACTTCCTCCTTCTCTTCCCAATCTGCCACCATCCCCAACAAGCATAATTCAGATCACTTATATGCAATAAAAACTGTTTTGATCAGTTGCAAAGTGCCAAATTTGTAAAGATTACAGAACTAGGATGAGCTGCCCAACATTTAGGTATATGTAGATGGAATTGAGTCCGAAAAGCTAGAAATCTAGGACACGGCCACTGTAAATATGTGCATAGGGTAGAGCTTATACAAAGGAGTAGACGTTGAAAGAAATTTTTCTGCTTTGAATGACATGGGAACAATAACTTGGCAAGAAACATATAATAGCCAAAGGGCAGTGTACAAAACTCGGCCTAGCAGTAGCACATATCCTAAGGTCATCAAACAGAATCGATTACCACATTCCAGCACTCATACCTATTGAACCAACTCATCCGAGACTACAGTTATCCGTTTTGGTAATGTGACTACCAATTCTAAAACTGAGACTTCACCGATTTACCAATGCAAGCATCATGCATAGCATGACAATTCAACGGAGAACTTAAACGAGTAGATTTCGATCATCGAGTATCAGAAGACCCTACGCAAGATTTTTAATCCCTGATATCCAGAATACTGTACATGTTGGCCACTTGGCTTGGCAGACACAAAACATACCACATTAACCGACTCAGAAATAGTATGCAAGAGCTTGGAGCTTGTTATCAATAAGTTTTACAAGATATCATGCCACACGAAGCGAAGAAATCTAGGTCACATGCTTCAAAAGATAGAGCAATGTTCATTCCAAAGCAAAAACATCTATCAGGTTTTGACAGATTCGAACCCTTTTATGCAACCCAGAGTATGCAAGTTGACGAGTCTAGCAGTCTAGTGAACCATCCTAGGAATCATTAATTCACTGATCCAACCTGAAATCCTAAGGACTGAATCGTAGAACGAAGAACAGAATCATCAAAACCCTCACCTTCGTCGATCTCAAATTCCTCAAACTCATCGTCGTCCTCGAACAAATCCATCTTTACGTCCTCAGTCGCCGCCTTCGGCTCCGCCGCCATCGTTGCGGGTTATCTCAGGAAATGAACAGAACCAGATCGAAAACCTACGAGGACAACGACCTCACAAACCTATAAACTTCCAAAATCAAATCACGCAGACAACGACAACAATCGAAGAACTTTGAGCGAACTTCGAAACCCTAAGTACGCAAATTTTTCTACTTACAGAGATTTTTCTCGTCGCCTTGCTCGAGAATACGGACATGTGAACTGTGGAGGGAGGCCCAATAATATATCTTTTTTTTTTTAACAAAAACAAAATAAAAAAAAAAACAAAAGACGGTAACACAAAACCGGTTGGTTCGATTCGCCAATTTCATTCGGTTTAGTTATACCATCTGAACCCGAAGCCAAACCATTTTTGTGTTTGTCACCGACCTCCTCTGGGTGGTAGCTCATTTGTACGTCTTTCTCTTTTATTCGATGTTTTTTTATTCTTTTTGTGAATCCAGAAATGGTAAATATTCAAAAGCTTTTGTATAAATTGGAGAAAAAAAATATATCAATTGCTTGTTTCTTAAAAATTTGATTTTCTATAATATGATGAAAAATATAAAAGTTTCTTATAATAGCATTTTCCACAATTTAATATATGACAGTCATGTGGGTTAACAATTCAGCAGACCACTATCAACCTGCTAATTTGTACCCTCTAAGGTTGTATAAATATTAATATACATACATATAAATATACATATATCCATGCATATACTCGTACATGCATACATACATATAGAAATGCGCATACATATATACATACATACATACATATATAGATCTAACAGAGCCAAACCCACATCTAGAGATTCAATAGAAAACCAAAGAAACAAATAAGCTTTTGAAACATTGATACAAAACCACCATCCAAAACTGATTAGGCTATTAGCCCTTTTTTTTGGTCCACAACATTACCATACAAAAAAAAAAGCCCTTCAAAACTTTCCCCTTCTTTCTGTGGGGCATTAACTCATTCACCACCCTTCTGGTTTCAGCAGAGTTACCACCCCATGAATCACATATTCATGTCCATACACACATACACACTTTCAGGATCACCAACCACTGAAAACCCGAAATCAAACTTACACGACGTAGAAGAAGAGGGCGAGAGTTAGGACGAGAGGATGGATTGGAGAAGGTGCTGTTGCTGTGGTTGTAGAGATGACCATGTCGAAGCTAATGCTGATGGAGGCATTGTCTGTTGAAGCTGCCTCAAGATGTTGATCATCCTCCTCACCGTTTGTTCCGTCGCTAGGTTATTTCCTTCGCATAAGACCTGCCCGAAAAAAAAAACAATTTGAAACATCGTTAAGTGTCGGTCAAATCTCTCCACCAGTCTCGGGCAATGCATCGAGAGAGCTTGTAAGTACCTCAGCAAAGACGGCCACTATTTTGGGAAGATATTGATGGTTGGGGCCTAATAGATCCTGATCAGATCTGATAAAAGAAAGCACGATTCTTTCAGCACGATAATCTGAACCACGAATTGTAACATGAGGGCAGGCAAACGAAAAGATATCTCTACCTCTCGACCATCGAGCAAAGTTGGTCATGTACAATTTTCGCCTCGATCGTGTCCCCTTTAATTGGCAAGCAGTTTAACCAGGCAGGAACAATCTGACAGATGTGAAAATTGAGTGACAATTCCATACCAGAACACAAGATGTATGATGCTTCAAATTATTAGATGCATGCCATGCAATCACTACATCAAAAAGTTCTCTTTCTCTCGTAACTAAGACTAACAAAGTTTGCAAATGCTGCGATAACTGCGTTATAGATGAGCTAAAATCATAAGAGAAATATGAGATGATAAGCCTGAATTTACCCTTCCTGCATCGATGCTTTCACGGTGGAACTGACATATTTTTCCAAGAGCTGAAACAGCATTGTCATAAGCCATTACATTGTCTGAATGCCGAAGTAAATTAAATTTCATATTACACAAAAAAAAACGGCATTCTACGCAAATTAAAGAAAATATGACCTTGTGCAAAGCCTCCAGCAATTCAGGTATTATATAATCGCTCAATTGTTTAACATAGGAATCATTACGGCCTTGAGATAGCCCTTTCTCCACAGCTAGTTTGGCTGAACGCAACAGCTCAGGCATACCTGTTTGGAAAAATCAATAATGCAAATGAAGCCCCAAAAAATAAAGTTCAGAAAAGTGATGCAGTACTCCAGGTTCCAACCTGATACTGCGGCCTTCCTAACTTCTTCATGGAAATAAAACTTAAGGAGAGGAACCAAAATAGGAGCAACCTGCATTGTCATGATAATATGAGGATCTGGAACTTCACAAAATTTCAAAATGGGAAACTATTATAGACTTTATAGTGTAATGCGAAGCGTACCTGATCAATCCATGGGAAAAATCCTTCTTTCAGTTCATCCGCATAGCAACACAGCATGTTACAAGCAGTAGCTTTCTCTTCCAAGACGCTAGTTTTGATCCCAATCCTCTTATCACCAAGAGTGATGGTTTCAATACTGAAATAAAAATCAAGCCCACTGAGCTGAAATACAAAAGAGATGGAAAAACAAGTCGTGTTCTAAATTTTAAAGCGTTAGGATGTCTAACTACAACATCCAATCTGGAAAGGGCCTCTGCAAAGGGAAATGGCGACAACAGACAACTACGTTACACTGTTATTACATGAGAAATTGATTCGTTCAGATACGGATAATCTAAGGCGAGTAAGAAGATACCTCCAACAAGAGGTCTGAAAACAGATCCACCAAACTCAGCACAGACACCGATCCCATAGACAGCAGCCTGAAATGTGGACAAAAAAAATCAGCTCCAAATCTCAGACAAAAAAGAAGAAGATAGAAGCAGGTTAAAGAACATACCTGACGAACATCAGTATTTTCATCGTTGCATGCTTCCAATAGGAAAGGAACATATGTATCATAGTATCTGCTTGAAGCATTTTTTTTCAAAAGATGAGGAATCTGATACACAAACAAATTGGGAGATAACTGTCACAAAAATGAAAAGTCCATACCTAAGAGCTGCATCGCGACAATGCTCAGCAACATCATCAAATATACAAATAGCTATTCTCTTTTCCTCTGCTGTTCTATCACTACCCTGCATAATGCAAGACAAATATTTCATTCTCATCCTCAGAGAAGAAAAAGGATCAAACAAAGTCGTTAAATGCATGCATGACCATAGGTAATCAGTAATCTTTCTATGATTAGCACGGGACTTATTTCTCGCAGTTGAAAGAATCAAAGAATCCACAAACTTCCAGCAAAAAACATTTAAGTAGAAGAGTCACGAAAGAAAGCACTTACCAACATGGGAGTTATGTAAGATGAGAGCTCATCAAACATGGGAAGAAAAGAGGTCTTGAACGTTTTTATCAAAGTACCCAGCAAATCACCAATCTTCATGAAAAGAGAAACACCAAGTTAAGAACAATTATATTCTCCAGTGAAAGGAAGAATTCAAAACCACAGAAATGGATCCTACTTGATCAAAAACTTCTTCCTCTTGCTCGTTTTCTTCTTTAAGTATCTCACTTTCTTCTGCATCAAAGTCTTCTGCTCTGGCTCTTTCTTCTCGCTCTGTCCGCCTAGCTGAGCTTGCTGTTACGACCTGCTTCATTTCATCAACAATACCCCTCACTTGGCTTTCATCTAGCAGGTTTCCAGAAACCTGACACAAGCAAAGAGAAGCACTACATTTAGATACACTCGTTTCCTCTAGACAATAAACAAGGGTGAAATACACTTTGCTGGCTAAGCAATTCTAAAAATTCTGGCAAAAATCAAGAAAGACAAAACTAGGGATATCCTCTAAAGGACCAACACAGTTCGTATCCCCATCTAGTGGGGGTGCTGGGGAAGGGAATATACTAGGTCACCTTACCCCTACATTTTAATGCAAAGAGATGGATTCGAATCCGGGACCTCAGACCCGACGCTAAATGGTTTTACCGCTGAGCCAAGTCGGCCCTTCTAGTGATATCCTCTACTTCAGAAATTATCGGCATGCTATATAATGGTGAGAGACTTCAGTAAAACATTTCAATATCTAGATATAATATATAGTGAACCGTGCATGAGTCTTATTCCAAACATCACAACTCACATCAATAATTGGGAAAACTTAATTTACTGCACTACATACATGATAAGCTGAAGTGCAAACAGTACATGTAGTCCATTAGATCTAGAAGTCTAAGACCAAGACTCAGCTAAAGCACAATTACAAACCTGTACACATTCATTCAATGCATCCAACATGCTTGCACATATCTCCACTTCAGGCTCCTGTAGTTGAGTTGAGGAAAACCATAGTAAATTAAATTTCATATTACACAAAAAAAAACGGCATTCTACGCAAATTAAAGAAAATATGACCTTGTGCAAAGCCTCCAGCAATTCAGGTATTATATAATCGCTCAATTGTTTAACATAGGAATCATTACGGCCTTGAGATAGCCCTTTCTCCACAGCTAGTTTGGCTGAACGCAACAGCTCAGGCATACCTGTTTGGAAAAATCAATAATGCAAATGAAGCCCCAAAAAATAAAGTTCAGAAAAGTGATGCAGTACTCCAGGTTCCAACCTGATACTGCGGCCTTCCTAACTTCTTCATGGAAATAAAACTTAAGGAGAGGAACCAAAATAGGAGCAACCTGCATTGTCATGATAATATGAGGATCTGGAACTTCACAAAATTTCAAAATGGGAAACTATTATAGACTTTATAGTGTAATGCGAAGCGTACCTGATCAATCCATGGGAAAAATCCTTCTTTCAGTTCATCCGCATAGCAACACAGCATGTTACAAGCAGTAGCTTTCTCTTCCAAGACGCTAGTTTTGATCCCAATCCTCTTATCACCAAGAGTGATGGTTTCAATACTGAAATAAAAATCAAGCCCACTGAGCTGAAATACAAAAGAGATGGAAAAACAAGTCGTGTTCTAAATTTTAAAGTGTACTCAGTAGGCAAGTTGTTTGATACAACGCATGATTCCTCCCATCAAAATACCAAACATGCAATGTAACCATGACAAAATGTAAGCAAAATGGCCAACCAAAAATTTTTTTTAAAAAAAGGCAAGTGGACAAGTAAAATGAATAAAGATTGTTCCATAATTCCATTAGAGAAAGACTAATGAACCACAACTAATAACCAAGGTGGACTAACGACAAAATCATAGAGAATGGAGCCTTATGAGAATGTAATTGAAGCAAATAGCTCTACAGTGTTTCCCAAAATCACGTGTTATTCTAGAATATTATGGAAGCAACTAAAGGGCGAACTAGAAATAGCATGTATACTGAAGGTATTTCAACAGAATAATTGAGATGCCAAAGCTGGTATTAAACAATTCAAAAACAAATGTAGCACCACTACATAACAAAAAATACCTATCATCTTCATCATCAATATCAGCATCTGAATCAGCAGATGTAATGGTTACATCAGGCTTAAGCTGCGCAGATTGAAGCAAAGGTGGCATGACTACACTCATGTAAGGGAGAAAATCCTGCCCAAGGCATTTGCAGAGTCTAGCCCAAGCCTGCAAATTGTATTTAAAAGAAAAGGTCAGAGAAATATAATTATAGATTCCTCTAAGCCTCCTCCTGACACAAGAAAAATGGAAATCGGGAAATGTAAATGTTTTTAATAGTAAATTCATGCATCAAGAACACATAAACATGCCTGTAACATGTAGCTCGTGGTTGGATCATCCGCTTCCAATTGAGATCCTTGTAATGACATGAGCACTTCCATGACCTTTCCACCCGAAAGCAATAATCAGTCAATAAGGATCGACAATATAGAGAATTTCCTTCAGTGGATATAAAAATGGACCCCAAAACAAATGAAAAAAAATATTCTAGAACATCACCATTTTCAAAACATATTTTGAGTGAGATTTTTTTTTCAAAAGAATCAAAACAGAAACTGTGTTTATGTTTACCTGCTTTGCATCATCTTTAAATTTTTCTTTCCCAACAGCCATTCCAACCAAACTAATACACTCCATTGATTTAGCGCGCAACATACGATTGGCTTTGTCATTTGCATTCACCAAAATAGCTTTCAAGTAAGGCATCACGGCATCATAGTATTTTTGGAACAGCTCCTGTTAGAAAGACAATTTCAGATTGAAGAGTATGGAACAATAATCCGGACTTGCAAAGGGGAATATATATGTGTGTGTGAGTGTGTGTACCTGCGAAGAGTCAGCAACTGATGCTAAAGCAGTCAAAGCACCCTCTTGTACCATTTGTTTCCCGTTCTGCATCAAACCCAAAATATCCAGAAATAAGATGACATTCAAAATGTAATGTGGCCAACAAAAAACACCTCCAACACATACAAAAACCCACCATGGGAAAACCTAGACGTAATACCTCAGATTTTCTGACATTCGAATAGAGAAAAAGGAAAATAAGCAGATACAGTGGTACCAACTTTCTAGGAATTAAATTGCCGGTCAATTCTGTGATCAATCAATAGTTAAGACTATAAATAGCTAAAAATTTGTGTAAAGTACCATGGTTTGGCATGTAAATGTCAAACGTGAGATTTGATTTTAATGAAGGCATACAAATCTGAGAAACCATTTATCCCTTTGGGATTAGTAAACTTCATGGGACCAAGTTTGTTCCACCAGAAGACTAAATCTTGAAACATGCCATTTAGCCTCTGAGACATAAGGCAAGAATGTCTAGGAGACATTACGCCAAAGACTTGTCTTCCAGAAATAACAAACCAGCCCGGACCTTCTACCTATAACTAATAGTAGTAACATGCATCAATCAAGTAACAGAACTTTAAATGAAAGGCATGAAAGACTACATACCTGAAGAAGTACGAGAAGCTTGCTAACAATCCCGTCCAGATATGGCGTCAAGATCTCTGGGGTACAATTCTCACTGAAATTTAGAACAGCAGAAGCAGCATGTGCCTGCACCACACAGACAGAATTAGCTAGTTAAGACTAATCAAAAAAGAGAAAATGAGGACATCTCCAACAGTAAGTGCCAGATGAGGAAAGAAACCAAATGAGAACTTCATATTTGCTGTGGTGGATTTAGGTCTACAACCAGAACAATGCTCCTTTAACGTATTTCAGAATCATTTACAGGCAGGCCACTAGAATACTAAATAAATAAAAACCTGAACTCGAGGACTTTGAAAATCATCCATGGCTCCAGCCAATGCGGGAAGCACAGACTGATGGTATTGATTTTGCAAAACAGGTCCCAAGTCCGTGGACAACTGTCCAATTGCATTGATAGCTGCCCATCGGACACGAGGATGAGGATGCTGAAAAGAGTTCAAAACCATAGAAACCACCTGTTCCAGGTTCCGTGTCATGACCTGCATCAGAAACAAAAATAACATAAGAGAAAGAAAAAAAAAGATAACGCAATGGGAAGGTTATGCTCATAAAAAGATAGCTGTAATTCAAAAGAAAATAGAAATCAGTGTTGAACTAAGGCGAACAACCATACGATTTCACAAAGCCAAATTAATAGTAGCATAAAGACATTATAAGGAGCGCAACTCACAGGAAAGACAAGATACCACGAATAACGAATCAAAGAGCAAATAGAATAGATTAAAAAAAAGTGAGGAGTCCACTATAAATAATTAGCTGCTTGTATAATCACTTAGTTCAATATGATTTCCACAACTTATGCGCACTACAAGTAATTAGGATAGAAGTGCTAGTAAAGTATCCTTAGATTCATTACATGATCCAACCTTAAGCAATCTATCATTTTCCTCGTAACTGTTACTTATTCTCAACTAATCTTGCCTTTTTCTGTTTACCTCCTTAGTTCATGTCATTGAAAGGTTTACAGGTTAAGAGGATTAACGATGGTTACTTTACCTAATGCTACCAAATTATCCTACCTTAAACCATTTGCTGAAAGCACAAAAAAACCCAAAAGCAGTGAAGAAACCCTCACCTTTGAGCAACCTTCTGCGATTTGGGCAACAGCAATGAGAGCAGCATGGTGCTTCTGCCACTCTGGAGCAGCCAAGAAACTCGAGAATACCTCGGACGCAACAGGAACAATAGTGTTCCCACCCAAAGATATGGCAAGCCTGTCCAGACATTCTTGTCCAAACCCATAGTTGCTTGTCTCGCCGGCATCCTCATCCTCAGTCTCAGCACTATGCCATGCTGGGTCATCCTCAATATCCAAAAGCATATTCATCAACACTTGAAACAGTTTGCTGATAAACTGTGGCAGCTTCCTCATCATACCGGGAGCCCTCTCACGTGCTTCAGCTAACGTGATGACGAATTCTATAGCCAAATGCCTTGTTCCTTCTTCCAATGACTCAGCTTCCGCAATCTGAAGCATTGAACCAACAACTTCAACCAATTGCCTCCTTAGAAACCTAGGTTCAGTACCAGCAAGTTCTATCAAAAGCTCTAACGCTTCCTGTGCTGTCGCTTCTTGACCAGAATTCAATGCCTCAGTCAAAGTCTGCATCATCAGAGGCAACAAATCCTGGAACAAATCTCTATCCGAGGCACTAGTCAAACACTGGATAAAATTGATGGATGCACCTAACGCCGCAATTCTAACATCCGCAGAGGTAGAGCTTCTCAGCGACTGAAAAAACACCGAATGTAATGTGGTCAGGTGAGGAATTAGCGTCTCACCAATGTACTGAGCCAATCTCGAGAAGATCAACAGTGAGTATTCTTGGAGATTAGGACTGTCTGCGGCGGTGACGCACTGGAACATGAAAGGCAACAGCTCCGACCACCCGTTCTCCGGCAGGACCGCGGATGCGAGCTCCGAGATTGTGTCACAGAGCTTCTTCGCTATAGATTTCGAACCCTCCTGTTGAAGTGACGCGAGGAGAACGGATTTAAGCGTGGACCGAGTCGACTCAGCGAGCCTCGGATAGACAAACGCCGGGTCATCGTCTCCTACGCGGGTGAGCTGCTTCCGGAGAAGAATCGCGGACATGGCTCGAAGCTCGGCGATGGCGGAGGAATTGAGCGCGTGGGCAAGCTTCAGGACGAGCGAGTCTGGCTGAGCTTGCTTGCAGAGATTGAAGAGCGACTCGGCGTGAGAACGTTGCTCGTTGGAGGAGGACATGAGATGGGTAATAAGGGTTTCGAAGTGGGAACTGTCGGGTCCGAGGAGGAGGGAGAGCTGCATCTGGGTCTGTTGATCCGCCGCCATGGATGCTAAAGCTTCGAGTTCCGGCGACAATCGGAGACAGCGATCGGCGGCGGAGAAGCACGAGAGTATCCCGAATGGTGGAGAATAAGATGAATGAAGGAATAGAACGATGAGGCAGCGGAAGAGAGGTTTACAAGAGGGGATATTAATTAGGGGTTTCCCCGTTTTCGGTCCTCAGTTTCGTAGACATACGATTTGCATACGGTCAGTATACGGTTAATTGTGGTAGTAAATATTTTAAGATTCTATTTTTAATCATTGAATTTGAGTATATATTTATTGCATTTTTTAAGGAAGCATTAAAATATTGTACGAATTGTAATTGTTATTTACCTTTAGAAGCATTTAATTTCAGCAGGGTAACCAAAAAAATAGAGAGAATCACAAAAATATCGAAAATACAAAATTTAGAGAGAAAAAACTAAACTGAAAAAAGGAAATTTTTTTTTATGCAAATTGGTCTTTTTTATTCGCTATATTTTTGTAAGGAAACATTAGAATATTATGCCAATTTCTATTCCTGTATATAATTTTTATAAAATTAACTGAAAAGCGTTTAATTTCACCAAGGTAACAAAAAAATAAAAATTTCATGCTTACAAAGAAAAAACCAAATCATTTGACCAAATTACAACAAAACACTCATATATATATATATATATATATATATAATAAACATCCTTTTTCACAATCAAATTTCACAAGGAACAAGGCAGAATGGTGTGTTTGATCCAAGTACAAGAATATATAACAAAAATACGCAAACGCCATTATGAAGAAACAGTTTCTGGTGATTCTCTTCAACACAAACCTCAAAAAAAAAAAAAAATGTTCCTCAAAGATCATCAATGTCGTGAGAACTCACCGGAGGAGAGACAGGCGGTCAACCATCCATTTCGGTCCGAAACTTCTTTACATTAGGCGCCGTTCTTGTTCTGCCATGGCTTGAGAACACCGACAACGATGACGGCGACGATGATGAGAAGGATGATAATGGCTATGCACATCCATTTCCTCGAGTTCTTCTGCAGGCTCTTTGCTCTCTGCAGAGCCGTGTTCCCCGACTGTACATGATCCACCGCATTCGACACCTGTTTCCCACAGCCAAAAAAACACGTTGATGGATTGGAGATTGAAACGAGCGAGGGCAGCCAGCCCGGTGCACATAGTATCCCGGGAGTCCGGGGAAGGAACGCACCACAAGGGTGTACCTTGCAGAATATTAAGCTATACTACATTGAACATAACTAATTAAGTTCATAACGTCATCTCATCTGATAATATCTTAGTTCGAAGTTGGGGTTGAACCTAAGATGTTTCTCTCATTCTCTGTTAACAATTTGCGTCAGGGAAATGGACAAGAGACTTGCATATCTCCTCATCCACTTGGAGTAAGAGAAGCAAATTATTATAAGAACTAATTCTGATTTACCTGGGATTCTATGTTGTCAAGCAGTTCTCCTTGAGCATCAACCAAAACCGCCATGTCCAGAAATATCTGCAACACCGGAAAAACGAGGAAAGTGTAAAGACACAGAAAGCTACTCAAGACCATACACGTTACAAGAAGAGCAAGGAACTGCTTGTGTTTCTATTCTGAATCTTATATTTGGTGGATTACATAATAGACGGAGCATGTCACACATTCAAACTTTATAAAGCAGAAGAAACCAACGTAACAGAATACAAGAGCTGTGAATAAAAAGAAGTAGGCAATGTAAGATATTTACAAAGCCCGCAAAACAGTTTTTTTGGTACGAGAAGCCAAACAAGAACTGAGAGAAACAATCAGCTCCTAAGGTTGAGTGATTGCTAAAATTTGTCAGAATCTCAGGATTTTGTATGCAAACAAGTCAAAAATCAATGAAATTAGCATAGCATACCTGCTGTAAGTCCAGAAGTTTCTTTTCCAAGTCCTTAACAGCATCATGACGCTCTTGAATTTCAGCCAACGTGTCCATTATCTGCGAGGAACATACATCGTCAATTTCAAAACCAAAAAAAAAAATCTCAAATGAGTCTCCAACTTGCTCTATTGGACACATTAATAAATTTGAAAACCTTGCATGAGGCTCTCTAATAAAAAGGCATACTGGGAGGAAAAAGGAATTGAGAATGACTAGCACTCTTATAAGAGATTGAATGTTACAAGGTAAAAGCCCAAACCTGTCCTCGTCCCTGCTCTTGAATAGCTTTTTGAAAGATTTGTTCACTGTCTCCAGTTTCTATCAATTGGTCAATTGTCTGTTCATTATGGAACAAGAACATGAGCTTACATGGGATAAAATAGTCCAAATATTGAGCGCCAAAACAAAGGGGAGGAAAGCCTTACCTCTTCATCAGCTCGTTGACCAGTCACTAAATATCAAGCAAAAACAACACATAAGATTCATATCCTGGAAAGACTGATGATAAAGTAGAAGGCATAGTAAGTCCATTTAGTCAAAGCATTGCTATGAATACCTGTAAAAACACGTCTTTCCACCACTTCCCGATACTCTTGTTGTATGTTCTCTCGTAGAATCTGGGAGAAATTATGATCTTAATTTCATAAGGAAACAACTATTCATGTACCAGAACAATTAAGTTTTTTTGTTCCTAACCCACCTGAAACTCAGCCATTTTGTCTTTCAACTTCTTTTTTAAGGAACTGGAACAAAAGATATAAGTTCGCCGGGGTCAAGCCAAAGAAATTATAAATGGGCATAGTTAAAAGAAAAAGAACAATGAATCAAACTGTCCGTCAGTCCTTATTTTCTAAAGAGATCACATTCTGAACACAGAAATGAAGACGTGTTCATACTTGTATCACCCATATTTGCATACAATGATAACACTTGTCTGAAGAAATCAAAAGATAAACTCTAGACGAAGTAGGATGACAAAAAATTCTAAGCCTGATATGTGAGTGTTCAAGGCAAACATTCCTTCTTACTATGCCTTGATAACTCTTAAAGTGAAAAGTTGGAGTCAAAGGATAAGGTTATAATCTAAGAAGTATAACAAATTCTTGAAAAGAAACAAGATGCAATTCAAAGAGAATCTGCAGCAGGTTATAGCTGTCCCTAGCATAAGCTAGAATAAAACCAAAAGGGTAAAAGAGGATATAAGGGAAAATGTTTGACGAACACTCACAGAGTAGTTGCTGTTCTCGATCTGTCTACACCAGATCCTTTTCCACATCCAGGCTTCTGTCTATTTGCTAAATTCTAGATCATTTAAATGAATAATATCAATCTAAAAGGGACAATAAGATAATCAAATAGCATAAATCATATAGATACCGAGGTAATTTTCCTACCTCTCTGTCCAGCTCCTCAAGTTTCCCCTTTATGAAACGGGCAATACTTCCAACTTCGTCCACGTCTTTTTCCATTTTCTTCTTTATTGCTGCCCATTACATAAGGAGCAATTATCATCTACAATGTGATGACAAACTTCTCACATCCAAGCTAACAGTGTTAGCCTAACACTACAGTCTTACAGCCCCATGACACCCAGAATCCTGGCTGCTCAGAAGTCATCAATGTTAACGTTCGTCCTTTGTCATCCACAGGGACTTCGTTTGACTATTTTTAAATTTTTATTCAACATCAACATCAACATCACCTTAATCCCAAGTTTTTAGTCACCCACATCCTCAGCGTGAGATTACATTATGCCAAGAATCAAGATAGATCTACTGCTCAGTTTATGTTTCCAGTGCACAGAAATATATGCTTAAACTTAAGCTCAATAAAAAATCCAAACTTGAGAATCTTTAGAAGCAAAGTTCAATACTTATTTCCACTGTGGTGAAAAAGGGTTGAATAAATGAACTAATCTACCTTTCATGGAGGGAGCTTTAGTGACAGCCTTTGACTCCTCATGGGCAGCCTGCAGATAAGGTGTCAGACAATGGTCTCATAAGTTCAATCGAAAAGTGACATTGGTCAGTCAGTCCTCACAGTTGAAAAAGGCTAATACGATGAGTTGCTGAAAGCTAATAAGATGAGTTTAAAAAAAATGCCATAATACCTGAAGCTTCTTTAGAAGCTTATCTAGCTTCTCATATTGTTTGTCAATTTCCTGAACCTAAAAAGACAGAATGAGAACAGTAAGATATAGCAAATAATATTGAAGCATAAGCATTCTATAAAAGCCCATAATTGAAACGATTAATTACCTTTTTGAAGAAATCTTCTAGTCCTTGATCTCCAGGATTCGACTGTCCTTGTCCCCCTAACTCGATATCTCCACCTCTAGAAGATTGACCCCGAGGGAGCTCAAACGAATCCTGTGAAAAGTAAATAAATTCAACTAAAGAATACAGAACAATTGATCAAAGACTAAAGCCACCAGTATACCTTTTGTCCCTACGCTTCTCAAACTCAACCCGGACCCCGATACATGAATTGAAATATATTCCATATTTTTTCGATTAAATTTCAGAAGAACCGGACACATAAATCAATTCTGCATGGCATATTAACTTCAATGTTCATCAAGTATTGATGGATTGTGGAAATATATTTCTTGGCTAATATCTATAAGACCGATATCACTTAAGAGTCCTAAAGACCAGCATCACCAATCTGTGCATACAGTCAAAAGGCCAAAGGAAAACCTGACCAGTCAATACTATGAATGTTACAGACAGTAAACGAAAGCACTGCACTGATAACCCGTGTGTGGCCCAGATTTTGCTTCCACGAGTTGATTGTTTATAGATGCACAAGATAAAGAAAAGAGACATAAGTCAACATTCAGACCCAAGAAACATGATGAAGCCTACATTCTGCACTATAACTGGAAACCTTCACATGAAAAGGATGATCAGATGCTGAAACAAACACAGATTATCATCGATGCCTATCGTTGTTAAATTAAAATTGCGGTAATCACGGGTTTACTTGTCAGCAATATTTTGATAAATGACGAAGGCCAAAGCCCAGGATCTCCTTGCTTGAGATAAGCAGATATTAAACACTCCAGTTTAGTTCCATGTAATCTTAAGAAACCCAATACTCAGAATCTCAGATAAAAAAACGTTCCTCTAAACTGATATAACTTCAGCAGAAAGCTATCGATTGGATTAGCCATCAAGATCTAAACCATTCACATTGCAAAGTCAAAGCATGAGAATTTCTCCATAACAATCACTTTATCGGTAACCAATATCGAAATTGCGGGACCAGGTTTTAACCCAAATCCTTTTCTTTGAACCCAGATCAAACTGTATTGTCGTATCAGCTAAAATCAGAGAAACCCACGATAAATTGATCTCAGCAGACTCAATTAACAGTCGAAATCTTTTATAATCTGCCTTCCCCGCGATCAAGATGCAAACCCCAAAACCAACGAGTCCCAAATTCAGAATCTTACACTCCCCACTCGATGATCGATCAAAACCGGACGCATCGAACGAACGACTTCAAGTAAATAATAAAATTGACGAATTTAAGGCAACCCAAATGTCTCAAAGAACAAAGAAACATCAACAGAAGTCTCACCTTGAGAAGATCGTTCATTGTCGAAGCGAAGCAATGATCTACACCCAAAGTCCGAAGGCAAACAGTGCAACAAAAGAAAATAGTAAGACTGGGAGATCTATATGTTTTTGTTCGAATTTCGCTCCTTTATCTCCCTGTCCTAACTGCAAAAAGAAAATCAAAAAGAAAGACAGAAAGAAGAAACCAGGAAGGCTTAGGGTTTTAATTCGAAAATGTGAAGTTCTTGGGGTTTGGGAAAGAAAAAAACAAAGACGAGAATGAGATTGCTGCCTATCTGTTTTGTATTTCAATGACGGGACGAATAAATGGAGGTTGGCCGTCGAAAACACATGGGGTCCACATGAAGAAAATTAATCAACGGATGATACCTGTTAGGTGTAGCAAAGTAAGTGCACATGCGTCGCAGAGGATTATGCTTGTTTGGGTTTTCTTCGTTTCTGAGAAAATAAGAAAATGAGCAATGACAAAACTACCCTTCACGGAGTCTTGGCCGGACAGGGTAAGGCATGTCTGAGAATCCGTGGATAATAAACATGAACATCAATGTAGATACGCATACTATATATATAGAATACATGGAGGTATATTATCATGGGCTTGGTGCTTGCAAGAAAATCGGATTTTTATATATGTTTCTTTATTTTTGCTTATTTGGGTTTTCTTCGTTTTTTGAGAAAATAAGAAAATGAGCAATGACAAAACTACCCTTCACGGAATCTTGGCCGGACAGGGTAAGGCATGTCTGAGAATCCGTGGATAATAAACATGAACATCAGTGTAGATACGCATACTATATATATAGAATGCATAGATGTATATTATCATGGGCTTGGTGCTTGCAAGAAAATCGGATTTTTATATATGTTTCTTTATTTTTTTTTAGATAGAAAAACTTGAATTAAAGTGTTAGCCCTCTTTTAAAGAAAAAATCTAATTACGCGCATTTTTAATTTGTTATTTGAGATTTGAAATTTACCAATATTCATAAATGAGTATCCACATTTTGTTTTGATATGAGCACTATTTTTTTTATTCAAAACTAATTTAATTTAAAAGTTCTTGGAGATAATATGTTTAGAAAAAAGAAATAATAAAATGGAATACATAATAAATTTGAATAAAAAGATATAAAATCCACCTAAATTTAATAGATATAATTTTTATCATAAAACCTTTAAATTTTAGATATTTGAATTAAAATCAAATAATACAAAATTACGTTACGGTTCTGTTTTTCTGAAATGAAAAAGATATTCATTTATGTAAAATTACGTTAGTTGGTTAGAAGTCAGAAATGTTACATAACTTTGGATGAAGGATTCCACTCTACTCTTAGACAAAACAATATAATACAAAAAAAATCATGATTTAAATATTTGTAACGATTCCCGGACTTAGTTTCGTGCATTATGTTAAACTAATATTCAACCATTTTTTCATAAATATGTAAGATCATTTTTATAAATGCTTAAACTCATCTAATATAGATCTTGCTATAAAATAAATTTAAAATATATTTGACTAAAATTAGACCCAAAATAGCGGGGACAAAAGACAGCACATGATAGTTGGTCCATGTGTGCATTCTTTCCGCGTGTGTAGAAGAAAATATTTATGCATAAATTATGAAGATACCAAAATATTAAAGGAAATTAATGTTTTTTAATGCGAATGCTGAATATTAAGAATCTTCTAAATACACTGCGCCTAGTGTGAGATTATTTATTTTTTGGGTATAAAATAAAATAATTTGGTAGACATGCCAAAGTGTCCATGAAGTAGAACATGGTGTTACTATTATTATTATTATTATTATTATTATTATTATTATTATTATTATTATTATTATTATTATTATTATTATTATTATTAATGTATCTCTTGAGAGACTCTTTTTAAGAATATTATAAAAATGAAAACATAACTGGCAGTGACAAATCCGACAGAGAGGATAATCCAAAATATTTATATAAAAAACAATAATATGAAGCTTACAAATTCTCATAGACAGGCCTAATTTTAGTTATTTATATAGGATTTTTTTTAATAACATTGTTATTTATAATTTTCTTAATTCGAATTTAAATGCCTAAATTTCAAATAATATAGCTACCATAAATTATAGCTTTTTCTAATTTTTTTATTTTTCTACTGATATGTTTTACCTTAGAAAGACATTTTTCTTCGTGAAAAGAAGAAAGAAGATAAATCTCCATTTTGATTTCCCTCAAAAAGTTTTAAAAAAAAAAAAAAAGATCTGGAGAGTCAAAAGAAGGATCCAAAAGGAAGCGACACGTGGCAACTCAGCGTGAGTTCTGCGTCACCTCCGTGTGACTCGTCTCCGACTCGTTGCCGGTGACAAATTCATAATTCCCGAAATCCTTCCTCTCTATATATAATATTCGGATCAATCTCAGATCAAATCCAGACAAAATTCACTCTGATTTCTCGCGAACGGAGACCAGATATTCGGCTAAATCCAAGGTATACTGATGCAGAATTCCAGATTCTTCTTCCCCTTTTGATCGCTATCTCTGTTTTCCATTTTGGGTTAAACTTCTTTTCGTGTTTTCTCTGTTTGATTGATGTGTATTCCACTGAATTTCCATTTTACTCGCCGAGCTTCTGCGATTTCCATGAAAATTATGTCGGTTTCTGATGAAGATACGAATTGATTGCTATAATCTCACGAATGGAGCTGTGTGAAACCCATCTTCTGTTTCGGGTTCTTGTTAGATTCTTCGTTTAGTTCTCGTAATCTGCTGGGTTTTTAGATTTCTGGGTATCTCTAGCGTTGATCAGTGGTCGAATAAAATCTGATAAATCGTGGGGGGGGGGGGGAAGAGGGGAGGAAATGGTTCTGCATAATGTTCTGAGGCAATGTTGTTGATCATTTAAATTTCACTGAATACAAAAATCCAGATCTTAGGTTTTCAGATTACCTGAAGATTTGATCAACAATTGCGTTGTATCGATTTTCTCTGAGTGTTTTTTGGTTTTTCATTGGAATGACGCTGATATTCACTAGGTTTTCAGATTATCTTCATTACTGTTAGTGATGGGGAGAAAAATGTTCTGTTTTTCTTTTCTCTTTGTCCTTGCTTTTATGATTTGTTTGCCAATCTTGAATCATTCCCAAATGCTGAGAAATACTGATGGATCATATATCAGTGACATTGAATTCAGAAACGAATGTCGTGAAGCCTTGCTGCTTGTGGAATTTCAATTCTTTGGGTCTTGGATTAGTTGAATTCTGTAACTGTTGCTTATGCTTTTGGTGTTGTAATGATCTGTTGTAATAATCCTACCCGAAAATCCCAGTTAAACTATGTCGTTCCCTTGAGTTTCTATAGTGAGGATAATCGGATTCTAGGAGTTGTGTTGAGCAGTTGTAAAAATATGTGTCATGCTTGGTTGAGATTACATTGATTCGAGTTCTCTAATAAACAGAAACATTATTGGGTTTGATAGGATATGAAGGAGCTTCTTGTTAGTCTTCATGAGTTTGCTAACCATGAGCATAACAAAGGGTTTTTGTCTATCTCAGGGAAGCCAAGCCATGGCATCAGAGGAAGAAAATGTCAAGAAAGAGAAACTTCATGTGAAAATGAAGAGTAAGGATTTGGAGCCGATTGAGAAGGGAGAAAAGGTTGAGGTGGAGATGGAATTGAAGACTAAATCAGTTGAGAAGGTGAAGAAACATAAGGGTGGATCAGAGGAGGAGAAGGAGTTAGAAGAAAGCAAAGTTGGGAACAAGAAAGATGAAAAAATGAAGAACAAAGATGAGGATGAGTTATGTAAGAAGGAAAGAAAGGAGAAGAAAGAAAAGGAAGAATCAAAGGTTAAAGAAGAAAAGAAGAAGAAGAAAAAGAAAAAGAAAGAGGACGATGAACATAAGGAAGGAGATGGAGAAGAAAAGGAGGACAATAAGAAGAAGAAAGACGAAGATGTAACAGATGAAGAAAACAAAGAAGAACAAAAGAAGAAATTGAAAGTGAAGGAAGAAGACGAGGATGATAAGGAGAAAAAGGAGGGGAAGGACAAAGATGATGAACAGAAGGAAGGAGGTGAAAAGGAGAAAGACAAGAAGAAAAAGGAGAAGAAGAAGGAAGATGTAACAAATGAAGAGAAAAAGAAGAAGGGGAAGCAAGACGACGAAAACGACAAGGAAGAAAAGAAAAAGAAAGATAAGAAGACGAAGGACAAGGGTGGTGAGAAAGACGAAGAAAAGGAAGAAAAGAAAAAAAAGACACAGGAGAAGAAAAATCAGGGGGAAGAAGATGAAAATAAAGATGAGAAAAAGAAATCAAAGAAAATTGAAAGCAAGAAAGAAGGGGACGAAAAGGAGAAGAAATCTGAGACTGAAGTTGCTGTCAGAGAGATTGCATTAGAGGGGCAGGGGGCTGAAGAAGAAGAAAGGAAGCAGAAAGATATAGCAGAAGAGAAGAAAGAAGACAAAAAGAAGATGAAGAAGAAGAAAGAGCTGGAGGGAGAAGATGAAGATAAAGAAGAAAAGGAGGAGGAGGAGAAGAAAGATAAGGAGAGGAAGGATGATGATGACGCAACAGATGAGAAAGGAGAGGAAGGTAAGAAAAAGAAAGAGGAAAAGAAGAAGAAGAAGAAAGATAAAGGGGAGAAGGATGATGAGGAGGAGAGGAAAGAAGACAAAAAGAAGTCAGAGAAAAAGGAGAGTAAGAAAGGCGGAGATGAAGAACAGAAGAAAGCCGAGACTGAAGCTGAAGCCAGGGAGATTAAAAAAGAAGGATCAGATGCTGAAAGAGGGCAGATGCCAAAAGATGAGAAGAAGAGAAAACTTGATGATACCAAGAAGAAGAGTACGGCCGTTGATAAACTGAGAAAGAAGCTGGAGAAAATCAACAACAAAATAGAAGCTCTCATGGAGGAAAAAGCCGTCGTTATGAATCAGATTAAAGAAGCAGAGGCAGAGACGAAACATAATGTCGCATGAATGAACGAGGAATCCTAAGCAAGGTATGAATGAACGGACAAGACAATGCATCATCTGTATCGAACTGATGCCTTTTGCTGTGATTTTTTTCTTCTCTTTCTTTTGGGATGTGATAAATTTTCATCTGTAGTCTTATGTTATGCATGTTGTAATAAGCGTATGTGCTTGATTGTCCCTTCAGTGTATATGAACTTCATTTCTCTAATGAAAGGGCGGCCAGTTTCATTCTCCATTGAAAAGTTCCTCCATAATGGAATCTATCTCGTTTCGGGTGGTCATCTTTTGTAATGTGGGCTTGCAGCAATGGAGTTCACATATGAACAATGCAGACATATTATGAAGATGAACATGTCCCAAGTGTTCCGTTTTCTCTCCCCTTCTCTCAGTTTTCGGTGTATCGTTTCCTTTAATCCTCATTGATCCATCATAAGAATTAATAGCGTATAGGACTAATTAATGCAAATGCAATGAAGGTAGTAGAGGTTGAAATTATATGATAGTAATACGTCGCATTTCTCCACCCATGCCATCTTCTCAAGTGCAGCAGATGTATTGTGCTTTCCCTTATGTTATATGTTATTTCTTGAAATAGTGTGACGATATATTTTACATTAACACAGCAAACACAAACGATGAATATATATATATATATATATATATATATAATAGCTTAATATACAAGTTTAGCACCAAATAGATAATTAAAAATAATGCATCATCATAACCGCATATCTCATTAACTAGAACGAAATAAGAAAACATGTATCGTTTTTCAACGGTGATTATCCAAAATACCTTCCTGCTAAAACTACTTCTACACATACGCTCCTCTAGATGTGATCATGTGACCAAAATAACGGTGTGGTCACGTGATGGTCATATTGATCATAACGTTAAATTTTGATGATTACACCAAGTCACCATGATCACATCTTATATATCACACTAATCATTTGGTGAAATCATCAAATTTTTTACGTTGTGACCAATGTGACTATCATGTGACTATATAGTTATTCTGATCACATGATCATATCTGTAATATGATCACATTTGGAGGAATGTATATGTAGAAGTAGTTTTAGCGGAAGGTGAGTATTTTGGATATTTTGCTTCTTTAGGGCACATATTAAAAAAATTGCTTATTACAGGCAATAACGACCGATCGAATCTGCAACAGATTTATAGAGAAATGAATTGTATATAAGTACACACATATATATACATCTATATATATATATATATATTGATCCAAGATTTTCGAGGCACGAGAAAACAATTTCCGAGGCATGTCTCTGATCATTGGACACAAGAATGAAACCCAAAAAAGTTACAAAACGGAATGGATCTACAAATCTTTACGTATCATGTACGTAGATATGTATATTTATGCGTGTATACGTGCATACATACATATATATACATAATATTCATATTTATAAATAAATTTTGTTACACTGCTGGGGGGAAAACGAAGGAAAGAAGATAAAACAAAGTACTCAATTATTTATACGTAATATACATACCTTGTTCTTGATTCGAAACTGTAAATATTTGCTAGGAAAAGCTTGGTGTGAGGAATGAAGCCTGGTCCGAGATCGTTTTCTATAATCCTAACAAAAATATATATATATATATATATATATATGTGTGTGTGTGGATGTACATGCACATACATACAGTATATAGGGGTGGGTGCGTGTGTGTATGTATATATATGTAGCATATATTGATCTTATACGAAGAAGCCAAAGGATCTTGGATCAAGCCTCATTCCAAACCCCAGTTTTCCATTTTCTTATACTTCATTGATTCCAAAAGCCATCTCTTCTTCTCTCTCTCTCTCTCTCTCTCTCTCTCTCATTCAACACGCAGATACGTAAAGAAAATACATACTGAAAAGAAAGCAAAGCAAAGGAAATGCTAAAATAGAGAGAGAGAGAGAGAGAGAGAGAGAGAGAGAGAGAGAGAGAGAGAGAGAGAGAGATGGGGAAAAGAACAAGTTAACCAGAGGGAGAAGAATAACATATAGCAAATGAAATAGTTGAATTTATTTTTAAAAATTCAGTATAATTTCTTAATTAAAAAAAGTACATATATAAAATAAATATCCACATTATGTAATGGAAAAAGCTGGTGGGTTTTGGAAGGATGATGTTGTCTTCTTCTAACAGTGTTATTGTTTCTTTCTGTCTGTTCTTTTTTTTTTAAATTGGCAAACTTATTTATTCTTGGGAAAAAACCCTAAAAATTCCTGAACTTGTATTTTGGAGTAATATTAATTCCTAAACTTGTAGAGGTGCCTATTAATTCCCAAACTTACAAAATTGAACACGTTAAATCCTGAACTTGTTAAACGGTTCCATATTTGTTTATATCATTATTTGGTCAAAAAAACGAGTTGACCAATCCGACGTGGCTCGCCACGTCACGCGACATGTCGGATCGGTCAACTCGTTTTTTTGACAAAATAACGCTATGGACGAATATGAAACCGTTTAACAAGTTTAGGATTTAATGTGTTCAATTTTGCAAGTTTGGGAATTAATACGCACTTCTACAAATTTAGGAATTAATATTATTCCAAAATACAAGTTTAGGAATTTTTAGGGTTTTTTCCATTTATTCTTTCTATATCTATAGCCTTTCACTGCTAAAACAAAAGGACACGAAAAAGGTTTGAAGAACGAAAATCAAAGCTTAACTTCTGAGTTTTTTTATATATTTAATTTGCATGTTTTCATACAAATTAAATCCGTTCATCTTACATTATTAAAATTCAATAAATATTTAGAAAGGGATTTAGGAATTTGTAGTGAGTGAGACTTAAAGTAGGAAGATTTAAATAGAAAGAGACAAAAGGGAAATGGAATAGTATCTTCATAATAAAAAAAATGATCCATTAAATGAAAATAAACTTCTTTAATAAGATAAATTTTTTAAAAAATATTAATGAATGATACAAGTATATTGTTTATTTTTTAAACAAAAAAAGTATATTGTTTATTTTGTCTTTTTAAAATTTAATTTCAGATGATTTATCACCACCAAGTACATAATATTTTTTTCTCCATTATTGTTGCCATTTTCTCATGATATTCATATAACAGAACGGAGGGTATGCGTACCTTTATATTACTCCAATATAATTATTATCAAAGCTAAAATCAATTTTATTGGCCAAAACTTATCATGTGATACCTGCACTTGGAAATGTCGGTCCAAATTATTGATCCATCACTTTCAATGGTATAATTAGCGAGAGCATAAAGTTTTAACAAAAAAAAAATGATAAAAGTAAAATACAATAATACTTACGATTATGAAATTGCTCTTCCATTAGGGTTTCGGTCACGAAGGGAACGTAGTGTACGAACAAATTAATGGGTCAAAAAATGTGACCCTTGGAAATAAAGAAAGGACTATCCATACTTTTCGTTTTGAATATATTTTCCCCTAGATATAGACTATTTGACAAAAAAAATTATATAAATAATTGGATCGACATATTAATGAAATTAATTTCAGAATGATTCAACAAAAAAAAATGGAAAGAAAATGAATTTGATGCGGTTCTCGAAATGGGTATTTTTCTTTTCGCTGTTTTCTCGTCTTTCCAAACAGCCGATTCGATAATTAAGCCATCGTTATCGAGAAAAGCCTAAAAGGAAGATAATTGTCCCCAAAAAGTTCACATGAACAATTTGTTTGACTCAACAACGTGTTGATGTCCAGGGTGGCCAATTCGGGTTTCCGTTCAGATTTGATTCGGTTATATTCGGATTCGATTATTTCGATTATAGAAAAACTATAACCATTCGGTTTTTATATAAATTCCGGTTCGGTTCGGTTATTTTTTTGAGATAGCTAGATTGAATTTATCTCTGGTTTTTGTCCCCGCAACCTGACCTGCTCTCGCAACTTTGCTGAAAGCACCACTGAACCATGCAGCTCCTGCAGTAACATATCTGTGCAGATGCAGAAGCCGAAAATCAGAATTCTTCAACCAGATAATATTTCGTCGATTGTCACCATCCGATAGAGTAGAGCCAATTGTAGTTGCGATGAAAAAAAAAGGCTTATCTTGTCAACAGAGGTGTATACATGAATTCATGGAATTTATAATCTCTACTCAAGACAAAACTGCATGAAGTTTAAACTTTTCGAAAAGGCCACATTTTTCCAACTACAATGGATTGAAAAAACACATTTCAGAGTTATTAAAATATCGATTGGCATGTAAAAGTTCGGATATTTTAGGTGGTGCAAGTATATTGAGGTGGTTAATGATCAAGGGATGATAAACTCTCCTGCATTCTGAAAGATGGTTAATTGGTAATTAATATGTGTGGTGAAAAGCAATTTATGTTCCAAGAGAAAATCAGAGGAAAGAATTTCAGACCTGCTTGATTTGACAGCAGAACCCGTGTCATTTAATTTCTTCTCTGCTGCAAATATTGCTGCCATGGTTTTATCGGAGACTTGAAGCCTTTGATCAACAGATTTTACTTTCTCATTAACAGCTGAAATCCCGACCGTCAATTTCTCTGTAAGTCGAACTCTCTTGTCAAAGGACATGACTTTGGCTGAAGCACTGGCTGTTAATCTGTGCTTTTCATCGAACTCCTTTGCTTTGTTCACTGCATCTTGTCTGAGTGCAGAACCTTTTGCCAAAACAGTTGCTACCACATCTTGTGCTTTGCTGACATATGCTCGACCAGAGCCGTCAATGGACGTTTTTGGCTGCCAAGAGTGATTATTCAACACATTCATATGAGAGGAAAGCATTTTGAAAATCATCCCACAGAAAAGTTGGTATATAATTTCTAGAAGATGTTACTGTAAATGAGACCATTTTATAAAAGGAGCGATCTGCTTTACTCTTCTACCTCAGGAGATTTCTACTGACTAGAGGCTTTAAAAACTCTGTTCAAAATTTTTTTTTTCCGGAAATAGCCACTCAACCTTTCCTGCCAAATTTGTATAAAATAAAACGGGAGCAGTTCTTATAAAATGATCTTTTTAGCTGTTATCCAAGCCCTGCCTGCTTCAGACAACTGCCAAGAAAATAAGCTTGGACGGTACAAATCCCTTTAAATTTTATCAAATGATTCCTAAAAAAGGATTTTTTTTTGAAAGCATATCTGTAGAGAAACTGTTGCACGAAAGAACTCTATTAATGTTATTCCTCACCTCAATTGTCGCCGCACTACTCTCTGGAGGAGCCATTGACACTGAGCACTCGAAACAAATAAAAGGACAGGCAGATATGCCAACCATAATCACCTATATGCATCGCATTCACTGTACCCGAACAGATCATTTATCAATATCTCCAGCAACTATCCATCAACTAGAATTCCCTCGCTCCCCAAACGTTTTGGAAGAGAACATTTCGGTCATTATGTGTTTCAGAATTCACCCGATTTGAGTAAAACATATCGAACTGGACAACGATCACTAAACAAGTCACCCAAATTTAACTAAACACAGATAGCTTCATCCCATTTACAAAAAAAAAAATCAGATAGAATCTTCTTGTTCTCCCATGTCCCAATATAATTAAACAAAAGCTAACAAATAATCACCCAATTTCAATGTCCACCTTCAGTTCTAACACAATCAATTCCACGAACAGAAATGCTTCCAAGAACCCTACAAATCTTGGGTCAGATAAACTAAAAGCATTCTTAGATTAAGCAATATATACCAAAGGAAGACAATGAAATCAAAGTCATATACCGATAACAATAACGCGATTTCAAGAGCTTTAGGGTCTTTAAACGTAACATATGCGATTCTGGACCTCCCAGCTTCTCTGCACACAAAATCCCAACATCACAAACAATTGGATTAACCTCAAATTTCTACCACAACCCATAAAATTAGCAAATACTCGCAAAAGCAACAACAAATCAGCGAAAGAACAAAAACGTAAACAACATAGCAAAGCCATGAAAATCTACCACGAGCCCAGGGGAAGAAAAACTTACCCTTGGATCTCAATGTGTTCGATGTCGCCTGAAAAGGAGAAAAACTCGTGAATCTCTCTCTCGGTTGCTAGATCTGAAACGCTCTTTACTTGAACAGTTCTCGTCTGGAAACAATTTTTCAAAAAAAATGTCAGTTACCCAAATCACTCAGCTACAAAAAATTGAATTGACATGAAATTCATCGTCTTTCTTACTTGGGTATCAAGCAAAGTGAAGCTTACCTGCATTGTAGAAGAAGAATTGGCTTCGATTCTTCAACTCAAATGGAGAGAGAGAGAGAGAGAGAGAGAGAGAGAGAGAGAGAGAGGAGAATGATTTTAATTTGTATAGAGCGATATCTCTCTGTCCAGCTTTACATGGGTATTATCTCTGGCATATCGTTTTTCTATCTTTTATATCTTCTTTCCTATTTTACCCCTCATTTATATTTCTATTTTCTAAACTATCCTTCCTTTCAAAATTAGTGTCAAGAACTTCAACTTTTTTTTCATATTGGAGTGGATGAAGTTAAAGAGATTTAACATTCATTTTTAATATAAAATCAAATTATTTAATTACATAAATTATTTTTTTTGGCTTGACGTGAACCATCGATTTTTACCATTTGTAGAGTGTGCTCTTAGAATACATTAACACTCTTTGCGCGACATAAGGACAGTTATGTGATATCCAAAGCAGGATAAGGGTAAAATTGTAATTTAAATAGTCCCACGGTCACCGGTGATTCTTTGACTTGGGTCAACCGTCCATCGTCTTTGAACATAGGGTAGCCGACCAGGTGCGGACGTGGACTCATTAGGTGATGTATTTATTTCCTTTTTTAAAAACAATTGCACATGTTCATACTAAATTATTTCTTACGGTTAAATAAAAATTTTGTGATTATGTGAAGCAACGAAGATAATAAAAAAATAGGGGAAAAAAGGATGTTACCGTTGAAAAAGTTTATTTGATGTTATTTTATAATTAGGGTTTCTAATAAAAGGGGCACTTGTAATGAAATGAAAAACTGATCAAATGTCATCATATAGCATTTGAACCGTGGCAGACCACATGAAATATCCAAATTTAATTATTACAGGAAAAAAAGGAAATTTATGTCTGTCGAAACCATAATGTTTTAAAAAGGACAGATATCTGGAATTATATTAGAGGAAAATTTTAAATTAATGAATACGAATTACATAAAAATAATAATAAATATTTTTTAAGTTAACTATTTTTCAATAAATATTTTTAATAAAACTGAATTTAAATCGAACTGAGTTCCATACAAATCCAAATGTAATATGAAAAAAAAAGATACAGTATTTCTAATACAAAGATATTAAATTAAAAACATCCAGCCAGGTAAATGGGCTGAGAGCCTTGAGCAAATATGAGCCCAGGAATTAATGGGCCAAACATGAAGATGGTCCAAATAAGGCCCAAACTAAAGTCCATATTCATGAGATTGAACGGAACGAAATATTTCCTTGATATTGTCGGCACGGCCATAATACTATTGTTTTATTTTGATTTCATCTCATTGCGCGGTTTCTTTCCAATAGCCAATAAAAATAAAATCGATGAATTTCATTTCTATCTGTTTTGTATCCAACTGAATATTTTGTAAGGTGAGAAAAGAAATAAAGCATATTAGGATTATAAAACACATAAAACGAAAATCCAGATACTATAAAAAGAGAAAATCTGAAATATTAATTTACATGATGAGAAATGATAATAAAAAAAATCCCATTTAGGTAGAAATTATCTAAAATATCTGTATTAAAATATAAGAAAAAAATATTTAAAATATTGTTAGTTTTTATAAAGTAAAATATCTTTATTTCTCTCCAAATATATATTCATAAAATAGTTTTAAAATTAAAAACATATAGTTTGAAAATTCGATTTTTTTTTACCCGTTGAAAATGATTGTTTTTAGATATTTAGAAAAGAAATATTATTTTAAAGGGACGGGTATACAAAAAGTTTGATGAAAAAGAGAAGAGAAATGCTACGTACATTCATAGTCTAGTTGGAAATCCATTGAAGCTTGTCGCTACCAAACAAAAAATATGTCACATGGACGATAGACCCTTTTCAAATTCCACCCAAAAGTACGTCTCTCTCTTCTATGCATTACACATTTTATTTTATTATATATATTATAACCTTTTTTCTCAATTTTAGCATCATTACTCGCTTTGGAAGACTTTAACATTTTGTTTTGTGGTGTCCAAACGATATGATCAAGGCCCCACACTTATGTTGTTTTCAAATTCCAGGAAAATTATAATTATTAATTTATTCTGAGGTTATTGCATACCTAAAACTGTTACACTTGTTTTATACTCAAGTTACATATTATTGACGATAATACTGATATTTTTTTATAAATAAAATAATTTGTTTAGTTTATGAGATAATTTGATTTCATGGCCCAATTAATTAATATTGTCCAACGATGCCATAGAAATAGTTTCATAACCAAACGAATTATGCAATGTCATTTCAACAAATTTTTAATAACATGAACCTCGCATAATAGCAAGTTTTGTGTGAAATAATATTCAAAGTTATTATAAATATATATTGTTTGATATTGTGGTGCTAAATTACAAATTTCGTGTAAATATTAAGATTTTGCATATGAGGCTATATAACAAACAAAGGTACAAAAAGGGAAAAGATTCCGTTCTTGCTTTCCAAGTCATCTCCACTTTGTCCTAGCACAAAGTCATGGAAGTGCATTACCTTTTGGTAGACTCGTCTTCATCTGCCATGGCTTCCTTCGAGAGAGAATGCAGAGAGATCCACGAATCTTGCGGAAGAAAAGCCGATTTGATTCGATCTTTGGCCGCGAGAACGAAGATCGAACGCAAGCAGATCCGAGACACCTACAGGAAAATGTACGGTCAAGAATTGGCAAACGTTCTTCTCCTTCAAAAGAACAGGGAAGATGACATGATCTCGCATGCATTGTGGCTGTGGATGCTTGAACCACACGCCCGTGACGCCGTGATAGCCCGAGAGGCCCTTGACCGAGCCGGAGATATCGATTTCAAGGCCCTCGTAGAGATATTCTCGGGTCGGAAATCGAATCATATCGATATGATCAGACAAGTGTATCAAGAACGGTACAAGAGGAACATTGATCAAGACATCGTCAACATTGAACCTCCACACCCTTATCAAAAGGCGAGATTTTGAAGCTTACCCATTTTTTATTTTGCGGAAAAAATCAAAGGGTTTTCGTTTTCTATTCCGAAAACCATTGATTTCGTTTCCAGAAGTAGAAAGCATCATTAACCGGCTCTCTCTCGGTTCGGTTGATATTTTCAATAGCAATTTACATATATATTACCTTATGGGAGAAATTTGGCGATCTTTGGAGAGATTTAGAAAAAATTTGGCGATTTTTATTTTTTTCCGAAAATCTTTGAATCTGACGAAGAAGACGACTCGTGGTTTTATATTGCGTTTTGCGACGGAATTTTCCGTCGCAATCCGTCACAAAATGAAATTTATTTACGCGCCAAAATTCAAAAAATTTCGTCGAAAACCGAAACCAAATACATTGCGACGGAATATTCTGTCGCAATCCATCGCAATTTTTATTTTCCGTCGCAAATCATCTATTTCTTTGTTGTGACAAAATTATCCGTTGCAAACCGTAGCAAATTGCGACGGATTTTGCGACTGTTTGCGACGGATAATTTTTTTCCACGTTCTGTCGTAAAATCGTCATATTTCGTCGCAATTTTCTGTGCGACGGAAATTTATGTCGCAAATTCTGTCACTATATACAGGTTTTTTTGTAGTGTAATATCCTGAGATCCCCGTAAATGTAAGAGTTTAACATTCAAAACTCAAGACGTGTCTGATGTAAACGTAGGTTTTCAACGTCATTGGGATAAAATTTAACATATGAATTCAAGCATATTTTCAAAATTAAACAGTAGATAGATCCATACCTCTTGAAATCTCATGAAACTCATCGGCTGCGCCCCGATTGTCTTCTTCTATCCATTCCCCGGTACAGTTCTCTTTGGAAGCTTCAACATGAAATTCGGACTCTAAAGATCGTCCTTATTAGAGAAGGGCAATACAAATAAAACTCAACCAAGCACATAAATTTCAAATTAAGATGCCTAATCAAGGAAAATCTAGCAAATGATGGGTTTATTGACCAACATGAGAAGGGTATTCGCTTGATATCCTGAAATTCCTAAAGCTATATGAAAACATCAACTCAGATGAATAAGCAGACTTAGCTTGACATAGCTTCAAAGGGTTTTCGTTTTCTATTCCGAAAACCATTGATTTCGTTTCCAGAAGTAGAAAGCATCATTAACCGGCTCTCTCTCGGTTCGGTTGATATTTTCAATAGCAATTTGAGTCATCTGGACCTCATCGAAGCCAAAATCTAACTCCAGTTCAGTTCGGGTTTCTCTCCGGTTAACGCTAAACCGATTTTACGTGCATTCGTGTAAAATTCTTCCTACAGATTCTACTGGCACTGGCAGCTTCTCACAAGGGCCACGAAGCGGAAGTGAGCGAACACATAGCGAAATGCGACGCGAAGAGGCTCTACGAGAGCGGGGAAGGAAGAAGAGGAGCCTTAGATGAAGCCGTCGTGGTCGAGATCTTCACCAAACGAAGCATTCCTCAGCTAAAACTCAACTTCTCCTTCTACAAACACATCTACGGACATGGTTATGCTCAGGTGAATACATACATACATACATACATATATATATTAACCATTATCAGTTGAAAATTAGATCGTTAATATACATTTGAAATTAATAGCTATACCTACCAAGGTTGATTTTGAAAGAGAAAACGACAAGACAACCTAGGTATATATATATATAGTGTTGTTGTATAATAACTATAGGATTATTGAATGGGCTAAATAAGCCCACCACCGACGTTTTTAAATGGTCCGCCCAACCATGCTGACGAGTACGTGGAAATTTCATCTTATCCCACGTCAGCATTTTTCTGACGTGGCACGGATACTTCTTTCGGGGTTGGAACACGAGTGTGTAACGCGGCATCGCGGCAGTCTACGGGAAAGCGTTAGGTGGGCTTTCCCATTTGGCCAGCCAAAGAATATATATATAATATATTCCATACCTTTTCCACGCAAAAATTAAAAAAAAAAAGATACAAAATTTGTCATTTTATTTTATTTAGATTGGTATTATTTTATTAATTTAAAAATTGAGTAGATAAATAATATGAACATTTCATCGAGGGCTAAAATGTTTGTCTCCTGTGGTTCCGGTGTCTCTTGTACGTAAAAGTGGCTGAAGAAGGATAATCATATGGAATTTAAGGAGGCTGTAAGAGTTGTTACCAAGTGCATATGCGACCCTCCCAAGTATTATGCACAGGTATTCATATATACATATATATTGAAAAATTGAAGGTTGTTATGGCGAATGAATGGATTCTTGAAAAAAATAATTTTTTATTTAATTGAAATTTTAACCATAAGAATTTGATACGTTTAAGTGTTTTCGATTGTGAAGGAGTTACACGCAAGCATAAGAGGATTCAACAACAAAAGCAAAGCAGATGTAACACGGATCATGGTGAGCAGAGGAGACATAGACATGGATGATATCAAGAGAGAATTCACAGGGAAATATGGGGTCCAATTAAAAGATTCGATTTCTGAGAATATTCCCTGTGGTTTCTACAAAGACTTTCTCCTTGCTCTGGCCTCTAATTGAAACCAAAACGTTTTCTCTCATTTTTTTTTTTTGGGTAACCGGGTTTCCTGGGCCGAGGCCCAGACTAATCCCAGGGCCGGGAGTCAGCCATGTGATTTGAATTATGCGCTCCCTCCCCAGCCTGAAGTTCGAACTCGGGGCGGAACAGACGTTTTTTCTCTCATTTTCTTAATCAGTTACTAGTTTTTGTCCTTTTTTTAAATATATGTTTATATATTCGAGTTATAATGTAATTATTTCCTCTTGTTGTGTTTGAATGTATATCGTCTTCACGAAGAAAATAGATTTCGATCATAATTATGTAACCTCTATAGGAGAGATATTATTATTAGAATATTATCATATCATTATGATTTACCCTAGATATTATGCCTAGAATATTCTATTGTATTTTGCTATATATTATGATGTATTCTTTCTATTATTAATTATAGAAAAACATTTTCCCTATTATGGTATCAGAGCTTTGGTTTTTGTTTTAGATTTTTTTTTCATCAACAATGGTGGTTGAATCCCAAAGCGACGATGAAGATGATGATATATACTAAATCCAATAGTATTATCACCTTGAGTATCGTTTTAAATTTATTTTGCTCTTTTTTTTTCCTTCTATTTTCTTTCTCTGACGGCGGTGTTCATCACCGTCAACCCTAGGTGATGTGCATTTTTTTAACGATGATGTTCGTCTATCGACGTCAACCCTAGCCGATGTGCTACTCTTTTTTTTCTATAATTAATAATGAAAAGAATACATCATAATATATAGCAAAATACAATAGAATATTCTATGCATAATATCTAGGGTAAATCATAATCATATCAATGATAATATTCTAATAATAATATCTTCCTATAACCTTCCACTTATCTCATGTATAAAAACTGATCGGATATATGGTTTTAAACTATTTTTTTATGCGAATTGGATATAACATAAATGAAAAATCAAAGGAAAAAAAATTTGTTTTCAATTAGATATTTTTATGAATCCGAATTAATCGAATTAAAATCCTACATAAAAATCGAATAGCTATAACGATTTCAAAGTTATCGTTTCAGATCAAAGCGTTTATATATAGTTTATATATACGTATATTATAACAAATGAAAACTTTTATATTATAACAAGTAATTCAGATTTTGAATTTGAATTCGAATAACCCTTTCAAACTGATCAGACATATGATTTTTTTATATCGGTTAATCGATTTTAAAAAATCATTATATTAATTTTCAGATGTTATTTGGTTAAACTGTACAATGAAACACCTAAATTTTACGTGAAAAAAAAAACGGAAAAAGAAAGAAATAATATATATCGAACCACTAACAAGGAGGCATATGAGAGCATGTGAAGAAAGACCAACGTTTGAAGATAAATAGTTCCAAAGATATATATATATATATTTATACGAAGACAAATCTTTAAGAGCAAATAAGGGATCATTCTCCTTCATTGGAAAACCCAAAAGAAACCTCTTAATGAGAAAGAGAGTATAAAAACAGAACAATATGAACGGTCGGTCCATCCATCCATTCGTTCCAAAAATCTAAAAGAGAAAAAAAAAATATTTCACAAATTTGTAAACATAATGGCATTGGCAGCCAATTCGGGAAGTGGGCCAACCGAGTTTTATGAAGAAATCGAACCCTTTTGTCGATGGCAGCGGTTCGAAGAAATCGACATTCTTGAGGTCCACCTTCCACAAGGTTGGTTGGTCCAAAATTTCTTCTTTATGTTTTTAACGAAATTACCAGAATTTTAAAATTGATGTTTCGTAACAAATTAAATTTTGTTCATAAGTTTTTTACCCAATATAAAATTGGATGAAGAAGTTCTCCTAAATCCTATTTTAATCCTGTAAATTTTTTCTCAGCTTTATTTATTAGCAATTAGAAACGCTGCATATTCATATTTCAATTTATTTACAGGAAAAAAAAACTGGAAAGTTAAATTAATTGATATTGTAGGTTCAAAAAAGCAGCACCTGAAGATACAGGTCAATAGTCTCGGTATACTAACGATAACCGGAGAATGTCCGGTGGATCAAACCAAAGCGGTCCGGTTTAGGAAAGAGCTCAAAGTGGCGAAGAATTGCAAGAGAAATGAGATCCGTGCAAAGTTCTCCAGGGGAATTCTCCACGTGACAATGCCAAAATCAAACCCTCAAGCCCATACCGAGAGTCTAAAGGCGCGAATTTCCCAAACCCTAAGTCTTAAACCGAACGGTTCAAGTAAACCGGCAGAGGAGACTTCAACTTCAAGGGGATCAAGCCAATTCTATAGCCGGTTTAGCACATTGAGGCAAAGATTGTGGAACAAAACAGCGGTGGAGGGCGTGGCGGCGGCTGTGGTGGCGGCGGTCGCCATTTTCGGAGTGGTCAAGGCCTACGAATATTTCACGGCGTCTCCTTTGTGAGATTTAATGTTTCAATAAAACCTTGGATATTGTTTTGTAATTGCAATAAGATAATAATCAATGTGTTTGCATTGATATTTGTTTCCAATCGATTCAATAACTTTTCCCACAAATAACTGCCCAATAAATTTTTTTTCATATATATATACACACACACACACACATCTAATAAAATATATAAAAAAATCTCATAAAAATACATACATTGTAATTGTATTGATTTCATCTCAAATTCCCAAATTTGTGATTATATTAATTTCAAATTGCCTTGATTGCGCCACGTCATTGAACATAGCCACGTCATCCGTCCCAATAGTTTTTTTTCCTGCTAGAGAAGAGGAGCTAAAGGGAAAAAATTTCACACAGAGATTATGTTATTCAAATTCAATAATTCACAAAATATAAAAATATAGCAGCATGAATGACAAGAATTCACCATCTTAACAGCAATGACGTAGATCTTCAAGCCCACTACTACAACTGGGGCCGACCCAGTGGCGAGAGGAGAGACTGGGACAGGGACAGGGACAGGGACCGGGACCAGCAATTTTCCACTTGTGTTTGGTCTCTTGATAAGGGTGAACCACTGGCGAGTTTGGTCTGGAGGGAGGCGTAAGCTGACGTAGAGGCAATGTTCAGTCTGACCGAGGAAGGTTCGCGTGGCATGGAGATCACGTGACTTGACAAGTGACCGAGATAAAGGTTGGGGTGATAACATCTCGGGACACGGGCCACGCAGCTCAAAACGACGTCGTAGAGGACAAATGCCGGTGAAGAAAGTGTCGTTTCAGGTGGTGGGTCTTCGCCATTGGAGGACATTGTAGCAAAATGGACGAATACTCAGGTTAGATCTTCGAGGTGAGGAGGAGGAGATGGGAAAATGATTTTGCTAATTTTTTCCAATTGATTGAAACGACGTCGTCCGACATATCATAAATACATCTCCAAAAATTACGTCAAGTTATTACAAAAATGAAATCGCCTTGAAACAGAGCACGTAACAATCTCATCTCATCTCATCATCATGAGAGAAAAAAATCACGAGTTATTATAATGATAGCAATAAGAAGAAGAAGATTCAATGGTGTTTATGTGAATCTCACTTGGCAGAAGCAAGCTGAGAGCGGATAAGCTTAGTTGCCTCGACCATGTTCTTGAGTGCAGGCTTCACTTCATTGTACTTGCGTGTCTTGAGACCACAATCAGGATTCACCCACAGTATGTTCTTCTCCAACACCGCCAGCATTTTGTTGATCCTCTCCGCCATTTCCTCCGTCGAGGGTATCCTCGGAGAGTGGATATCGTACACTCCTGGACCAATACCCGCCCCGTACTTCACGCCCTCTCGGAACACAGACAGGAGTTTCTCGTCTGAGCGTGAGTTCTCGATGGTGATAACGTCAGTGTCCATGTCTATGATGGACTGGATGATGTCGTTGAAGTTGGAGTAGCACATGTGTGTGTGTATCTGTTGATGTTTGGATTTTGCAGATGGGTCGGATTCAGAAGAGAAGATTGATATCGATGGAGCAAAAACCGATATTGGGAAGGGGAAGAAACACGAACCTGGGTCGTGTCCTGGACACCGACGTTGGTGATCCTGAAGGAATGGACAGCCCAGTCTAAGTAGAAGGCTTGCTCGGATTTCCTGAGCGGCAGCCCTTCTCTAAGAGCGGCTTCGTCGATCTGAATCACGTTGATCCCGGCCTTCTCGAGATCCTCCACTTCATCCTTGATGGCCAAGGCGATCTGGTAGCAGGTTTCGTGCCTTAACATCACCAAAAAAGGGAGAATTCACATTAAAAGATCCGTCCAATCCAAGCAAGTTTGTTATATTTGACAGACCAAAGTGACTGTTTTGTAGTACCTTGGTTGATCGTTTCTGACAAAGGACCAGTTGAGGATAGTGACAGGACCTGTAAGCATTCCTTTCATTGGACGAGAAGTCATGCTCTGAGCGGTGGAGGACCAGAAGACCGTCATTGGCTTGGGACGGCTCACGTCACCGTAGATGACCGGTGGCTTCACGCACCGAGATCCGTAAGATTGCACCCAACCATTGACAGTGAAAGCAAAACCAGAGAGTTGTTCTCCAAAGTACTCAACCATATCATTTCTCTGCAGAATCAAACCCAACACATTATAGCAAAATTCATGGACCTAGATCACGAACCAATAGACCGGAACTAGTTTTCTTTCTGATGTTTATGGAAACAAGAAGGGTCACCTCTGGTTCTCCATGGACAAGAACGTCAATGTCCAAGTCTTCTTGAAGGTCGACAACCTTCTTGATCTCCTCCTTAATGGCCTTGATGTAATCCTCCTCAGAGATCCTAGGGGAAGAAACCAAAACAACATAGACAAAGGCATTATGTAACGGTTTTCGGGAATAGGCGAAACAAGACAGTTCTTGAAAACAAGAACTCACTTTTTAGCCTTGTATTCACGTCGGACTCTCCTGAGTTCAACGGTCTGAGGGAAAGACCCAATGGTTGTCGTCGGGAGGATCGGGAGGTTCAGTTTCTTCTGCTGAGCATCAAGCCTAGCACTGACATTTGTCGAACGGCGGTGGTCAGAGCCCTTCAAAGCAGCAGCCTATCTCTATTTCGGATATACAAGTCATAGCACTGACATTTGTCGAACGGCGGTGGTCAGAGCCCTTCAAAGCAGCAGCCTGACAAAAACAAAGAGCATGGTCGAGAATCAGCAATCGACCATAAGAGATATTCCACCACTTGACCGGATAGTTTCCAAGTCACACAAACACTTACAGCCTTTTGAACAGCCTCGTTGGTAACCCTTGGAGAGGATTTCCTTGAAGCCTGAGCCATGGCATTATCAGAGAAGAAGGCCTAAAAAACAGGATTTACAGAAGCTAATCAGTGTAAATGTATCAACCCAACAAATCCTAAGCCTAGAAGGGAATGCCAGAATGCAAGGCGAGAGCTTATTACTAAGGCGACATTAATGTAAAAAAGGAAGCTGATTTCTCCAAAAAGGCAAGACGTAAATTTCTCCCAATGAGGAATACCTCATCCTTATGGCCAGCCAAAGCCTTAGCCAAAGCGTTAACCTCAACAACTTTCTGGGCAGCAAATGCAAGCCAGGACTTGATTTCGTCATCCAGCTTTGTCTCGTTGATAAGGTCAACAGCTGTGTGGAGAAGAGAGCATGAGGTAGAGACAACAAGCTTGTCTGCAAAGGTAACAGTCAAATAGGTCAGTTCAGGATCGACCGATTCTAGCATGAAAAACAACATAGCATGGATAAATATCGAAGCACCTTTCCCTACAAGCTCCTGCAAGGTTTTAAGAGAGGATGCAAGGTCATTGGCCCAAATGTTCCTTCCGTCGACCACACCTGCGAACAGATACTTGTCCTTCGGGAAACCAGACTTGACCAAATCAAGTGTGTTGGTTCCACGGACCAAATCGAAACCATAAGCAGTCACACCCTTTAATGAAGTAAGGATCTTGTAAGTTTCAGCAGGGATATCGGCAAAGTAGGTCTCGATAAGGACATTCAAGCCCGAGAGTGTTGACTCAAGCTCAGCATATGCATCAGTGAAAGCTTTGAGCTTGGTAGAATCAAGATCCATAACAAGTTGTGGCTCATCAAATTGGATCCAAGTAGCACCAGCTCCCTTGAGCTCCGAGATGACTTCCCTGAAGAATCATACCTCGTTATCGCATGTTAAAATAAATCAAACAAGAATTAAAATTCAAAACTTTAACACAGATAAGTCTAGTGTCATACTGGTATATGGGAAGGATTTTGTTGAGAAGGGAGAGAAGAGAAAATGACTTCTCAACACCCTTAGCAGGTTTCGAAAGCAACAAGTATGAGACAGGACCAACAAGAACCGGAACAGTATCTACTCCAAGCTGTTTCAGGTCACGAAACACAGGTTAAATTTCACTTCCACAGATCCTTATACATAAACGATTCATCACTACTTATCTAATTGCTGTGTACGTGGAAAGTAACATACCGCCTTAGCTTCCTTGTACTCGGTCACAGCCTTGTGAGATGCATACGAGAATTTTACCTCCGGACCCAACTCGGGAACAATGTAATGGCTGTGACAACACATCAAATCAAGTACTTACCAACCAAAACAAGTCATAATCATCAACAAAGAAAAGACCACATACATAGGTATCGTCAGCACTCACTAGTTAGTGTCGAACCACTTGGTCATTTCCATAGCAGGGACAGAGGCATTTCCTCTGGCCATTGAGAAGTAAACATCAAACCCGATCTCGCCACCGTTCCATCCATACCTCGGAGGGACGGCACCGAGCATGGCGGTTGTGTCGAGCACCTGGTCGTAGTAAGAAAACGTGTTGCTGGGGATGTACTTGATGTCGGCGTCAGCCATCTGCTTCCAGATGGAGGACCTGAGTTCAGCAGCAGCCTTCTGCAAATCCTCGGCGCTGCTCTTTCCGTCCCAGAATGACTCCAAGGCAAACTTGAGCTCCCTCTTGGGACCCATGCGTGGGTATCCGACAATGTGGGATGCCATTTTTCTGCACAAAACGTAATCGAATCAGAAAAAAAAAACTAGTTTCTTATTCCTACAGAATCAAGAAATTCAATTTTTGTCGTGCGATCGTCCGATGAAAAGGGTTTTAAGTTCTCCTAATTTATGGTTTGAAGAAAAGTTGATTCTGCACAAAGAACGTCAAAGTGTTGTTGTTGAGGACCCAGATCTGGAACACGTGACAACAGATGGTCAGATTGAATTTAGATTCAAAAGAACCCTAGATTGCGAATCTTGACAAATCGGGCAGTAATTTGACAATAACCAAACAAGTCAGACAAGCAATTGAGGGCAGAGGAAGCAAACAAAGAAAGATACAGAAGCTAAGATGAACACCTCACTTCAAATCGAGGTGTAAACAATACAGAGAGAGCATGGAAGAAAGAATTACAATGGATCAGATTAAATTCTACGATCTAACGGAGAGAAAACCACCAAGAAACAAGTCAGACAAGCAATTGAGGGCAGAGGAAGCAAACAAAGAAAGATACAGAAGCTAAGATGAACACCTCACTTCAAATCGAGGTGTAAACAATACAGAGAGAGCATGGAAGAAAGAATTACAATGGATCAGATTAAATTCTACGATCTAACGGAGAGAAAACCACCAAGAACCTAACGAAGAACATTACCAAGCAGGTAGGTCAAAATGAGAAAACAACAAGGAAAAGCTCGAGAAAACGATCTAAAGAAACGAGATTGATCGTGGAGAAAAGGAAACAAGTGGGGGACTAAGCGAACCAAAGAACACAAGTAATAAGAGGAAGCGAGAGAGAGAGAGAGAGAGAAATTGAAGGATCGCCATTACCTTCAACGAGAGAGAGAGAGAACAGGGGAAGTGGAAGAAGAGAAAATGGCGGAGTACGAAGGAAACTGAAGGATCGCCATCTCCCTCCTATATTTAGCTTCTTGTCAATTTGCTATGGGAAAGGCTTCTCAACGGCTATATATATTGTGATTGAAAATTTGAAATTTAATATATGAATAGAATTATAGAGCAATTACTTCTCAATAAATATCATAATTGAAAATTAGTTCACAAAATTTATTTCACTTACTCTAATCTTCACTTTATCGCCTGGACCATTACCAATAATGAAAGATAAAACCCTCAACATATGCGCAAAACCCTAGAAATCATAGGTATTTAGATACCATTTCAAGACGTGATTACTTTTTTAATTCATCGCTTTTAAATAAATGAGAGTATTAAAATATATTTCTTAGATAAGTAAAATCACAATAATTTAGATTTACTCTTTTAATAACCATCATAACAAAATTTAATTCAACAATATAAAAAAAATGAAAGAAATATTCTCTCCATTATACTCACGATCCCTCGCATAAACATCAATATAAAGAGTTGTGTCCATTCATTGAAAAAATGTGTGTTTACAAGGAGTCGGGCTCTTTCCAATTAGTTATCTAAAAAACTAACTTATGAAAAAAAAAATTATATGATGTTTTTTTTTTTACTTTTAGATTAGCTTATGATTATGATATTTACACTAAAATATCTCACAACAACAACAACAACAACATCCATGTATTGGGAAGATTCACTATATATATCCATGTTAAAGTATTTCGATTTTCTTTTAGTATAATTAAATTGATGTAGACATATTGAAACATCAAATAGTTATATTTATAAACCAAAATTTTTTTATTATTAATAAACCAATTCAATATCTGGTCTGTCCAAGATCGTTTTAAAACTGAAATAGATTGACACATCTGAAAGGTATGGAGGAGTTTAAATATTCAAGATATCTTTTGATTTTTTTATAATTACAAATTCATCTAATACTTAACCCAATTATACCTCATAAAGAACCGGAGAAAATAAACTAGAATTAGGAATGAATTGCCATGGTTATGTGCATTTGCATGATAATTTGTCTTTAAGCTAATTCCAATAACATATATTTTCTTTTTTGTTTTTTTTAGTGGTAGAGTCAATGTCTAAAAAGATATAAAGTTAACCTTATTTTCATTACAATAGCATAAAGACAAGATACATGGAAGACAGCAGAAGCAACATTGTAGGAAATTAAAGCAGACACTCAGAAGAAGCAGGAGGTCTGTTTTATTTTTACTTCATCCTTCTCCATTACCTGCAAAATATGGAGAAAAAATGAGTCAGGATCATCCTAAATTATAGCAAGGTTTTTATGCATGTACGTATATATACGGATTATTGTAAAATGTATGTGTTAAAATATTGAAATTTGAGCCAAAAAAAGATTCAAAATTCAGAGTGAAAGAAGGTTGTAGCCCCAAAACTTCCAAAGACAAACATTTTTTTTTTGTTTTCTCACAATTTAGACATTTTTTCACGGGTTTTTTTTTCTTCTAAATTTATATTTGGATTTAAAAAAAAAAATAATATATAGAGACGGGTAAAACCTAATCGCTGTCACTGTCGCTGCTGCTGCTGTGGTGACCATCCTCGTGGTGCTTCTTCTCCTTCTTCTTCTTCTTCTTCTCCTCGCCATGGCCGTCTTGGCTGTGACCTTCTCCGTGGATCTTGTCCTTGATCTTGTCCACTATCCCTTCTTTGTGTTCATCGGTCTTCTTGTGCTCATCGGGCTTCTTGTGTTCGTCGTGACTCTGACCCTTGTGCTCACCATCCTTGTTTCCTCCCATGCCAAGTTTCTCCTCGATTTTGTGGATAATTCCTGCCATTTTCTCTCTCTATCTCTCCCTTTGATGTGTTTGGTTTTGGTTTGCAAATGCTATGGATCTTGGCTATCCATTTATAGGCCCTGATGGAAGATAATGACCGAAAATGACGTCCAATAACTCATTTTTTTTTAATATTAGTTTATTGTGTATTCGTTGATATTTTCAATTTATGTGGCTTTAAATTTTTCGGAATTTATTTAGTTTTCCATATTAGTTTGGTAACTTTTTTCCGCGTAGAAGTTACTCAAGTCTCGTATTTGTTTGTTTTTTAAATCACTGGAGTTTAATGGTTTGTAATTATCGGTCGTATTTCGATTATATAAGCGGGTTTGAGCAACGTATTTGTGCCATCTATTCTTATTTCATTGGAAGCGTAATGTTAATATGGATTATTGTTTGTCAATAACTATAAATTATCTTAAAATTTTCAAAAATTAAGAGAGATTGATTCTTTATTAATTGATATTAGATATCATATTTGGATACAGATATGATTATAATGAATAGCATATAATCGTATTTTTCGAATTTAATTGTAAAAGGTTAGATATATCTTTTTTAAAACTAAATTAACCCGATACCGAAATAAATGACAGTTATTTATTTAATCAAATCCGAATTTAAAAAAAAAAATCAATTAAAACTCGAATAAAATAAATTAATATAAATATGAAATGAATGTAATTTTTATAGCAATCGTAACTATTTTTAAAATTTTCTTTAAAAAAAAAAAAGAAGAGGATATATCGGTTCACGCGAGATGGATGCCCATTGCCCCATTTGTCAAACTACGTGTCGGCAATGAGGTGTAAACATTGCCGACCAAAGCTAAAACATTAATTATTTATACAAAGTTTTAGCATTGACCGTGAATACGGGAAAAGTTGCACATATAATATTACACGTAATTAAATCAAAGATCTAATATATCCACAAACCATGTTAGATATTAACATGATTAGATATTTTGAATTTCATTTCATTTAGATTTTTGAAAGATTGTATCAATATAATAAGTATTACATTCTAGTTATATTTAGTTTTATTTAAAATTACTCATAACATAAATGTTTATGTTATTTTAATATTCATCTAGTTAAAATTAATTAGTTTATTTTTTTAAAAATTTAATTAATCAAATAATTTGGAAAATTATATTTAAAATAAAAATCATACATACCATATTTAGGTGGAAAGATGTCATATATTCCAAAACGAAAGAGTTGATCTAGATAAGACTTTGGATGTCGGCCACTTCATTTTGTCGTGTATCAAATAATTAATATCTCATTTTTTTTTATCTATTTATCGAATTTACGTGATCCCTTTTTTGTAAGCCGTTGTTTAAAAATTAAAATATATTAATCTGTAGTTATAATTTGTTTAGAGTTGATTATACCAATTCATGGAAGTAGATCACAATATGCAGACTTTTTTTTTATTAAAAGTTTGTATTGCCCATAGTGCATCGTATAAATTCGAAATTTTGTATTTATCGTTTACCAACATGACTATTTTAAAAATTATTTAGAAAAATCGTTTCTATCACTGATTTAGAAATATCAGATAATTTTAATTGTAATGTAATTACTGGATAACAAAATATTCTAATAATAAGTTAAAACAATTTGAGTAAGAAATAATTAATTATTATATTTAAATTCAAGCGGACAAAATGTATTAAATATTTTTTAAGTCATAATGAAAACTAAACATCATCGTCACCACGACGATGAGTAGTTGGTGTCGGATTTCCAAATTAAATTAAATATTCCCATAAAAGTAGACAACAATAAAAAAAAATTCCACAAATAACTTGGCAAATTCAGAAGACATATATATACACAAAAAAAAAACAAAAACATAACGTAATATGGAATTTTCTTTATAAAACGTTGAAAGTATAAAGTTCAGTTTTTAGGATAAAGGAAATAGAATAAATTCGGATAAGGCAAATTCATGCATGTGAATATTATTATTATTATTATTATTATTATTATTATTATTAATTATTATTATTATTATTATTATTATTATTATTATTATTATTATTATTATTATTATATGGTCGACCACGTTACATGAGAGAAGCCGTGGGAGGGCTCCAATGATTCATGCACTCACATTAAATGCCTCTATTCATGCAACTGACCATCTGCAACATTTTTTTTAAATAGATTAATATTTGTCGGTGAAAACTTTACTAATACAGTAAATATTTTAATCCAGTTTTCCAAACCAGAATAATTCAAATAATATCTAATTCTATTACTCCAATTCAATTTATCGAGAAGAAACTCATCATATGTAATTTTACAACAATCAAACTAAATTCAGATAATTATAAAAATAGTAAAAACAAATAAAGATTGTTTTAAAAATAGAAATAACAAAAATATAATGATCTCCATCGAGAACATAAATAATTAACCCATAATCGGTGGATTATCATCCATCATTTACGTGCACATATTACTAAGTTACCGAAATTTCATTTTTTTTCCGGAAACAAAATCAGAGAAGTCTCTCGTTTCTCTCCCTATTAATGATCATATAAATGATTATAGGTATTGGATACGATCACGATCATAGGTATTCGTTGTATAACTTCAACTTAATAATTTCAATCTTCTTTATATATATATATATTTGTTTTTTTATAATGTATATATATATATATTTGTTTCTGATATATAAACACGAAAAATCGATCGGTTTTTCTAAGATTACAGAATTCACAAATCCAAATAAAATACGGAACAAATTATCGCTTTTCCCGCTATTTGGAGGGCCCAAACAAAATCTATGATAAAAAAAAATTCAAATTTGTGGGTAATTAAGCGATCATCAACCTAATTACTATTAATATGTAATTAAAAGTAATATTAACCTAATACTATTAATTACATTAATACCCTTATTAATTACGTGTGAATCGGCCGTTGAGACGAACCATGGAAGGCAAGTCCGAATCACTCGCCGTGGCCGGAGAAAATTTTGAACAAATCTTTGATTATGAAGAAATTCAGGGATCTTTTTGACACTTTCTATATTTTTGAGGTTCAGAGAGAGAGTACCCAGAACAAGAGGTAGTCGATTAAAATTCGAGAAAATTCAAAATTCAAAATTCAAAATTCAAAAAGTTCAAATAAATCGAAACGACGTCGTTTGAATGTTTTGCATGAAATTTCCACGTGGCATCCTCTTAATTTGGCCACGTCATATCGCCACCTTCTCGTGAATTCGTCAACAACTCGACGCCGAAACAGGCTCGAGCGGCAAAAAAAGAAACGGTAGAAACAACGAAACGAAGGCAAAGGAAAAGCTCTATTCAGATCCCAAGAAGAAGACGACGACTGTAAGGATGATGAAGAGGAAGCACTTGTCCTCCATTGCAAACGACGTCGTCCGGAGATGTGCACTGTACTCTGCCTCTCCATCTCTCTCTCTCTCTCTCTCTCTCTCTACACACACACACTTGCACACGCACATATATATACATATATTCGTTTTGTGATACAAATTTGATGCGTTTTTGTTCGCTGAGATAAATTATCCATGAATTAGATGATTGAACGTTGGATCATTGCCTTTTCGATTTCGTCATTTTCCCTCTGGAGAGCAACATTCGCAACCCTCTTCCGGTTATTGAACCGGTTTGATTCCATTGGTTTACTACCATGAGAGCGTATATCACATAGAATTCTAGCATTGACGTGAGTTATAAAGAAATCATTTCAATTTCCGGGTTTATACCGGTTTACATTGTTCAGATTGTACTGTCATGGACGTTGATCATATCGAATTTCTAGCATGATATGCATTGTGTGTGAAAATCAAAATGCTTGATACCCTCTCCGGTTCTGTACCGGTTATCTGGTAGACGTGTAATGTTTGATTGGATAGGAAGTTTATAGAAAATTTTTAATCTATATATATGAACTTGGAAATACAGAGAACTCAAGACGTCAGTGGATAAATTGGCTGGAGAATTTGAAAGGGCATGGAATCCCGGAATGAGCGGGACGTACTCGAAGAAGTTTGTCGAATTTTGCGGGTCAAAGGCCATGAATCATATGTGTGAAAACATCCAAGAAAGAATAAATGATGGATCGTTTAGCCGTCTCACGTTCGATATAATGCTTTCGTGGGAGAAACCCGGCTCGGAAGACGACGAGTCTCATTCGGTAATTGCTTCTTTTTTTTTATAATATTGAGATATATTGTATTAAATTTCCGGAACAGAATTTGATTTTGAATTCTAGTTCGAAGGAATGTGAAAGCCTGTTAGAAGTCTAATGACTTCGGTTTATTACAAATCCGCTTACTTGTATCTGAAGGAAGCGGTAGGGAAGGGGAGTGAAGATCAGAGGATTCATGCAACATTGTCACCGGAACAAGACGACGTCTCTCTCTTTTACTCGGACATCATGCCCCTTCTCGTATGTTTCGACTTTGATAAACGTACCCATGAATTTGTCTTTGCTTTTTCTATTTACAACCGAACTTGGATTAAATTTTGGTACTGTTTTCACATTTTTCGTCTAGGCTGATCATGAACCGAGTGTAGGAGAAGATGCATTTGTGTTTTTGGGATCCCTCATTCCGCTCCCTGGGGATATCATCAATGGAAGATTCACATTCGAGACTTTAACTGCTCCTACGGGCCACCGCCTATATTTCCCTGCTTATGATATGTTCCTCAAAGAAATAGACAAGTAATTTTTCCCATATAACCCTTTTAAAGATGCCACATTTAGGCTTAGGATCTTGCGTGATTTACCGTATACTACGTCTCACGACACATTTAACTGGTTTCCCTTATTGTTTGAAACATTTTGTTTATTTTCTAGGTGCATGAGGCATCTTCAAAAACAAGCTATACCGAAAGGGGTTGAACTAGCGGACGATGAATTTATATTGCACGTGGAAGGGACGATGGCTTCACAGAGAGTGGTTCGCCACATCAAAGAAACTAGTTGGCCAGGTTTTTTTGTTATGTTTTTAGTCCTTGCCTTGTCTAGGCGAATGAAAACCATAGAGATTAAGCTTGCATTAATTGGCATCAATTCACATTTCTATTCAACAAAATAAAATAAAACTTGAACTTAGTTGCTTTTGCAAATTCTTGATTCAGCTTGGTTATTGCCAACTTGGTTGCTCTTAAAAAAACGGGTTCGCTGAGTAATCCATTGATGGATTCCGAGTGAGTGATATTTCGATATCTTTCTCATCGAATGACTTGGTTTTTGTAGGTAAGCTTACTTTGACAAACTATGCTCTTTACTTCGAAGCAGCCGGGATTATAAATTATGAAGATGCTCTCAAAATAGACCTTTCAAAGGATACCGAGAGCTCCGTTAAACCTGTCTCCACCGGTCCATGGGGCGCTCCTCTTTTCGACAAGGCCATAATTTATGAAACTCCTGAACTGTAAGAATCTCATGCTTAAAAATAATTTTTATTGTATTGACAGAAGAACAATAAACAGGTTTCTGTTTTTAATTGTTTAAAATACTTTAAATATCTCTTTTCCTTTTTCTTTGTGTGTAAAATGTTTAGCTAGAAGTCGATCTTGTTGGAATAAGAAAAAGATGAGTGTTTTCTAATATATATTCCTTGTTTTATATGATTTTTAGTGAGGAAGGAATCGTGATAGAATTCCCAGAGATAATAAGCTCGACGAGACGAGATCACTGGCTTGTTCTCGTGGAGGGAAAAAAGGAAATAATGTTAATGCATCGGTTCTTGAGGAAATTTAAATTTGAAGCTCCTTTACTGGCATGGGAAATCCACTCAAGAACGATCTTGGCAATCATACGACTTCATGCTGCTCGGGAAATGCTGAGGATTTCTCCTCCAGATCCTGCCAAGTTTTTGATATTCAGTTTGTTCGAGGAAGTTCCCAAGGGAGACTTTGTACTTGAAGAACTTGCAGAAAGTCTGAAGGTGATAAGCACCAAGAACCCGTGTACCGCGAGCTCGATATTGAGGAATATGAACTTGGCACAACTTAATATTCGACTAAGTGAGGGGGCAAAGGTTAAGATCCAAGAGAAGGATAGTGTGATCGACAGAGAAGATGTCCATTCGTCACTTGAAAGCGCGGTGAATCAATCGAGGGAAGAGGCCAGAGCCATCGATAGGGCAAAGGCGACAACGGTAAAATTGGAAGAAGAAGGAATTAGCGAAAGTGTAACGGTTCTCATGGTAAAAAAAGTTCATGGCTTTACGGAGTTTCCCTTACCATAGGTCATGTTTTCAATGTCAAAAGTTGATCCCCTCTTATGATTTTTACGGAGTTTCTTTCTCGATGCTCAAACTATATATTGTTGGTACGAACTTGAACTCATCAAATGATATTGTGTCGTTTCTCTTGCAGGAGTTGTTGAGACCACTCCGAGATATATTGTCACGGTTCCAGAAAATGCTGTACTGGGAAAGGCCTTATCATACAATAGTCGTTCTAACCATGACAATTCTTAAAGATGTGCTAAACATTTTTAATTAAAAATTTTCTACAGAAATTCTTTAATTATAAATCTTTACTATATATATATATATTTACAATATCATTAAAATTATATTTATGAAAAATTATACAAAAATTCCCAAATTTTAAAAAAGTGCTATAGAAAATTCCCAATTAAAAATTTGTTAATAAATCTTACAATTATAAAACTTTTCTATGATATAATATATATTCGTATAATACTATCTATGATTATAATAAAAAAATCTGGATATCATAAAAAAACAAATCATTTATATGAAAACAAATTCAAATTCTTAAAGATGTGTTACAGAAGATTTCCAATTAAAAATTGCTACATGAATTCTCCAATTCTAAAACTTTACTCTCTATATCTCTTTCTCTCTCTCTCTATATATATATATTTGTACAATACTATGTATGGTTATAATAAAAATCTAGATATAATAAAAAAAACATTGTTATGAAAAACTCTATAAAAATTCCCAAATTTTTTAAAATGTGCCATTGAAATAATTCTCATTTAAAAATTTGCTAATAAATCTGATAATTCTAAAACTAAATAATTTTTATGAAAAAATTTACGAAACTTTCCGAATTTTAAAGAATGTGCTATAAAAAATTTCCAATTAAAAATTTGCTAATAAATCTCATAATTCTAAAACTTTTCTTTATTCTTATTATACCATCTATGGTTACAATAAAAATATAGATATTATAAAAAAAAATATGAAAAATTCTCAATTAAAAATTTGCTAATAAATCCCTCAATTCCAAAACTTTGCCCACCGGCCCGAGCGAAAACACTGCGGTCCTACGCCCACCCAATTGGCAGATTTGATCGATCGCTTTCGTTGCTTGGGCTAACATTGCATCCACATACGCGTCGGGCGAGAGAGCGGGAGTATCGAAGGGGAGGAAGTAGTCGTATAAACATTTTAAAATTTTGTACAATATATGTTAAAATTCCAAAACAGATGAAAAGAAAAGATCTTCTAGAAATATCCCGTATAATATCTGTTAATAACTCCAAAACATGTCAAGATAATAATATTCAGATAAAACCGATTTCATTCAGACAACATTTTTTTTTATTTCTTTATCGAATCAAGAAAAGGAAAAATCATAATATTCAAACATAGCGCACTAAAGAGTACGTCATTCTTTTCTTCCTTTCTTTGTTATCGGATGACGACGTTGTGTATGTGTGGGAGCTCTGGACGCAAGGGCGCTAAGGTTAAGTGGTCTAACGTCGGCGTTGTTGCCTGCCCACAAGGCTCCTGCGATGAGACCGTACGTGTGTTCTGTCGGATGGAAATAATCCCAAAACAGATACTCATTAGGGTTCTTGCATTCCTTGTAACCTTCTCTTCCACATTGTATCATTCCTCCTAACGCCCCATCCCCACAACATGCGTTCGTCACATCCACCAACCCTGCATTCATCATATGGTTACAAAATGATGGTGATGATGATGGTGATGATGATGATGATGATGAAAGGACTCACCATAACGGGCAGGGAATGTACGCAACCTCTGAGTAATACCATAGACAGCTCCAAACACAGCGGTGACTCCTTTGTACCTTGTAGTTAAGTTCTTCACCATGTCTTCAAGTCCCTTGTTGTACTTCTTCACCATATAATTCATCTTACCGAAACATTTATCGATCGGTGCACCAGGGAGCAATGCTCTTGCCGGCACACAACCCACCGGCCCTAGCGAAAACACCGCGATCCTACGCCCACCCAATTGGCAGATTTGATCGATCGCTTTGGTTGCTTGGACTAACATCGCGTCCACATACGCGTCGGGCGAGAGAGCAGGAGTATCGAACGGGAGGAAGTAGTCGTATATGTCGTTGGAACCGGACTCGAAGAAGAAGAGGGATTCTTGGATGAGTGATTTTTCGACTTGGTTTTGATCCACGAGCGTTTGGAATTGCTGAAGCTGGGTTTGGATCGGTATCACGCCCTGCACGTGTATATGCATGTGTGTGTGTGTAAATATACGACGAGATTCGAAAGAGTTATATATACACAAACTTACCCAATCTTTGTTGGTATCTTGCAATACACCGCTTCCCGCGCTGGCGAAGTTGACGCCATTGGAGGGAAACCGTTTAGAAGTTCCGTTCATGAGTTCGAGTTGCACCTCGAGGAACGACTTCTGCAGCGGAACTCCCATGTATTGCGCTGCGACGTCAAGAAAACGTTACGATATCAACAGTTTTTTTTACATTTCTCTTCTTGAATAAAAAAAGAAGAAAAATGAATCGTTACAGATGAAATCGGGGACGGTTCTTCCATTGGTGAATCTTCCGGTGGGCCGGTGGAAGAAAGAGGAACCGTAGGGAGGGAAATCGGCCTGAGCGGTGCAGTTCTTGTTGAAATGATTGTTTCCTGCGTCGAAGATGGAGTCTCCGAATATGAATATCGAAGGAGACGGAGCGTTGTCGGAATCCGTCAGAGCCCGTGGCAATGCCACTAGAAACCACGCCAAGAGGATGATCAATCTCCCGGCCGTCATCGTACGTTACGTAGATGCAGAGAAATGAATGTTGCTTACAAGCAACGACGATCACGCATATATATACATGTACATATGTGTGTGTGTGCATTCGGGTGTGAAGGCGAAGTCATGATAGAGAGTATCGAAACAGAAGGCACGAGCATTTTGCTATGTGTCTTGATGACGTGTTTTCTCTTTAGTTTCGTTAAAGCTTCAACTTGCTGCTTGCTTTTTTTCTTTTTTGGTTCAACTTTTTATAACATCAATGCTTTATTTACATCCTCCTCCTCCTCTCCTTGGGGAAGTTTTTTTTTTTTAATTTCATTTGTATTTTCTTTATTTTAGTAAATCCCATAAAAATGAAAAACAAATTACTATCCTTTCACTCGGCAAATTTATTCTCAAACTTCCAAAATATGTCATTATAATTCAAAAATTTATTAATTGTTTCTAAAAAAATCTCGACGATATTGATTCTAAAATCAGTTTAGGAATTATAATAATATATTTCAACTTTGAAAATTATAATAATATATTTTGCAAGTTTGAGAATAAATTTATTAAAAAAAAAGTTTACAAATTTATTTTACACCATTTTATAGGTTTATAAATTTTTGTAGGTTTTACCATTTATAAAATGATTCTCCATAAAATTTAAAGTTGTTTTATTATTTTAAAAAATAATATAGTTCGTCACGTAGATTATTTTTATTATAGATGAACATTTATATGAAAAGAACATAGCATTTTATGTTTGCATGAAAATTTCAGAGCCATGCATACTTGAACTCCCAAGCCTTGTTGCCCCAATTAGCCTCATTGTCGTCTCTATCTCTAGCGAAGTAGATGCCATCCTCTCTGATATCCCACGCATAGATCGTCGGTGATTTAAACATCGACCTCTTGAAGCTGGACCAGTACCCATAGAAGCCTTGGTGATGCTCGAACTTTGGTCCCTGTCTCAAGGCGCACCCGATTTTGGTCGTCCCAAGGGGATGGTCGTCCACCTCGAACCGGTAGAACAGGCCGGGAGACACCTCCTGGTTCACGGCCTTTCCGGTGCTGCAGTCTAGCTTCAGGATCCTGCCCGACGACAAACTGTTTCTGAACCACACCATGTGGTTTTGCACTTCGGCATCCGTCACTGCCGTCAAACATACGAGCGCGATGAGAAATGCACACTTGGGGGACATGTTTTCTCCTTTTCTTTTTTGCTTGTGGTGTTTGTGTTCTAAAGTACCTGACCTAATTTATACATATTTGAGAATGTGATCTTTTCACTATTTTTTTTTATTTTTACAGAAAGAGAAAGAACACTTTTAGACATGTTGATATTTTTTAGGGAAAATTCTAAAAAAATTCTCAAATTCTTAAAAATCTGCTACAAAAGATTCCTAATAAAAATTTGCTATATAAACCCCCGATTCTAAAAATTTGTTATATATATATATATATATATATATATATATATTTGTACAATACTATCTATAATTATAATAAAGAATCTGGATATCATAAATAAAAATATTTTTAAGAAAATTATACAAAAATTCTTTAAAAATGTGCTGCATAAGATTCCCAATTCAAAAATTGCTATATAAATCTCCCAATTCTAAAACTTTCCTATATATATATATATACGTATGTATTTGCACAATATTATCTATTATAGTAAAAAAAAACTTGGATATCATAAATAAAGATTTGTTTTGGGAAAAATTCCACAAAAAATTCCAAATTCTTAGAAATGTGCTACAGATTCCCAAGTAAAAATTTGCTATATAAATTCCTCAATTTAAAATTGCTTACTAATTAATTCCTATAAAAACACGGCGTTAGTTTTCTGTTCCAAAATCCGACGTAGCATTAAAAATTTTGCCAAATTATGACACACACACATATATATACCACATAACATAAAACCGATTTAGTTATATTTTATTAGTGATGTTGGCCCAACCCATCTGGGTCCAATCCATTTGGATTCGAAGGATAACCGGATTGGATCGGATCGATCCATTAATAATAATGAATTGGATTGGATTGATCCATTAAACCCGTGTAAACCATATAAATCTATTTACATATTCACAAACTATTATACTTATGTATAACTATTAGGTAAAATGATATAAATGCGTACAATCAATATACAGATTTTTAATTTGGTAATAACCCATATTTGATTTCAAATTTTCCCAATTATCTACACAAAATGATAAATTACATTGCAATTTCCCACACGGGGGATTTTCGATGCCAACATGGCATAGTGTGATGACGTGTCTTGCCACGTAATAAAAAATAGGAAGGTCGATTCCACATCAGCAAACACTTCATCGATTCGGTTCAATTGAATCGGTTTGAGAATCAATTTTATATGATGTAACTGGATTTTTTTAATAAAAAATTAGAATTTAGGGTTTGGAACAAATCGATGCAGGAACCGGTTTCTGCACCGTGATTTTTTGTCTCCGCCGCCGTCGCGGCACCCGCAACGGCGGTGTTGGTGGGTCTATGGTTTCGGGATGTCCCCCTCTGGATTCCCCTTCTTCTTCATCTGCATGTCCGAGGGCGAAGACGAAACTCTACGTCAGTGGCGAGTTCTCTTCAAATGATTAGATTCTAATTCCGATTATTTATTTGTTTTGTGGAGTCGATGGTGTGCTGAATTGCGTCGAATTCTGAATTTCTGTGCTCGATGCGGACAAAAATACTCTTTCAGAGTCTGGGTTTTGGGTTTTAGGGTTTTGTTCGTGAGAGTTCAGGATTTGCAAATTGTGTTGTAATAGGCTCGGGGGCAATCCCAGTTCCCTCACGATTCATTACAAGATTAACATCGACTGACGTGTCGGCAACATCACTCTTGTCGCCATTATCCACGTTTGTGGACACCATCAGCATTTTTTTTACCAAAAAAAAACACACTAGTATTTACAGATTGCAGACTAAATCTGTTGGTCTTCGCTTGCGAATGAACAGAGATTTTAGAATCGGAACACGAAAAAGAATAAGAACTACTTTGCGGTCGCCGACGATCACTAAGCTGGGCTCTGATTGACGAAACACGCTCAAAGCGTCGTCGCCGACACTAACACTCTCCGTCATATCGCTGTGTATTAATTTTAGTATCGGTTTATACCATTTTCCATAACTATTAATATATATACTCATATAACCTAGGAATTATCATTTTAATATTCAATTCGTTTATTCCATTCAATAAAAATATATGCAAAATCCGTTATTATATTATATTCAATAGTTTATAAAAAAATACATTATTTAAAAAAATTAGATTTTTTCGATTTTTTTTTTTTAAATTCGATTGATGTTTTAGAAATATTGTCTTTTAGATTTTTTGAAAAGTTCAGTTCGAAAACGACACCAAATTTTTCAATACGATTCGATTCGGAAATGGTGTCGAGTTTTCCAGTATGATACGAATTTTTCGGTACAATTCGATTCAGAATGGTATCGAATTTTTTTATACGATTCAAAATTTTCCGTACAATTCGATTCAGAAACGACACTGAGTTTCGGTATGATTCAATTTGAGCGGTATCAAGTTTTCGTATTTTCCGACACGATTCGATTCGGAAACGACACCGAGTTTTTTGGTATGATTCGATTCGGAGCAGTATCGAATTTTTTTTTAAAAGATTCGAATTTTTCGATATGATTCGATTCAGAAACAAAACCGAATTTTTCGGTACGATTTGATTCGAATATGATACCGAATATATCGATTTAATTCATATATATATATATATATAAATATCTATATATGTTAATTTTTATATATCTAAATATAATAATTTTAATTAGGTATAAAATGAGTTTAATTTTAACTGAGGCTTTCAATGGAGATGAGTTTTATTTTGGGTTTTTAGTTTTAGTTTTTGGATTTTGGTTTTTAGTTTTTGATTTTTGGCTTTTGGATTCTATAATATTTGAAAACTAAAACTTTGAATGGTAGTAGTTTTTATTTTGGGTTGTTGGCTTTAGTTTTTGGTTTTTGACTTTTGGTTTTTGGTTTTTGGCTTTTGGATTTTATAAGTTTCTAAATCTAAAAAATTATGGCTTTTGATTTTTAGCTGATTTTTTGTAAAAAGTAGATTTTCGGATTTTTAGAAAAACCAAATTTTAAAAAACTTGAATTTGTCAGTTTTTTCAGTTTTTAAAATCCAAAAACTCTGAAAACCTCTTCCCATTCAACACCTAAAAAAAATAGCTTTTGATTTTTCTTTGATTTTTCCACTAAAATAGCTTTCCAAATTTTTAGGAATAGTAATTTTGTGAAAATTTGAATGTATTTTTTTTAGTTTTTGGATTTTAAAAACTCTAAAAACTCCAACCATTCAAGGTTTAAATATATAATGTATTTAATGGACCAAAACCCAATTAACCCATTTTAAAAAAATTAGCCAAATATATATATATATATATATATATATATCTGAAAATAATTTTGATATTTGTAGAATACTATCTATAATTATAATAAAAAATCTAGATGTCATAAAAAAGATGTTATTTATATATATATGATTGAATTTCTAACTATATATCTGAAAATTATTTTGATATTTGTAGAATACTATCTATGATTATAATTATAAAATCTGGATATCATAAACAAAAGATATTATTTTTCTTTTGATATTATATGAAATATGAATCGAGTTCCTAACTATATATCTAAATATTAATCATTCCAGTTAACTTTGAAGTTTGCTCTTTTCCAAAATTAGCAATTTTAGAAAACCTACATATGACTACCTGTTACCTTTTAAAAAAAACTATTTCTAATGATATATAACAATAATTATTAAAAAAATGGTTTGAGTAATTTTTAGTTATCTGATTTTTTGCCTTTAATTTTATTATTAAATTCTTATTTTGAATAATTTTATACTGATTGTCCAGATATTTGTAACTTCAGTTCCTTGTTTTGAATAAATTCTTATTTTGTATATATGCATGTAAATATATATGTATATATATATATATATAGATGTATGTATATATATGCGTATATATGTATATGTATATAATTGTGTATATATGTATATATGTATATGTATATAATTGTGTATATATATGTCGATATGAATATATATATGTTTGTATATATATATGCATATATATATATATATATCAATTTTTTTATTTTTTATTTTAAATTTTGAATTTTTTTTATTTTGAATTTATATTATTTAATTTTGATTTTTAAATTTTAAAATTTTAAATTATTTTATAATATGGTATGATGATTTGGTATGAGATTATGATTTATAAAAAAAAATATGACGTGTTAGATCATGTCCACTTTAGAATTGATGGAACTTAATTTTTTTATTTAATTTTAATTTTTTAAATTTTGATTTTTTTAATTATTTTATAATATGGCACGATGATTTAGTATGAGATTATGATTTATAAAAAAAATATGATGTGTCAGATTATGTCAGCTTTGGAATTGATGGAACTTAATTTTCTTTATAGATATATAGAAAATTATAACACACTATCATATTTGGTATAAGATTTTAGAAAATTTTAATTTTTTATATAATTTTTTTTCAAATTAAAAATTGTTATAGAAATTTGGGACGATAAAAAATAAGGTTCCATTAGCCCATGCTACAGCGGCAATCAGATAAAAGCAAAAATAACATTAAATACTCTTTTTTTTTTTTTTTTTTTTTTTGTGCGCCCTAGTCTCCTCCTCCTCTCACACTGCGAAAACCCAGCAATTGGCCTCCTTTTGCATTTTCTTCAACGTTATTCTGCGAACCATCATATGTTCAATCATGGCCCTCGCAATATCTAATGCGTTTCTTAACCCTAATCCCTTAATTACTCCCAAGGACTCCTGTCTCTCCCTGCGAAACCCCAATTCGCCTTCTTTTGTCAGGTAATTTCTCTGCGTTTTTTTTGTAAAGCTTGCCTTCTTTGTTTGGCGAGAAAATGGAGGAAAGCGCGAGAAAAATCACTTGACTCGTGATCTCTATGGGTTTCATTATTGCTTACTTTGTGTCAGTGTTCGAACGTTTGTAAGTATTTCAATCTAATGGCCATAGAGTTTGTCTCGTTTACTTGCGTTTCATATCTTTGTTTTGGTAAACTGTAAAATTGGGTTTTCATGAATTTTTCTGAAGAGTTCACAATTGAGTATTTCTGTCCCTGGAAGTCTGGAACTTAATCAGTGGACGAGCTTATAGCTTGTCAGTAGCTATCATGAAGGGTTTTAGACCATTTGAACCTCCTTCCCATTTGGTAATTGTGGTTACAATGTTGGAATTCTCAGATTTCTTCCGAGGAGGGCGGTGCAGAGTAGGCTTGTGTTATGTGCTGCTTCCTCTGCTGCGGGAAATCCGAGCTCCGAAGGGGATATGAACCCGTATGAGGTAGAAGGAAGGTCTTTTTTGCCATGTGGGTCGTTGGGTTTTCTTCCTAAGGCATGAATCCACGTCCTCTCTTCTCAGGTTCTTGGTGTGAGCCCAATCGAGGGTTTTGACAAAATCAAGCTGACCTATGCAAGAAAACTTAAGGATGCTCAGCAGAGAGGCGATGAAGCTACTGCTGCGCTAGTAAGTTATCTTGCCTATCTCTTTGGAGTTCTGAAAGCATTAATTCTTGGTGTTCTTTGAACTTTGTTAACACTTGTCTTTGTGTTTTTTTTTTCTGTTTTCTTAGCTCGAGAAAGCATATGATAAGCTCATGTATTCCCAATTAATGAACCGAAAAAAGGGCGTGGCGTTCGGTTCGTTTAAGGTATTTTACGAGTTTCTCTAACCAGACACTATTATGGGTTCTATGAAATTTCTGCTGAGCCTTGGTTACGTGTTTCAGGTTTCGAAAGACATTAAATATGCTGATAAGCAGCCGATTGTACCATGGGGACCGAGGTAGGCATTCGAGATGTACATACACCTCAATTTGTTTCATCTCTCTGCTTCCACCATCATTTCACGGATTAGCAAGTGTGTTTTATTTTTATAGCTAATCATGATTTACCCGTATGGTTTCAGGTTTGCCAAATCTAGCAAAACTGATATGCAAATCAACCTAGCAATATCAGCTGTGTTTGTGAGTATATAAATATATGTGAAGTTTGAGGTTCACGTTGTTCTGCCTGAAAATTTTGATAAACTTTTAAGAAATCTCTACCCTTTATGACTTCAATGGAAGTGCTTCAATCCAATATTTTTTTTTTTTGCATTTTTCTACGTGTTTAGCATTTCCAGTGGTTGAATCTTCATCAATCTTAGTCATTCTCCCTCTTTTGCAGACTGCCTGGATTGCTATAAAGCGCAGCGTTGAATACAAACCGCTGCAGTTCTTGGCTTTTGCGTTTGTTTACAGGTTATTTGAGAAATTGAAATCGTACGAGGCGCCTTCTACACCAACCTATACTGTGAGATTTTCAAAGCCTTGTGTTTAATCTCATAAATGGCAGTAGACAATAAATTTTAGGAGCTCTTTACACTCTTTTGGCCCTTCTGATCCTGAAGAACATTTTGGTTGACAATGGCTGCAGGAGGAAGGTGAAGATGACGGACGGGGATTGAGAATGGGAAAAAGGCTTCTTCGCTCTCTTTCATTAGTTTTCGGCTGCATTCTTGTGGCATCTTTGGTATGTAGATCCATTTGTAATCATTTAAACCTCTTTATTCAAGGAAATCTGCTCGCTATCTGTTTAATCATTTTGTTTTTCTTCAAATGACCTTAGTTGCCTTCCATGTTGCATAATGTCAATCAGAAAACATTCACACCTATCGTTTAACATTCATCGTGCTTTTGTGATATTAATGCAGCCCTTTTTTTCAGTAGCCTCCATTTTCTTTCGAGGAATGTTTGATGCGCTCGATTGTTAAAAACCCTGTTCTACTTCTCACCGTCTTCTGGATCATGTATTGCAGGCCTATACCTGGATCTTGAATTTCATTGAGTACATAGGCGGCTACATACCCATGTTTCTTTACAATAACCAGGTAATTTTTCTTGGTCAATGGTTCAAAATCTTCACATAGGCTAGCCTCGAACAGCATGATCAATCTCCATAAAGATTTAAGGATGTTCATATTCCGAGCTAAGCCTCGCAGCAGTAGTTGGCTAGGTTATGGGGGTGAATCCGCCGTTATCCAACACAGTAGTAGTATTGCCTCGCCATTTCTTGATTGCAAAAGCCTTGTGCTTGATCTAAGACTTGTAGATCCTGAGACGGTATGAAGATTCGGTAGCTTTCTTAAATGCGAAAATGGCTGAATTTTTCGAGTCATGCCTTGGATTAGATGTTTGTAAGAAGGTACTAATTCAACAAAATGGGGGGAAAATGTTGCAGGAGCTGATGGTGACAGCTTCCTCGGCGTTCATGCTCTACATTCTTGCTTCTTATTACAGATGAACCCAAACGGATGATGCTTTTTCTTGAAGTTGAGAGGAGGTTTTTTTTTTTGAAGATTTCCCTTCTTTTTGGGTTTGGTGGATTCTGTGTAATGAAGATTCTTTGTCTGTGTAATGTACTTTTAATTTTTCTGCATTGAAACGGTGTAGTTTTGGTACCAAATTTAAATCGAGTAATGGTGAAAAAAAATGTTTAGTTGTTCATACGGGCATTTTACTCAAATGATTCACTCGCACGCACGAATTTCACTGGTATACCATCGAAAAAACAAATTTTTTTTTCAACTTTTATACCATTTTTCGTTGAAAAAGTCATAAATATTTTATTTTTATTTTTTTACAACTTTATTACGACTAATATATAACTAATATAGTTATGAAATAAGTAGTTATGATTGTATGGAAATGAAAGTGTAAAAAAAAACGTAGTTATTTTTAAAATTTGATAGATGAATTTTTTGTCTTGTTTAAAATCAATTGCAACTGTATTTAGAATTAATTATAAAATTGCAATAACAAAATTGTTTTTGAGCGAATAAATTACGCAGTTTTATTAAGGTAATATTGTCTTTTTTAAAAAATTTAATAGGCTATGTTTTCAGTGGTATATTTCTGAAATTCGTGCAAACTAAGTCGGTCATTTATGTAAAATGGTCGGTTCATATGCAATAATAATGCGATTTGGATCGTCGATCTAAGAGAAAAAAGTGCGAACGTCGAATGGGACCAATAAATTTAAATCCGTTTTATAATATTTGATCATTCAGTGGAGTGACGAGATTTCGTGTGTACAGTCGATCTCTCGTATTCTTATTAGTAAGCTGAAATGCTCGTCGCTCTCAGCTGAAACATTAGGGTTTTCTCTGTCGTCCCTGTCATCTTGCTTCCTGATCTCAAAACCTCTATCGATGAGATTCGCAGGCTTAGGGTCTTTGTACTTAGTCGTCAATTGTCTATAGAATAGTTTGAGAACCCTAATATTGGGATATTGTTGCTCCTCGCTTGTTTTCTCTGCCATTATCGTGCGCTTCGTCTACTCTTCTCCGTCATCGGGTTTTGAACCCTAGAAACGAAGATTTTGGTTGATTTCGAGAAGTTGAGCGAAGATGAGGATTATGATAAAGGGAGGTGTGTGGAAGAACACGGAGGATGAGATCCTCAAAGCGGCGGTGATGAAGTATGGAAAAAACCAATGGGCGAGGATCTCTTCTCTTCTGGTTCGAAAGTCCGCAAAACAGTGCAAAGCTCGCTGGTACGAGTGGCTCGATCCTTCAATTAAAAAGGTACCGTTTTTCTTGTACATTTCTCAGTCTCTTCGGGTGTTTGTTTAGTGTTGATTGAGATTTCAGATCACAGGAACAATGACTGAGCTTGGAAATTTGTGGTTCTTAGGCGATTTTTGTGCTAGGTTTGTGGCTCATTGCATCTAGAGTTGCAATTGAGGAAGGAGATTAGACTTAGTTAGTGCTTCAGATATGTACGTAACTTTGTAGTTGATATGTGTATCTGAAGCTGCACTTGATCTAAGGAGATTACATTTAGTGCTACTGGAATCATGTCAGGAGCTCTATCCTTCAGCTTGTACCCAAATTGTAGACAGTGCATCTGATGAGAATGGAGGAATGATGAGTATGTATACGTATTTCAGCATTCAAATGATGGAATGCTTTGAACATTTCTGTTGATAGATATTCTTAGCTAGGGTTCGGTATTCATCGCATCTCAAGTGGCTCCTGTGGAAGGAGGTTAATCTTTCTGTATGGAATCATATCCCAAGCTTAATTCAGTATGTCCTTCATCTTGTAGTCGACTTGTCTGTCGTAGATTCTTTTCATGGAAATAGAGGGAAAATCATGTATCTGTTTAGGACTTCTGAATAAAATGTATTTGAATGAATCTGATGTATATCTCTTTTTTTTCTTTATGTTTTTCTAGACTGAATGGACCAGAGAAGAAGATGAGAAGCTTCTTCATCTGGCAAAGCTTATGCCTACACAATGGAGAACTATTGCTCCTATTGTTGGTCGTACACCATCCCAGTGTCTCGAGCGCTATGAGAAGCTCCTTGACGCAGCATGTGCGAAGGATGAGAATTACGAAGCAGCTGATGATCCACGAAAGCTACGACCTGGTGAGATCGATCCAAATCCAGAGTCTAAACCTGCTCGTCCCGATCCTGTTGACATGGACGAGGATGAAAAGGAAATGCTTTCCGAGGCAAGAGCTCGGTTGGCCAACACTAGGGGGAAGAAGGCTAAAAGAAAAGCAAGGGAAAAGCAACTTGAGGAAGCTAGGAGGCTTGCCTCTCTGCAGAAAAGAAGAGAACTAAAGGCGGCTGGTATTGATCTAAGGCATAGGAAGAGGAAAAGAAAGGGAATCGACTATAATACAGAAATTCCATTTGAGAAGAGGCCACCTCCTGGATTTTACGATACTGCCTATGAAGATAGACCTGCTGACCAAGTAAATTTCCCAACCACAATTGAAGAGCTAGAAGGGAAAAGAAGAGCTGATGTGGAAGCACAATTACGTAAACAAGATATTGCAAGGAATAAAATTGCTCAGAGACAGGATGCTCCAGCAGCTATATTGCAAGCTAACAAGCTGAATGATCCAGAGGCTGTTAGGAAGAGGTCAAAGCTGATGTTGCCGCCACCACAGATTTCAGACCATGAACTAGAGGAAATTGCAAAGATGGGTTACGCCAGTGATCTCCTTGCAGAGAATGAAGAGCTGACAGAAGGGAGTGCTGCGACTCGTGCTCTTCTGGCAAATTACTCGCAAACACCAAGGCAAGGAATGACACCTATGAGAACGCCTCAGAGAACTCCTGCTGGTAAAGGTGATGCTATTATGATGGAAGCAGAAAATCTGGCTAGGCTAAGAGAATCTCAGACACCTTTGCTAGGAGGAGAGAATCCTGAGCTGCACCCTTCTGATTTTTCTGGGGTCACTCCGAAGAAGAAGGAGATTCAAACGCCTAATCCAATGTTGACTCCTTCTATGACTCCTGGTGGTGCTAGTCTTACTCCTAGAATTGGCATGACACCCTCAAGGGATGGCTCGTCTTTTGCTATGACACCTAGAGGAACTCCCTTCAGGGACGAACTTCACATAAATGAAGATATGGATATGCTTGAAAATTCAAAACTTGAGCGGCAAAGGCGAGAAGAAGTGAGAAGGAGCTTGCGCTCTGGCCTGAGTGATCTTCCACAGCCAAAGAACGAGTACCAGATAGTTGCACAACCTCCTCCAGATGACAGCGAAGAGCCAGAGGAAAAGATTGAGGAGGATATGTCAGACAGGATAGCTAGAGAGAAGGCTGAGGAAGAAGCGAGACAGCAAGCACTGCTTAGAAAAAGGTCCAAAGTTTTGCAGAGGGATCTTCCTAGACCTCCTTCTGCTTCATTGGAGCTAATTAGGAATTCACTGCTTTCATCGGATGGGGACAAAAGTTCCTTTGTTCCTCCTACTATGATTGAGCAAGCTGATGAAATGATAAGAAAAGAACTTCTACAATTGCTTGAGCATGATAATGTGAAGTATCCTCTTGGTGAGAAATCAGAGAAAAAGAAAGGTGTCAAGCGTCGTGGTAATGGTTCAGGTTCTCAAGTTCCTGCCATAGAAGATTTTGAGGAAGATGACCTCAAGGAGGTATGAAACAAGTGCTCTTTCTGATTTTTCTCTTGGTGTTAAATGGGATGGTTCCGAATCTTAAATGTGGAATAGGATACTGTTGAATTCTTCCTCTGGCTGACCTCTGTTTCCTTGATGCTTTCACCTTTTCCATGTCTGTATATATGCTCACGTGTTACGGATGGGTTAGTTCATATATATCACATGCATTTGCATTTTTCATGTCACAAATTCAATGATTCAGCCATCCAGTCGGGGGAAATATTATCTATCTTCCATTTGATATTTTTTTCGTTTTTGCCTTTTCTCGTCTCTTATCTTGCTTATCTTTTAGATGAGGTCTTGGGTTTGTAAATATTAGTATACATTTATTTCTCCAATGCATCAGGCTGACTTAGGTTGATTATTTTATTAACAATGGACCTGTAATTGTTGGCAGTCTGACAGTATGATCAAGGAAGAGGCACAGTTTCTTCGTGTGGCAATGGGACATGAAAATGAGTCCCTTGATGATTTCGTGGAAGCACACAACACATGCCTGGGTGATCTCATGTTCTTTCCCACTCGAAACGCTTACGGACTCTCCAGCGTTGCTGGGCACTCCGAAAAAGTTGCAGCTTTGCAAATTGAGATGGAGAACATCAGAAAAAAGATCGAGGAAGATGAGAAAAAGGCAGATCACTTTAAGGCAAAGTGTAAAACTTATACGAAAGGATATGAGGTATGTATACATCAAAACATGAATGTGCCCTGTGTCATCTCTTTTTTTCATTATTTATTTCTGAAGTCTCTCGATGGCTTTAATGCCCATTCTAATCTCTTATCAATGCCTTCACTGTGACCGCCTTAAACATTTGACAAAATTGTTGTGCATTTTTGAATTATATTTACAGTTGATGTTACTGAAGCTTGTCCAGAACTAAAACTTGCTGAGTAATTATTTTCGTCTTTGGTTTTTGGTTATTTTCGGAATTTCAGACAAGGGCTGAAAATCTTTGGACTCAAATTCAGTCGACTTTGAAGCAAATAGACACTGCTGGAACCGAGCTCGAGTGCTTCAAAGCATTGCAGAGGCAAGAACAGCTAGCTGCGACATTCAGGAAAAACAATCTGAGGGATGAAGTGAAAAAACAGAAGGAGCTTGAGCGAACTCTTCAATCACGCTATGGGAATCTTTTGTCGAAGCTAGAAAGGGCACAGCAACTAATAGTCCAGTTCCGAGCAGAAGCTTCGAAACAGGAAGAATCACAACAAAACCACATTTCCGAGATTGCGACTGTAGGTTCTGAGGTAAACAATGTAGATGCAGATTACGTGAAAGAGGCGGCGCGTGTAGGAGAGAATGGAGAACGTGAAAGTAGTGACACTGTTACGGAGAATCAGTCTCAGAATGTAGTGGAAGGAGAAGAGGGAGCTCGAGAAACAGGAGGAAAAGTCGACGACGGAGAAAGCGATGCCATGGAAACTTCTGGTTGAAACCTCTTGGACGACCCTGAAATCTCTCTCCAGCGTTCCGGTTCGAGGAAAAGCTCTGTAAGAATGTATGAAACTGCCATGGAGATGTTGAGAACTGGTTGTGAGTTGTGACGCTGCTTCAAGAACGACTTCTTGCACGAGAAATAGAAAATCGGGATTTTGGGGTGCCATGTTGAGGGAGGAAATTGCCAAATGCCGTTTGTCATGTTGAAAGTTAACGTTTTGCGATATTGTTGGAGTCCTGTCAGTGAATTTGGGCACAAGATTTGCTCGTTGTCTTCGTTATTCCGATTTCTCCATAACCCGACACACTCTTTGAATTGCAGAACCAAAATCTTTCAAATTTAGTTTCGGTTTGTTTCCGGTTAACCAATTGCTTTGTATTCCCATCTCAATGAATTTTCAGAGAAGACGAGGATTTCTAATAATGATAACAAACAAACAGTTTCTATCTTTTTCATCTTCCTGCTGTTTTGTTCTCCTCTTCTTTTTCTTCCGCATGGTGTTGAAAATAATCGATGAGCAGATGGGATGGCGCTTTTGGTATGTACACAGAGGCTTACAATCCTCATTTGCCCTCGTTCTCGAGCGCCTTTCAAAAACCGAGGAGCCAAAAAAAATCGTCAGATGCGGTTTCTTATCTCTTCATTGAGAAGTCGGGTTACCAAATCCGTGCTAGCTTCGCTTAATGCCTGTTGAAGTGAGGTTAGTTCCTCGGGGTTAGCCTTTCTGAACAGACCTCTAAGGACAGAGCCTGTTCCCGCGGGTAAGGGACGTTGTCCAGTAGTTGTTCTTCCACTGGAGTTACCGTCTCTCGGGTGAGGGTTTGCGGGAAACTGAACTTGCGGTCGGGAGTAAGGCCGGGAATCCCAGTAATCGGTACAAACCCGATTTCTGTCCAGTGCTTCTATAGCCTGTTGATCAAGATAAACATATAGTAAGCAATAATTAGAAGCTTCGAATAGAAGGTAAACGATGGTGCAACGATTTTTTTTTTTACCTGTACGATAGCAGGAGATGAAAATCCAAACATTTCGAAACCATCGAGACTTCCGGGAGGCTGTAAAGGAGGAAGATTCGATTTACCAGCTTTGTGCTGCTTCGTTATCTCTTGATTTACTCTGTCTCTCACCATCTCCCAACATTTTGTGGCTGATATGTTAATGAACACCTCACTTGGATGACTTTCCAAGTAAACCTGAAAAAACGAGCACATCGTCGGGTTCATAGGCTGGCGAGAATTTCTCTACTTATCATTGTTCAAATGAAGATAGCAACAAACCAAAAAACCTCTAGAGAGAGACTTTTGATCTGTGAATAGGATTTTTATAGCAAAATCAGTCCACAAAATTGACATCATGCAATAGATCCGAGTTGAAAGAAATCTAGGACGCACGAATAAATTGCCAATCCAGATCCATTCGAACACATTCAATGAATAAATTTATCACCCTTTAATCGACTTGCGATTATAGGAAAGCGAGGGGGAGAGCTAAATACCATGAACAGAGGGCTTCCGCGTCCAGCATCGAGAATTTCCGAAATATACCAACACATGTTTATCGGGTCCAAAATGTTTATATACTTAACTCGGCTTTGAAACCCTGCACGAGTGGAGAAAGATACACATAAGCACTTGCCTGAATATTCTCAGCTTTTTTTGCTCACTGGTAGTTATTATTATCATTAGTTCATAATCAAATAACCTGATCCAAACCGAATAACACATAACCGTGCCCCAACTGAATTCGACATAAAAACCGAATGGTTATGATTTGTCTTAAACCGGAAAACCGTTTCCGAACCAACCAAACAGAAGGAAAAAAATAACCGGAAAACCGAAATTTCATGAAAAAATGATTATTTTTATCAATAAAAAATGAACCCAAACTGGAACCAAAATGAATTCAATAAAAAAAAAAACAATATGGTTATAGTTTTTCTAAAACCGAACCCGAATCAAACCGAACTGAATCTAGATCGAAACCCAAAAAGGCCACTCCTAATTATCATAAGACAATGAGTGAGTTAGTTACCTTTGGGAAAAATCGTGCGATTGTTGCACCACGATTTCCCAGGAAGCACTGATCCGAACGCTAAAAGCTCGGTATTGCAATTGATCCTCCTCACAACCTTTGCAATACGAGGACCCTTTTGGCGGATTAACCTGTCCGGACTATTATTTTGAGAACAACATGGAGCCCCCAAGTTACTTCTTGCCCCATCGGCTACATCTGAAATAATACCCAAACCTCCGGTGCTTTTTAGTCTATCATCGCTATTAGGATTTTGACAACCGTGATTGTCAAGATCCTTTCTACTTGAGATATCATGAGCAAGCCCAATAGCCTCTGCTTTTGGTGCATCGTCCCCTGTCATTACAAGGTCATTATTAGGCGAGAAAGTATTCATCCGGGCATCAAGTACAGGATCTGTCTCCCTTTGGCTAATCGGATGACCAGTTCTACTGGGTGCTTCTCCTGCT